CCATGATGAAATATTGGCCATATATAAATCAAACCATGTTTAAAAATCTTTATCAAGTTTTTAGATAAAAAAACATTTAAAAAAAAAGCGTAATAAATAGAATTATAACCTATTTTGGTGAAATATTCGTTGTTTATAGAAGAAGATATGTACTATTTCATGAATCAAGCCGTATTTTAAAATCTCTTTTCGTCTTTGAGATAATGATTATTGAAATCCACCTGAATTTTCCTGCAGATTTCCCTGCATGTTCACAGATTTTATTGAAACGTTACAAAATATTCAGACGTTAATGAAGGTAATTTAACTGAAGTTATTCGCCATCGGATTGAAACATGTAAGATTGTTTTAAACCCGCTGATTCATTTGTAAATGTAATAAAGAATAAAATTACTCCAAAATGTATTATTGAATATACATTTATTGTGTGGTTAGTTTAAACTTTTGTTAGAGTTTGAATTCGAAATCCTATGTATACAAAGGATTTCAACCTCTTGTTTGAGTACAATTCTCAAACTAAGGCTTGTTAAAACATAAACATAATAGATTACATAAGAAAACTAAGTTTTGTTTGTTTTTTGTAATTTTTGCAATAACTATCTTAATGATAAAATCTTAATTTAATAACACAACTTTATTTCTTATACCATCTTTAATGTTAAGCATTTCCGGTTTGCTCTCAACCTCTCAGATGTTTCCTTATCCTTCTTTCCCACTTTCCATCACAATTTTTTTATCCCGTGGCGTTTGATATATAGCGCAGAACTGAGATGGCGATGCTGTCTTATATTTCACCTTCCACTTCGCCTTTCTTTTTGTTATTTTATCCCCAACTTCCGGCTTATGTAAACATTACTGCTATCATCGGCTGATTCTCGAAATACACAAAAGAAACGAGAAAGAGAAAATGTTAAAAACAAGATTTAGTAGTATGAAAATGAGTTTTATTAACATTCTTGGATTTTCTTTTTTATTTTTGAAAATTTAGGATAAATATTTAAAAAGATTGCTGTTTTTAGCTTAGCTTCAATCGTCGTTTCGACGTCACTTCTCTACAAGATGTTACATCTAAACATCATTAAATAAGATTAAACAACCAACAAGATTAATAAGGTAAGTTGATGCAACGGAACGGCAAAGTTTGCTTTAAACCATCAACGTAAAGTTTAGGAGTTACTATTATTAAAAACCAATTTTGAATATTGCTTTGGAAAGATTCACTCGAAAGTTTAATTCGAACCCGAATCTAGTCATTTCATTAATCAAATCGATAAACTTTACAAGCTATCATCTAACCGTTTTATATTTATGACGTAATTCCAATATTGTATCCAATAATATTATAATTAAGCACTCGATTTAATTAAAATAATACTACGAATATAATGGTTTAGACAGGTTTACACAAATCAAATTGATTAACGCATAAAATGTTCTAAAACACCAGTGTTACGATTGAAAATACAACATAAAATTAGTTTATTAAATCAGATACGCTAATCTTAATTCAAATTAAATTTTAGTGTTTAAATTGAGGTAATTCTGTACTTGGGTTGAATATAATATTTACGTGTCTGATACTACACCGACATAATCGTAATGAAACTTTTATTTTCATTACTCTCGTACGTAAAACAGAAAATCTCTCCTGGCGAGTTTATTTTAGTGCACGTGCTAGTTTTAAAAAGTAAACTTAAACCGTAACAACCAGGACTGTAAATCGTGTGGCAATAAAATTTTTATACCGGTAACATAAAGTATAGTTAAAAAACTTTTTATATACCTTCTTCAAAATATTTCAAAAATAATAATCAAGTATTATTTTTACAATTTTCCCTTTTAAAGCTCTTGATATAACATCACGAACAGTGTATCAAAGTACTCGTGAAAAATATCCGTTCTCTAATAACAAATATCATAAAAAAAATTTTCACTCGAACATCCTGCGTTTCCTCTCTCCTTATAAATCAATCTCACAGTATATATCGATGAAATGCATAAACAAATAATCCTTTAAAAATATCAAATATCATATATTCATGGTAGTACTAAAAATATTTATGACATTGAGAACTATGTGAACCAGTTTTTCCAATCACTTAATCAAAAAGTTCACTACATATAAGTTAAACATGATTACAAAGTCTTTAATACAACAGTGTTATATCAGAATTATATCAGAATAATAACCATAAGTAGAGAATTAATTAGGCGAACATCAAAATCGATTTCAAATTTCCGCTTGCTAAAATCTATTGAACTGAAACATAACATGTAAAAAAATCGATTTACACAGTCTCAAACACGTTCTATTCAAACGTGTTCAAACAGACACGCTAACATAGGTTTTGTTAGAGCTTTGAATACCGCTCCAAACTTCAATGCCGGTATTTCATCATTATTTATTTTTAAAACCAAGATAATTTCTATATAACAATAGTAGCAATGTAACATTTATATTGCAATTTTAGTACCCTTCATTTTTGTCTTATTTTTAGTTATAACACACTTGATATCCGAGATCTTGGGAAAGAATCTTAACCAAGCGTTTTTTCCTGCTTTACATCTTCCAATTTTTTGTTGGTGTTCACAAAAGAACACTTCTTTTCTACATATAATCCCATTAAATTTCCGGTAAATCATTCCGTTATCATATCTCTTTTTCATCATCCAGTGTAGTTGCTTTCGCTTAAGTTGGAGATATGATGCAATTAGCAGCTACACCTTTTCCTTGACACCACACATTTTGAGTTTCCCTAAAACTAATTGGTGATTGATGGATTTCAAGGTACTTAGTAAGATTGAAGAAAGCCACTTAGCTGTAAGTAATCATGACAATCATGACATTATAGAACATCACAACGGTGTAAAGGCGCAGTAGATACTATGGATAAGATGGTAAATGAATATTCAGTGAAAAAAGAGAAACGAAAAGATGGCCCTTTGTATTATTTCAAAGTATTTTGGATGTTGCAGCTGTAAATGCTTATATAATTTGGACAACTAAAAATCCAGAACTAAAAAGGAATGACTACAGAAGAACATTTTTATTAGAACTTGGACAAGAACTCATAAAGCAGGACAAGCACTTATCTAAAAGAATTGTGGAGGAGAGATCCGTGTCTTAATTCCTGTGAAAGAAGCTCAAAACCAATAGATTCCAGTTCCATCTTTAAGTCCCATCTTTTAGTCCCAAATATCATCTGTAGCTTTCCTCAACGTTCCTGACATATCTTAACATTGTCTTGGCACCTTAATATCTTCTTCAACATCTAATAATTTCGTCCTTGTTATTTGTAAGCGTCATTTCTGACATCTCACAACATCGTACTCTGAAGTATTTCAATATTGTCCCTGTCCTTCTTTAACATTGTCTATGACCTACATCTCAGGACAGTGTCCTGCTCTCCTCCAACATCCTCTGCATCATTTATTAGTATCCCACAATGTCTCTCTCAACTTATTTCCTATCATCTATTAATATCGTTCTTGATATTCTTAATTACCATCAAATATCATCTGTAGCTTTCCTCAACATAACATTCGCTTTCCTCAACGTTCCTGACATATCTTAACATTGTCTTAGCAGCTTAATATCTTCTTCAACATCTAACAATTTCGTCCTTGTTATTTGTAAGCGTCATTTCTGATATCTCACAACATCGTACTGTGAAGTATTTCAATATCGTCCCTGTCCTTCTTTAACATTGTCTATGACCTACATCTCACGACAGTGTCCTGCTCTCCTCCAACATCCTCTGCATCATTTATTAGTATCCCACAATGTCTCTCTCAACTTATTTCCTATCATCTATAAATATAGATGTCACAAAATCTCCTAACATAATCTCTAGAAACTCTCTTATTTATTCTGTCTCTCTCAACATCATTTCAATCATCTATTAATATCATTCTTGACATCCGCATCTATTATCCACGACACCTTCATTATCGGCACTGGTATCTCAAAATGTTGTTCACTGCCTTAACAAGTACCTTTCAATATCGCCACACTGACTGCCTCTCACATCTCATAACATTATTACAAAAATTATGAAGAGAATTGCCTTTTTAATGGTAAACTTAAAGAAATCACTTTGAGTTTTTGAGACATACATTTTTAAGTTATTCGCACTTGTGTGGATTATTAATTAAGATTAGCAGCATTTTTTGGTTAAATAAAATCATCCTTTCTGGTCATTACCAAAATCCAATTAAGAAAATTTCATTTAAATTCTGAGTTAAAGTTTTTAAACTAAATCGCAATTCAAAATAACTTTTTTATCATCGTTAATTAATTTAATTCACAAATTAAATTCCGATTTTATTTATTGAAAACTCAAAATCCGATAACTACCCATTTATTTTAATTACTTAATTACTTGGGTTTTCCGTCATAATTTTTTTTAAATAAAGATAATTTGATAAAATTGGTGTACTTTCAAAGTTTCGAAATAATTAATCGTGTCATTTACCATTGTAACCCTCCACTTGTAAAAGACAAATTACACAATTTTTTCTCAATTTCAACTTTAAAAATGATTTATTCAACGTGAGATCTTGATTATCCTAAATGTCTTTGAATTATACGACGTGAGAGGATGTCCCATAGGAAGCATTGAATTAAAACGTTTTTGGAATATAAATGTTATAAGGGCAAACAAGGAATTGTTCGCCCTCCCCCTTATCTTATATAAGTCCCTTAGGATCGTAAAACACACGGTATAAACTTTTTTCTCGGCCTTATCTATGCAAAATATGGCTTGAGACATAAAAAGGAGTTATCAAATAATTATTAAGAAAAAAATGTTTAATAAAATTTTCAAACAATCTCTTCGTATTCTTCAAACAATGCAATATCGTATTTGCCAAAAATAAAATAAACATAGGATATCAATATAAGTAAACACATACCATATCATCAGTCCAAAGTCAAAGTTAAAACTATAATAAATAGTGATGACAATTTATTTTAACAATATTCTTTGTGTAGCATTCAACGAATAAGAAGTTAATTTAATTTTTATACAAACATGAAACGAATAAGCTATGTAGTAGTTGCAACATTATTATTAGCGATGGTGGTAATTGCTGATAATGTAGTTGTATGTAAAGCTCAAAATCTTGATTCATTAGCACCCGTTAACGACAATCTGGTAAGTTTTAATTAATAATACTTGAATTTAATTGAATAATTAATAAAAAAAAAATTTATAGTTTGAAGTTGTCCGCACAAACATTTCTCATCCCCAATTAAACAACATTAAAACCGTTGTTTATGCTAGTACTCAATTCGAAGGCAAAAATTTAGCACCGAATCGTGTTAAATACATTTCAGACTTTTTAAACAAACTCTATCCTGAACAAATTTGGAATGTAATAGAAAATTATGTTGAAGGTTACATTTACTCAGACCAATACGTAAATATGAAAGTCTATGCATTTGGATATGAAAACCATCAACGACGTGATTGGATACAATATTACATATTTACTATTTAATATTTATTTTGTAAGTTTTTTATTATTAGTAATAATGTAAGAATTTAAATAAAAATATTAATTAGTTTTGATTAAATAGAATTTTTATTTTGAATTGAAAATAACACAAGGTTCAAATGAAAAGTAAGTGAACGTTTTACCTCGTGACACAAAAAGTATATAAACTTAAAGTTCAACTAACTCAAACTAACCGAATCGGTAAAATCACTAGGTTCAAGTTAGATCAAGTTTCAGAAAGACGTAACATTTCGGTTCAATAATTGCTTTATTTTTATCCTCTCTAAGAAAGAAAAGATTTGTTCTTTAGAACACTCTTATTTTACACAAAGGAATGAGAAGAGTGTATAAATAAAACCAGTTTTTTAATTAACATAAGTAAAATAATTATATATTAATAATATTTAACAATTAGAACTTTTAAATCAAGATATTTCAAAGTGTAAAACTTGAATATTATCTAAAACTGTGATATTGGGATATTTGGAATCGCCTAAATTGGTTTCAAAGTACATTCCTATTATTATTTAAACATTAATGATAGTAATTAACTAACTGCCATCTTTGTCAACACTTCCGGCGCTTATATAGGCTGATTTAGCAAATCACCACAGTTTCAAAACATCTTCTATTGATCTTAGAGAAATCTAACTAATTTTCTTTCCTCGTGTTGCACATCTGTTTTGGGAGGTCACATCTATGTTCGTTTTTACATTTGACTAAACCAACCTGGCACGATATGCTGTACCTAAACATAGCAACTAATCTTTTCCGATTATACTAACTCTACATCCTCCTGCACTAACATCCAGTAATTACGGCAATCATATCCGAACATATTTTCGACGATTTCTCATGTTTCTGGGGTAACATAGTACTTCGCCCACCCATGATTGTATGAATATAACCAATGGATGTAAGGAGGTCATGTATCCATGCTTTCCGCTATGATCCCTCGTTGTGCTCGAATCGAGTTGTACAGGATATATGTTAATCTTCTTCTTCTCAAGGTGCTCATCTGACGCAAATGTTGAAAATGATATTGCAATTATTTCAGAAATCGTTGAAACTGCTCTTGAAGTTTTGTAATAAATACAATGAAACATTTAAAGAAGAAAAGGCAGGAATTCATAAGATCTTTTGGATATTGGGACACAATCAACGACTTAAGATATTTGGTCAAAAGTTATTTAGACAGATAATGTTGTAATGTGGCTAAATTTATTATGATAAAAAATGATTGGTCAAAATCGCTAAGAATGGAAAGCCACTGTCAAGGCGACTATCAAAACGCTCCCCTAAGCGGTAGAGGGATGTTACACAAGCCAAAAGCTTTCATCAAGAAGAAAAAAAAGATGCCGACCACTATTTAACTGATTAAGGGTAATTACGTGATGTTTCAGCTTACAGTAAACTTGTAGGTAAAAAAAATGTTATTTCGTCATGCAACTAAGTATCTTGAACAGGTTGAAAACGTCATTATATTGCTAGCTATAATGATTTCTGGTTCGGCTTCAGGAGTATTATTGTATCTATACATTACATACAAGGCAAATCATAACTGGATGTATATTAAATGCAACATTCACAGCAAGATCTCATCATATTTCACAGACACTATGAAAACCATGAAAGATGTAAAAAGAACGACAAAGCCTTTATTTATCTTCCAAAAAACTCCACCAACCTCAATCACCCTTTGTATTTTGGGATTTTCTATCCGTTCAAGATAACATGAAGATCGATTCTAACCAACTGGTTGAAAATCCTTCCGCCATAGACGCCTTTAGACAAAATAGATTTTTCTCGGTCATTAACTTTTACGCTTATTAATTTGAAAATTCAAATAAGATAAGTTTAATAAGTTCGTTTTGTACAACCGGTATTGTTCGTTCTATTGCCAACGTTCTAGTTAATAATTTCAAACAATAAAGGTGCAATGCAGAACTAATAAAGAGGAATATTAAACGGTGTATATTAAACTACCCGTGGAAACCGGAAAGAGCGTTGTAATACAGAATGATGAAGATTCTAATAATTCAGAGGTAAATGAGGCAGTGACTTATGATAGCTACACTGAAGATGTTCTACAAATCGAGAATTATGATGACAGATTACTTCGAACCAAAAAAATATGGAATTCGCACCGGGAAAATTCCTGCTGGTAAAGATGTATGAGGAATCAATAAAAAAAATTGTTACCCGGACGTAAATAATGTCCAAAGTGTAAATGAAGAAGGAAAAGAGCTAAAATCTACAGTTTCAATCAGAAAAGTCTTCAAAGTTGAAGAAGACGACGAATTTTTAGCAGTCCTGTTTGATATAAATGAAATTTAGCCAAATCATACTTTACAAAAAGGTCGAAAAGGTGGTTATTAACAATTTCATTCCATGATATATAAAATTCTGTAATTTCTTAACTGTTTGAAAAAGAGAAGAGTGGGTGAGATTGATCATAATGTGATATCAATCACTTGCTTGCCGTATATGCATTAAAACTTTAGTGATCAATCTTACCCAAAACATACGAAATTGATCAGGGTTATCTGTAAAAAGACCAGTAATAACACAACCGTTACCGAGACGGTTTGACCAATCACATAAAAAATTTTCTACGCATCATGGTGCGACGCAAAATATTACGTCATTTAAGACTCGTATTTAATGTCTCAAAAAAATAGAGACGTACGGTTATCTTTTTTTTTGTTAAAAATTTTACAAAATAAACGTTTTTTGTTTAATATTTACTTAATTTTAAATTAATGGAATAATGGAACCTTTCGAACCTCCTTGTGTTCTTCTCGGTAATTGCAAAGAGTACCAACCCATAAATAATAATTGTTTCGAGCCAAATTTAGAACTAAACGTAAACGAAACCCGCACCAAGTTTATTTCCGCGCCCACATCAAACGAAAACCCCAGACTACAACACCAAACTTACTTTTGAAAAAAGACTCCAACTCTCCTTCCACTCACTTTATAAAATTCGAATCGAATGAATTCGTTTTTCACAAGTTTTTTGTTCTTCCAAAAAAATTTTTGTGGTTGTTAAAAACCCGGTGGAAAGAAACACGTGGATAACTCGCGAGTTTGTGATACAAAGGTGGTGTAAGCGAGGCGTCAGGACGCAAACTGACGACGTCGACGTCGCGTTCCAGACGTTTCAGGAAGGGCGCAGGTCGCTAAACTACAACGAGAGAAAGACCCTTCATCTAGTCCACGGCGTAAACAGATACCCACGGCGAGGAAGAACAAATTTTCAACACGAACACAAAGCGAACGTGTAGCGGCCGTTTCATTCTTTTGTTGGAAATTGGAATTCTTGGCACGTCACGTTGTATATCTTCATGATTGTTGTATCTACGTTTTATGGGGAAAAGTTTTGATGAATTTTTACAATTTGGTTACAATTTCAAATGATATTAAATAATTTTATTTTAAATCAAATAAAATTATAATTTCAATTAATTTCTAAATTAGTTCCTTTCCAAGTCTCTACAAAATATTTTCAGATTCAATAAAATCTTTTGTTGGAGCCGATTTTTATCTTTTAAGAAATCTAAATAACGCAGTGAAATCAATAGCCTCCGATGCTTTTCTGAAACCTTAGTAAACGCCGAAGTTGTTTTCTTAAAACATCTATTTTCTGGAAGTAAAGCAACCGATACTGAATAATGGATGCAGCAATGCATATGTCACTAGCCCACATCTTTCACCGAACTTGAATAAAACCCGTATAAAATCCGATATTGATATCGGGTAAAACACTCGAGATGACATAAAATAGCAAAAGAAAATCTAATAAAACCTAATAAATCCAATACGATTGACACAATTTTTAAGATACGCTTTTCTATAAAAATAATGTATGTTTACATTTAGTTTGTTTAGAATTCCATCTTTCATACCACCTTGTGGGCGTGCTTCCAGCAAGTCTATTTAATCTTGAGATACCATCTCTTGCAATTTTCCGCAAAATGTTGTCATCCATCCGTGGTCCCTCTATATCTTGGACACTGCAGAATTCTCTGATGTCTTCGCTTCTCTTAAGGTCTCTCAGGGTATAGCCTGCTATGGATCGTAGGTTCCTCATCTCTGCTATTCGAATGATTCTCTTTATTATAGAGTTTTCAGCCCTTCTTTACACAGCGTAAATCATAACAGGTCTTGTATATGCAGATTTTACTTTTCATGGTCATGTGTTTATTTCGCCATATTATACAGGATGATTTATTAGCTCACTATCAAGCTTTGACATATGATAGCTAATCCAATTACCAAAAAAAATGTTAATAAACATATGTCATATTTCAATTATTTACGAAATTATAACACTTTAAAGTTTTCTGCAGCGAATTTATTAATAGTCAGTAAAATCAAACATTCAACGAAAACAAAGTTGTCATTGTAATATGTCAGTTTGCATACTCAGCTTACATACAAGAAGATACTCAAAATGTACGCTTATAGCACTGAAGAATATGCTGATATAATTTTCGTGTATGGTTTTTGCAATGGAAATGCACTTTGTGTCTCCACTCTATCCACTCTATGTCGTATTGATCCTGAGATCAAAATGAACTAAAATACTTTCATTGCTGGACAGAAAACTAAGCTGGCAGAGGATATCTAGAGATTTCTTCACACTTATTTGATATAAATCTGAATGAAGAAGTCCAGGAAAATATCAAACTTTTCTGCAATGAGCTTCTTCCGTGCCTTGATAAATATTTTTTGCAAAAAATTCACTCAGAACTCTCAGTGTGTGGCCAAACCTTTCTCCTTGTCGGCAGGGTGTTTGGTAAAATCGTTAAGTAGACCTACAGTGTTTTAATACTAAGAAGTTGCTGTACAAGCTCTACACTGCCAAAAGATGACAGTGTGCTGTGAAAATTAGAAAGTCAGATTAATTGGGGTCAACCTCGTTTTGCTTTCATATTTTAATTCCTTATTTTGAAAAAAATGAAATTGACAATGTCATAATGAATTGACATCTGGTTCGTGCAGGATCGACTCAGAATGAAATAAGTTTTTTTCAATTTTTGACAGTATGTATCATAAGCCGTATTAAACTTTGGGTGTTTCTTTCTCCATGCATACCAGATGTGAGATGTATGTCAACGCTTTGAAGCAAATCGGAATGTCAGTTGTTCCATTGAATAAATATGAAGCATTGCGCAAGTTCAGTAAGCTTCATTTAAAGCTATTCTTCGCATTACGAGCTTTAAAGTGATCTTATTTTGCTCATTATACATAATCTGTAAACACAATCTTAATAAAATGGTTTATTGCGAAAGGGTGTTGAAAGACAATTAAATAATGGTGGCGTAGAATGATTATGTGTTTAATTTAGGTATAAAACATAGTTAATTAGCTTGTCAAAAACATTCTAACCATAAGGAATAAATACCTTCGTACAAACAAAAAGAAAATAAGAAAACGTGAACACACAAATCACGGTCTATAGTATACAATAAACTTTAGAAGCTGACATCGTTGACAACTTTATTATGTTCAATTTATGACTCGAGAACCGCGAATTCTGACCGTGAGAATCCTAAAAAAATGAAATAAAAAATTTATAAGTCGATTATCTGTCGATGTGGTTCATAACGCTATTACACAGACAAATTTATTATAGGAATTCAATTTAATTAAATTATTAATAATGAATTATTGAATTATTGGCATTCGCCAGATGGTGTTCCGTAACCACAGTTCATTAAGTCGATTATCTCTAATTTAGCATTTCAATACGGTTATTTGGACAACTGTGTTTGGAGCTTCCGCTTTGGTGAACTACTACGAAATCTATCACTGATAGATTTCAATCTGAATTTCCTTTACAGATGAAACCCTTCAGATTGCAGCGATAGTATGCGGTGGTCAGATAATTTCGTTGACGAGAAACTAACTTTGTTGTCTTAGTATTTAGTATTCCGATTTAGTTACAAAATACGACTAATTTCGTATAGAAAACACTAATTATATTCTCTCTCAACTATTGAGACACGGTTTGGACGAGATCGGTGTCTCCCAATGGAGGTAGGAAATGTCTGGATAAAGAGGGAAGCCAGACCCACATCACGTTTGGCAAATTCATTAATCAATCGGTACGAACCTGGGTTGGGAAAGGAGCAATCGAGTGGCTGAGTTTCCATCGATTATCCTCTTGAAAAGCTGGAATGCTTGAAAGTTAATTATCCGTGGGAATTGTTAGGCAGCACTTATAGACACATCCGAAATCTGCACCATAAATTAATAGACGATAACGAGGGTCATAATGAATGGAGAACCAAATACGGGGATAAATGAAATCTTTAAATTAACAGTCCTTTCAATTTCGTCGAAAACAGAGAAAATCAATAAGTTAATACATTTTTAACTTCTTAAATAGTCCTTTTAAATAAAAGAATTGTGCAATTTGAAGTTCTTATTTCTATAAGATGGTAGAAAAGTTTGTGTCAAAAATCTGTTAAAATTAATAATATTCTTCCAGAAGAGGGAAATAATACATAGATGGAATGTATCATCTTTAAAAGAAATATGATCGACGTTATATAAATAATTTGTCATAAGATTGATTAGAATGGTCTCTCGTATACTCCCTTCTCGCACGCTGATACGAGCAACTCTCAAAGTTCTATCATAAATTATTTACAGAAGGATGCCACCACCATATCCGGGATTAAGCTGTTCCTTTGAACGTGTCAACTAATCTACCCTTTAAAATGTGTTGTAAAGATCACCGCCCTTTGTTGTTGATATCAAAGACGTATTATTAATTTAATCATGTACCAATTTCATGTTATGGTATGCTTTAAAGTAATAAAATTAAAACGAATTCGTATCAAAACTTGATTAATTTTGTGTAAGTCGTTGTTACTCGCCTTTTAAATTTATCTCATCAATTTCACAATCCCGTTCGGACGAATCACATCGAGAATTTTCATTAGGTTCACATCAATCAACACAAAAAAAGCTATAAATTCAGAGTAAAGTTCACGTTAAATGGTGTATTTTTTGTGCAATGTATGAAACTTTAGATTAGTGGAGTATAACTTTTTAAAATAACCTCTAATAATCTGCTATAGTGAATTAATTAAACATAATAACGTCCAAATCTTATTTATACGTTTTTAAACGATGAGTCATTCGTGTTTCTCGTATTGACTATATCATCAATTAAACGTCAAAAGAATGAATTTAACAACACTTTATATGATACTACACCACCTTTCTTACACTTATTGTTAGATTATAGCTTCTTTATAAATTTATAACTCGTACATTATAAAATCGTTAAATCTTATTGATCGTTTTCTCAACTTGTAACTTAGTTCAACTATCAATCTATTACTTTAAATTGATTCAACTAAAGTTCTTAAAAAACATTCAAAGGAAAGTTTTAAGTATGATTTCCCAAGAGGGATGCTTAAAAATTACTCATTTCAATAAAATATACAACAAGTTTGATTTTTCTTTAGAAACACCACTCCAGGAAAAAATTCTCATCCAGATCCGCGGTTTTTTTCTGTATAGAACTCGAGTTACTCCGAAGGGGTTTAAAAGTAGGGATTATAACTAGTACAAAAAATGATTCGAAATTTACATATTTAAACTTTCCGAGGGGTTAGTCTAAAAAAGCTTTCGAGGTCTTAAATTACTCTGCTGAATAATTTGCGCTTGCTTTTCTTTGTTTTTGTTGTATTTTTATTGTTTTAATTCAAATTTAAATGAAGAGTACTTATTTACCTTACTTAATACATAATTTTTATAAAACAATATATAAATTTTCCAAGAATTTTTTTAAATAAAATTCATTTACAACATTAATTTAGAAAGCGAGCGAAGCTCAATTGAAGCACCTACTACATGGTAATGAACTACTTGTACTGTTAATGATGCAAGCAAACTGCGAATGGATGGTGCGTCAATTGCTAAAGCCCATTTAGTAATCAAATTCTGAATGAAAACCAACTCTCGGCTATGAAAAAAAAAAATTTTTTCAAAATTATTTGGCGTCGATATTCATATAGAAAAATACTGTTTGCTAAAAAAATTTATGGTTTCATTCGGTTTGGTGAACGATCGATAGACTGTTTGACGTTTAAATAACTCATAGAGGTTATTTCAATCAATAAGATTGTTAAAAGCTAAGAGATCCTCGCGTTACATCAACTACAATAGAATGTAGCTCATTTCGTAGGTGTAACGTAATGTGTGGCCTGAATTAGAAACACTTTTATCGATCGATACAAATTTAAATATTAATAGTTTCTTTAAATATCTCTTTTTTCAAAATTAAAGTTACACACAATTCCCTCATTTGTACCATTTTAAAGATTACAATATTTTCTTTTGGTTCAATTTATTTAAAATTTTCAGTAAAACATTAGTTAACTATGGTCAGTCTTTAAATAAAGTTTCTTACCTTTAATTTGATTCCAAAATATAAAGTTTCATCCAAGGATGGTAAAAGGGGCAATAGACATTTGGTAGGAACTATTACAAGAAGAGGGTGAAGAAGAAGAGAATTGGGTTGAAGATGAGTATGGCGATTCTACGTGATTGTAATGTTGACATCATTGAAAAATAAATTGTTTATATAGTGTTCTACTATATTCTGCACTCTTTTCGTGTAGCCTCTTAATTTATGAGCCACATGTTGTTCATATACGTACCATCCATCTGTCTTAACGGCACTATTTGCAACCGCAGTTCTTAAAATGCCTAAAACTGATTGTCCGAGGCGTAGGGGCAGTTACTTCCTGCGCTTTGGTAGCTGTTTCTTCAATATCTTCTTGTACATTCTCTGCAACGCCTTAATTTTCCAAAACACTTCTAGTCTCCAATACACTTCCTCTTTCAAATTCAGTATTTTCATCCTGAAATAAAAGAAATCTAGGTTTAAAGGAAATTGTATAATGCATATCAGAAAAGCCACAAGTCTAAATTTTAATTTTGATTCTCTTTCAGATACCAATATGTTCAGAAGAGTGGCTGAACATATCCAGTTTGAAAGATTATGTAAATTTGCTCATTGCGTAGGATATATGGACGAGCAGCAGATAGTAATCCAGGCCCGTTTTCAAAGTAGATGTGATTTCTACAATTACAAATAAACTTTTAAGAAATATGAACAAAAATTCTAATAAACGATACCTTTACCACTAGTTAAATACCTAGTTTTAGTTTAATAAAAATATAGAATAAATATCTAGCACTGAATAATAATTAAAATAATATAATGATAAATAATATAATTAATATAATAACTAAAACTAGAACTAACTCTAGACCTACAACTACAATCATTCGGATTTAGTCGCCTTTAGAAAGGTTTCTTGCTTTCTAGGTTTAGTGTTAGTTCTAGTTCAATAAAAATATAAAGCACTCTAGCACTGAATTACAACAGAGTAAGCGTGACACGTATTGGACGAATTGGTCCAATACTGACGTCATTTCCTGAATTACAAAAGAACAAAGGATGTAACAGTCCGATTAGATTCTTTCAGCATTGATTTCATCAATTTCTTTGTAATAAATATTTTTAATTTTAGGCAACCCAACATACACCAATACTTCAAAAACGTCAATATTAATTTTTTTTTATATTTTTTTAATAAATTTTTAATAATTATTGATATTTTAATAATATAATTTTTAATATAAATCATTTCGTACTTTCTCATCAATTTTATTAACTTAACACTGTTATTACCAGTTAATTTTCTATTTTCCTCTTTAACTCAACTAGAAATCATTAATCAAAAGCTTTTTCTTCATTCAATACATTTTTACAACACACAACCTCGATATATCTCCATTTAACGAATGGCTAAGTTACATGCTTTTAAACTCTCATATATCTTCACATAAACAACCCCACATCGGGATCTCTTTTTACCACTTTAAAGGGCTTATTTTGCTATTTTAGAGATGATAGAAATAAAAAAAATATGTTGTAGGGTTAAGTGATACAAGGCATTATTTTACAATAATTGACGAAGATTTATTTTCGTGGCTGACCTAATAATTCATGATAATAGAGTCATTATTTCTCTGGGTGATATATCAATAATCGTTAAAGGTGACACTATGATAATATATTGTTTTGGATTGATTTATTATATCTGGAAAATTAATTTACATTAATTTATTATTGATATTAAAATGATATGTTATTTAAATTTAAATATAAAAGAATTCGTGCCATCTAGCGACTAAAAAAAAATACTTTGTAATGTTAATTTAATTTATAGTTTTGTTTCAATTTAATTAATTATTTATACCTTAAACTTTTATTTCATTTTAATCAATAAAAATAAATAAATTCACAGAAAAACTTTAACAACATAATGAAGTGAAGTTGACCTATAATTTAACTGTCACTTTGACATATCACTGTCATTAGGGTAACATAACCTTTAAAAATCAGTCAATAATAGCAACAATAGACGTGGGTATTTTTTACGTGGAGAAAATAGTAAAGTACGTTTTTCTGCGGAAAGTTTTAATTAAAAAATTCCTTTTAAATAAGTCTTTTTTTAATAAACGTAAGTAATTAATTCTTAATTGTTAAATATCCCAGGAAATAGATTTCAAAGTTGTATTTTATTGTTCTCTTTGTATTAATAATTAGTTTCTAGGTTGAATGACCCTCATTTTTTAAAACGATTAAGAATAAACAATGAACATGCTCAGACATAGGGGATCAAAGGTGGAAAAAATTAAACAATTGGACTTCTTTCCAAAAGTTCAAGAAAGTTTTAAGCAAAAATCATCTGTTGGGGGCACATGTAAGTCTACAAAAATGAAGTTAAATTACATTTTTATCACATTTTTTATTAGTTTCAGTAATTACTTTTATTCTTATCCTTTGGTTAATATACACGGAAACTTCTTATTATATGAACAGTAAATTTATGTTTAAATTCTCTCCGGACACAGATATAAATGCTAAATTAAAAATTAACATAGATATGACGGTAGCTATGCCTTGTTCGAGTAAGTTGAATAAAATTCTTTTAAATTATAGTAATTGTATTGTAAAAATAGAAATTTTATAAGTTATGCTAGTTTTAATTAGGTATTGGAGCCGATATTCTTGACTCAACAAACCAAAACGCCTTTAAATTTGGTTCATTAGAAGAAGAAGACACATGGTTTGAATTATCACCTAATCAAAGAAGGCAATTTGATAATGAACAACATTTTAATTCTTATTTAAGAGAAGAATATCATGCAGTTAAGGTGTGTCGTTTTTTTATGTTGTGTTCTCATTATATTTAACTTAATAAATTTGTTATAGGATGTATTATGGAAAAGTCGTTATATGTCAAATTCTGGAAGCCTTCCTCCAAGAGAGGACAAACCTAATCGACCACATGATGCATGCCGTATTTATGGCTCTTTAATTCTTAATAAAGTATCAGGAAATTTCCATATAACAGCTGGAAAAAGTTTAAATTTACCTCGAGGACACATTCACATCAGTGCCTTTATCTCAGAGAGAGATTACAATTTTACACATAGAATAAATCGTTTTAGTTTTGGCGATTCTAGTCCTGGTATTGTTCATCCCTTAGAAGGTGATGAAACGATTGCTAAAGATAGTAAGTTAAAAATTCAATTTTAACAAATATTACTGATTTTTATTTTGTTATGTAAGAGTTTTTGTTGTCAACTAACAGTTTACAATGTTTTCCATTATACATGGTCCTGCAACAGTGTGTCATTGCTCTTATACCAACTAAGTTAGGAATTTCTTTCAAACGCACACTTGTACTATATATATGAGTGTATTTCTGGAAAATAATTTCGCATATAGGGGCTGGTCAAAAAAGTGTGACGACACAAATTGTATTTTTTGACATATTTGGATTTGTCTGTTTTCAAGGTTTATGAAAAACTTTACTTTTTGCAATTTGATTCGATCGTTCTCGAATTATTCGAATTTTTCTAAAAAAAATCTGCTCCAGCAGACATTTGTTCAAAAAATCAGAGAACACTCGATTTTTGGGATATCAATTTAGGATTCAGAACATGCTTAAGCAACATGATGGAGTATGTTTTGGTGCTGAGAACGGCTGTCTACATTGTTTGGTCACTTTACTATAACACGTTAACTTTTCGAAATTTAGAAATACCATAACTTAATTTTTTTAAATGGCACCGCCCATATTTTATTTCTTAGTCGTCTTCGAAGTCTCATTTTACATCTTTTATACCCTATATGTCCTATACCTAACATTAATAGTTTGGCAAATAATTAGGGTTTTTTTTGCAAAATGCTCACATATATCGATATTAACCTAGTGTGCCATGGAAAACAAATGTTTATTGAGTTACGGGTGTTCCATTTAAAAAAAATATATTTTGTGTCACACTTTTTTGGACCACTCCGTATATGCGAAAATATTTTCCAGCAATGCACTCATGTACAGGATGGTTCAAATTCGATGTCCAAATAGGCTATCTCGGAATCTATAAGAGTTAGAAAAAAAGTAGCTTATATGTCATGACCTCGTTTTTCGAGAAACTGCTAATGCCAAAAACCTCAAAGCGCTATCGTCTTTTGTTTTTCCGCTAGAGGCCAAAATTGAAAATATCGTAAAACCAGCAAGTGCAATTATCTTGGTTATTATTATAGATGGAGTATTATAACCCAGACATTATATGGACACTTTTTTACAGAGAATTTAATGACTATCCACTAACTTCCCCCTATCCACCTTATCCAATGCCGCCTTCAAATCTATGAATAGGGCATACAACTTCCCTCCCTTTTTATCCAACTCTCTATCCAGCAGATGTTTTAAGTAAACCTTATCGATCGCCCCTGTATCCTTCCTAAAACCTGCCTGTCCATCCGATAACATTCCTCCCATCTCAATCTCTTCTTCCAATCTTCCCAGCACTATCTTCGCATAAATCTGGTATGAGGAGTTGAGTAGGCTGATTCCCCTATAGCTCTCCACTGCTCTCTTACTTCCCTTCTTCGAAAATCCAACGTCTCTAACAGCTTCCCTTTCACCTCTCCTGTCGCCTCCAACTATGCCTCGTTCTGTACCCCATCCTCCCCCGGTGTCTTTCCCCTCCTCGACCGCCTGCCTATCTTCTACCCTTCCCAACAAATTCATAAATTGACTAATCCATTCCGCCATCCATATATCGTTTCTTCAACTTCTTCGAATACCTCCACACATCCTCTTCCCATCTTATCTCCTTAATTTTTGCTGCCTCCCTCAACCTCAACTTTTTCTTCTTGCCTCTTGATTATATATGATTATATTTATGTAAAATTTTACATTATTTTTATATTGTTTAATTTGTTATTAAGGTATGACCTTGTATCAATACTTTATCGAAGTTGTACCAACTAGTGTCAAAACATTTTTAACATCAACTGAAACGTGTCAATACAGTGTTAAAGAATTATCGCGTCCAATAAACCATGATAAAGGAAGTCACGGAATGCCTGGGATTTTCTTTAAATACGACGTTTCCGCCTTAAAAGTACACGTTATTCAGGAAAGAGAACATGTTGGAATGTTTTTAGCGAAATTATGTTCCATGATTGGTGGAATTTATGTGTGTTCAGGTAACGATTTTAAATTTCAAGTTTGATTTTTATTTAAATCTTTCTAAACTGTGATTGCCAACAGGTATTATAAATAGTGTAATTCAATTAATGGGAAATTTCTTCCTATGCAAATGGATGAAGAAGAATGAGAATGTGGCAACATTGGAAAAATATAAAATTATTGTTGATGAAAAAGTGAAAAATAATATCCCTGATGTTGTACCTTTAGTTACATAAAACAAAAATAAATAATAAAGCTTCAATCATCTTTTAATTAACAACTACATTCTTAATTTCATTATATTCATATATTTTATATCAACTTAAATTAAAGTCTTAATTAAAACAAGAGGACACTTTGGACAAAGCCTAAATTTGAGAGTGTAGCTGCTCTCAGATTTGATTCTTATCCTTGACTATACAACATATGGTTTTAGGGACCAAGCCATAAAACAGAGTAAGGCTGCTCTCAGTATCGAATTATGCACTTTGTTACAATGCAGGTCAAATTAGAGAAAAGTTATTCTTCATTACCAACAAATAATAAATAAATAAAACCCTACACTTTTCCTTCATCATGGAGTAATTAAGCCATTATATATGTTCAAGACGACTGTGAAGCTACTGATAAAACAGATTAGGAAAAAGTATCCAGGTTGCCAGATATTTAACTGAGGCACAACTAATAAATAATCATTTTAACCGATTCTCATCTTAATGACTTTAGATGTGAGGAACACTTTCAACTGAGAAAGCTGGAACGATATTCTCTGCTCAATAAAAGATTTTTCTGTCCCGAACTTACGACGAATGGTGACCAACTGTTTTATGACTAGTACTACTGCACATCTGAGGGCTCTTGGCGCAAAACAACGACGTGCGGAGTTGCGTAGGGATAGGTTCTTGGGCCGGAACTATGAACCATTTTGTGTAAGACGCCGGGCTAAACATAAAACTTTTTAGTTCTAGCTCTAGCGTTAGTTCTAGTTTTAATTGTAAAAAAAAGTCTAAAGTCTTGTACATTTTTATTGATCTAAAAATATTTTTTTTTAATTTAATCCACTTACCTTGCTTATAATTTCATCCATTTACCCATTTTGAATTAAATACAACCTTTAAATCCAATTAATTGTGTTTTTCATAAAAAAAAAACTTAAATTCAACATCAATTTTGACAAGCAACTGCAATATTTGCCATTTGGATCTTAATCACCATGGTAACCGAGTCAAGTTGGATAACCTTAAAATAATAAAATTTGATTCCGATTTTTTTATCAATTCTAACCTAATTTTTATTAATTTTAAAACAATTCGAATTCTTTACGATTATCTCGCATTCATAACAAATTCGTTAATTGTAATTAATTGAAATCGATTCTAATTAAGAGAAATAAATTAAAAATATTTTTTTTGATTTAATCCACTTACCTTGTTTATAATTCCCTAGATAAACCAATTTTGAGTTAAATACAGCCTTTTAACCCAATTAAATAAGACTTATTCCTTAAAACAATTTAAATTCAATTTTGACAAGCATCTGCAATATTTGGATCTTAATCACCATGGTAACCGACTCAAGTTGGATAACCCAACAATAATAAAATTATAACCGTTAATTTCGCTTTATATTTTATTTATTTTTTTATTTTATTTTATATTTTTATGTTTTTGTGTATTGTTTCTTAAGTGAAATGCACTGTGTAAATAAAAACATAGAAATGTCAATTCTTCCAATGACGTCACAGCAAGGCCTTTGCGGGGGGATACGTTCATAATAACAGCGTTCATATGGAGTTGGGAGTTAGATAACCTTATACAGTATGTTTACTCAACGGACCTTAATGACAAATATGTCAAAATTGACGTTGACGTTTCAAACGGGAAATGATTGTATTTCCATTAATATTAAAGTTAAATATGTCGAGTTTGGACTCATTTTAAAAGATTTTTTATGAAGATTACGAATATAATAATAAAATTAAAGTTGACATTGACAATGGGGTCATACACGATTTTTTTTTTATTATATTTTCTGAAAGTTTATATAAAAATATAGTTACCGTTATTTTTTTTTTTTAATATTTTCGAACAAAGTCATTGTTAAAAAAATTATTGAAAATTTATATACCCATTTGCGCTTTTAAAATTCCCGCGTTGATGACGTACGCTTCTCACTTTTGCGTCCCCTGCTCCCGCTCAAATGCGAGAAAGAGATGAACGTCATTTAGGTTGTATTGAAAAGAGATAGAGTGTTTGTAGGTTATGTTTATTATGTTTTGTTCATGGATGTAATAGAGACACTGTATTACATCCATGGTTTTATTTTGACACTGTCACACCGCAAGCGCTATCTAACGGACAATTTAACTTGTTTTAGTCAGTGCGGTTTCTACGTCACAGAAAAGCCGCGAAATTATTTCGTTTGAATATTTGCTATTTTTCACTTCAAATTACGCAAAATATAAAATTGATCAAAATATTTCTTTTACTTTGTGTTCATGCATATACTTGCATATGTCGTGTGACATAAAAATTTTCTCTAAATTTAATAAGTGTGTATGACCCCATTCAAAGTTTTTTTCTAGTTTATTATGTTTTAATTTACAACTCTTAATTTCATTATATTTTATTTGACTAAAATGTACAATACAATAAAAAAAATATAAATAACAAATTGTAACAATACATAAAGATAAAATTATATAAACAAATTCTTTAATTTATTCATATCCTGTATATTTTTAACTTTAATCATATCCTCTAAACATTGCAATTCTTTTTTCACAGCATTTGATAAGGATTGGTCCAATTCTAAAACTTTATTTAAATCATCCTGAGCATCTTTTGGGTTCCAAGCGCCAATATGTGCCTTTCCTCGTCGAAATAAAGCTTTAACATTGTTTGGATCAGTTTTTAATACGGTTGTACAATGTTCAATGACAGCATAAAAATCTTCTTGTATTAATTTACATTGCGCGAAATTTAGTAAAATAATATTTTTTTGTAAATTTAACTCATTCCATTCTGTATCGTAAGGTTTTTCTTTTAACATAAATTGTTCTAAAATTCCTATAGCTTGCGAATACATTTCGGCTGCAATTCCAAAATTCTTTTTCTTATAAGCATCATTACCCTTTTCTTTTAATTCAGGGACAAGTTTGATTCTTTCATCTTCTGACATTTGCCAAATTTCTTTATTATAAGAGTCTGGTTGTTGGACATCAACTAAATCGATTGTAAAAATTAAATCTTGCGGTTTTTTTATTAATTCGTTTAAATCGTCATAGCCGACACCTTCTGTTTGGATAGTCATTGAACAAAAGTGAGATTTACGTTGTTCTGGGGGACGATCTATATCTCTTAATGTTTTTGATATAAATGGATATTGTAATACTAGAGATTTGTCGACTAAAAATTCCGCCACTTCTCTTATTGCCATTTTTTGTAAGATTACTTCCCAAACTTCCAATTTAAATTTCTTTCCAATGATTAATTCTAATGGATTTCTTTTACCCATTTTCCTAGAGTCATCGAGGACTGTCTTTTCAGGATCATTTTTGCATGTTTTGAAATGAAAGAAACATTTCGTTCCGTCTTTAAATGTTGCTTGTTTTGATCCGGGATGTAACACAGTTTTTGTTATTAAATAATTGTAGTCTGGTGCCATTTTTCTTAGTTGATTAATTTAATTATTTGTTTTTGGTCTATTTAGCGCTAAAATTACGAATTTATTTATAATTTGATAATATTCAGGAATAAAATTATTGACAATTATGACAGATAAGGTTAGGTTATTTGTCAATATAAGTAAACGTCAAATAATAGTTGAGGTAACTCCTTCATAGATGGAGCTATAAAAGTGGAATTTTACTTTGATTTGATTTCTTTTTGTAATTTCTTATTAAATGTCCCTTTTCCAAACATAAAGATTTTAGGCTTCTTTAATTTAAGCCGCCTTGAAAAGCGCACAGCTAAACCCGAAAGTTTCTAGGTCTAATGTTAGTTCTAATTTTAGTTCAACGAAAACTATACAACCATCTAACACTGAATAACAAATAAACTAGAATTAACACTAGATCTAGAACTAGAAACATTCGGGTTTAGCCGTACGTCTCTTAAGACGACTAAACCCCAATGATTCTAGTTCTAGGTCTAGCTTTAGTTCAATGAAAAATGTACTATACTATAATCTAACTCTGAACTGAACAACTAAGAGTAGAACTGACACATAATAGAACTCCATCATCTACATATATGGCTAATATAATTATTGTATCTTCATTTTTAAATACACACTGTTCCGTTTTCAGCTGTTTCAATCTGATACTTTCTAAAGCATCTGTAAATATCTTGTTTCATCTTTTGGGGTGCTTGTCATAATACATACAGCGCCTTTTCCAATTTACAGACTTGTCCTTCTAGATTATGCCATACAAAAAAGCTGTTTTTATATCAAATTTTACTATTTTACTTGTTTCTGCAGCTGCTGTTGTTAATATTGCTCTAATACAGCTCATACTTGCTATAGGACTGAATAACTCTTCTATGTGTTCTTGTTCAAAACCTCTTACCACTAATCTGGCTTTATAAGTTCGTCGTCCTTAATGTTGAATACTCATTTATTACTCATTATCTTTTGTCCAAATTCTATTGCTTCTAACCATTTTTTTCTTGTCTTCACCTTTTATTGCTTCATAAAATGTCAAGTAAACATAGTCCTTGAACTTTACATGTATTTTTTTATTCTTTGACCTCTTCTATAATGATTTTCTTCATCTTCCTTCTCTCTATGTTCTTCATCTTGCTCCTCCCGAGTTGTTTTGTTTTCTTCTTCCATTTGTTCATCAATTTCGTCACTCATTTGATTAACCTCTTGATCTAATCTTAATTCAACTTGCTCACTCTACTTTCCATTTTTATTTCTTTTGTAAGAAAAGCTGGTTTTGTTTCCGTTCCCTTCTTTCTAAAATAACAATCCTTTTCAGCATGATTGTTCTTCTTGCAAATTCCATATTTGTCCTTCTGTTGTTCTTTTCCATTATTTTCCCTACAATTTCTTGCAATATGCCCTTTTTTGTGGTACTTGAAGCACACTATTTCTTTCTTTCTTTCTTTTTATATTCTTTAATATTAAAATTTTCCGATATGTCCTGGTTTTTTACAATTGAAGCAAGTTTTTTCTACCGATGTAAACGAAGTTGATGCATTTTTTGGTTTGCCTTTTAATAATTCTTCTTCTTTTATTAATCTTGATGTCAAGTTTGTTAAGATTCCTTCATTTATGAAAGCTTAATAAAATTTATAGTCCAACAACGTCTTCATTTGTCTCGTTAAAGTAATTCGTCAGTGGAGATTCGTGGATTAAATTCAATAACTTCTATCTGCAATAACTCAGTCAACTGTACTATCCAATCTTGCCAACCCCAAACTTTACCTTTGATGTTAAAGCCAGTTACATCCTCAATTTGTTCTGCTCAACCATCATTATCCTCAATTATTCAGTCCTATGATCATCTTAAATATCTTGATTTCCATCGAAGGAAGTTAACTTGTTATTGAGTGGGATCCTGTGGCTCTACATTCCATTTTTGGCTAAAATATTGATGGGTAAAGCTGAAATATCAACGATCTCCTTATCAACATGCATTTTTACGATGGAAGAATCCTTGGATTCATCGATAGGACGTTTTTGGGAGCTCGAATCAATTCTTGAATTATATCTATGATGATAGACGAAAAAGAAAATAATCAACGTAATAAAGATTTCATTTTATCATTATCATTCACATGGCTGTCTTAGCCATTTGCTAATTCCAATTGTGAAATAGTTGTTGCTTACCTATGCGTGACGTCACGAACGGGCCATCGTGTTCCTCTCAAGTTGTAGCAGTTCTCTTTTTCATAGTTATTCATACTTTTCTTGGTATAAACATAAAGCCTGATAGTTGTTCGAATTTGTGTACATTAAAATTATTAATTCAAACAGTATAAAGTGCAAATTGCGTGTACTAGAAAGTTAACAAAATAAAAATTAATTTTACAATAAATAATGTTTATTTTCAAGAAAAGATTTATAATAATACATGGTATTGTACAAGATTTGAAAAGTTCTACTTAAGAATGTTCAGTATTCCGCTGACGCTCTATTAATATTTCATCCAAATTTTCTTTGTACTCTTTTCTTGTTGGTGGTGTTAATGATATTTCTTCCGTTTGTTGTAAAGATGAAGAAGTACTTGGAAGCATTTCTAATATGTTTCTTTTGTGTTGAGCCGTCGCTAAAGCGTACGAAAGTACAGCAGAATCATATGCATCCATTTTTAAACCTTTTGAAGATCTATAATAATAATAAACATCAATAATTAATTATTTTGATTAAAAGATTATTACGTTTTTATAAAAGTATCCCTTCCTTAAAATAATATGTTTACAACGAATCATAAAAATTAAAAAAAACCGATTTAGTGTAGAACTTGTAACTCTTGTTCTAAAAAGTTCGTGAAAATATTATTAAATAAATAAGGGCTTACCTTTTTTGATTAATGAAATCATCACAGTGCATAAACATATTTGTCATGCAAAAACTAATTGAACGCAAAATTCTTCATGCTTATAAAAAAAATAAGAAAATGAAATAAAAGGTAAAAATAAAACAAATTGTTGAATTCAAATCCCATTTTATTTACAAATTAAATAAAAATAAAACATATATACAGCTTATAAATAAACAATAGTGACTTTAATGCCTACAACAACAAATGGATAATTAATATGTACATACGAAAAAAATCTCTCTTCTATTCTTTTTAATATAATACAGGCACATATTCTCATTTCAGTTAACATGATTCCCTAAATTTAAGGTTAAGCTCCGCGAATCGACTCAGTAAAGAAAGGAATTAACTATAAATAACAATTGCCTAAATAAAAATAACATTTTTTTTTTCAATCCTTGCTTTTTTAATAAATTGTATAATCTTATTTTAAGTTAATTTAATAATAAGAGTAATTTGTAAAAAGATTGTTATTTATTTTTAATTAATTTTTATCATTTTCAGGAATCCAATACGTCATTTTAAAAATGTGATTAATGAAATCAGTCTCATTATATTTATTCAAAACTCAACAAACAAGAAAAAAATTATTACATTACCAATCAAAAATTCATCTTCAATTTTTTTCTTAACCAACTTTTTTAACCTTACATATTTACAACTGCTTTTTGAAGTTTTTTTTTGCATTTGTATCACAAGTAAATTGATCTTCAAAATGGAGGGTTGCAACAAAAACTGTTTTTCAATGATGTGTTCGTTCGTACAAGTTTTTAACATCCTTTTATTATCATGCACTGAATACGTACCCGTGTGTGTGTGTCTCGTTTTCGCGCTTTCACATATCTCATCACATAAACGTGTGTTTAAAAAAATTATCGGAAGTGGATCACCTTTAATTTAATAGTTCGCAATCAACTCACCCTCCAAACTCGGCCGCATCCTCATTTTTCATAAATAATTTTGAATCTCGCGAAGATGTCGTCGTCGTTACCGGTGGTTTTCCAGGTGGTATAGTTTGCATTGCTTCCTGTTCGCGCATTTGACGCTTTCGTTTTTTACTCCATAATTCATGACAATCTTGCCACGTTGGTAATTCTGGTGCAGAAATTCTAAACAAATTGAAAAAGAAATTAATTTTAACTTTAAAAGTAACATGTTTTTTTTTTGTCACAATTATAAAAAAATATCTTTAAAAAATATTATAATAATAACGCAGAAAGCTTTGAAGAACTGTACAAATATTTTGCTATGTATTGACTGCTTTATCTGGATCTCTAAACAAATTATTATAACATCACGCTAACAAAAAGTTGATCACGTCTAGAATCATCTCCAAAACAACTAAAATCAGGATATACAAAACTCTGATTAGACCGGTTACCACATATGGATCAGAAACATGGAGCCTGACAGCTAGGGATACCAAGAAACTTCTTGTTTTTGAAAGAAAAATAATCAGACGAATATTCGGACCAATATGTGAGCGAGAGGAATGGCGAATATGAACGAACGCAGAGATTGAAGGTATCCTAGAGAGAGAAAACATTGTATGTACGCTTCATAAAGGGCTAAAGTCTCAGGTGGATTGTACATGTCATGAGAGTGGAAAATCACCGACTACCAAGAAGAACGTTCGCGTCTAACATGACAGGGAGACGATACCAGAGGTCGACCTCGAAATCGCTACAAGAATTAACTGGATCTTCGAAGTATGGAGGTACGAAATTGGAAAGGCAGAACTGCAGACCGAGATAAATGGCGCGAAGTCGTGAAGTAGGCAATAGGTCTAATCATTGGACACTGGCATCTACAAAAGCACATACTGAACATATAAGGAAGGAAGCAGGAGGAATCAGCAGAACACATTCTATGCGACTGCGCGGCCCTCCAAACATTAAGGTTATCCATTTTTGGAGATATCCAGACCAGCACAACCAGGACAAATTCTAGTCTTTGCCTCCAAAGTAATACGGCTGGAAGGACCCTATGGCTGACCAAAAGACGGAAATAAGTACAAGGGATCTGCTGAGGTCAAAGTGCTGAGGGCTGCCTTCCCGCAAATCCAGAATCCAAGGCTAGGTGTAACAATATTGTACCACTAATCTAAATCACTTTTTGCTATTAATGGCTAACTGGTTTATCATTAATCAAATTGCAATATATTAGGTTCAAAAATATCCCCGACTTTATACGTCTATCAATAAAGCGAAAGCAGGTCATTAGGATTACAATGAGAGTTACCAAAAGTGCTCTGATTACATAGTTTTCTTTATCTCTTTCATGTCCATCCAGCCATATTATCCATACGAGCAAATTAGTCTGAGCAAGCATTAATAAAACATAATTGTATATTTTTGTTTTAACATCGACATTCTGTTTATTGAGTGGATACAATTTGGATAGATTTTAATGTGCGTCATTGAACTTATTCTTTATATGAATATTCCACGTTAATTTGGTGTCCAAGTAAATTCTTAGGAATTTCACTAAGGGATTGGATTTAATTCTTCTAAGGGATTGTCGGAATTATAGCTTCAGCTGATTTTTGAAGTTCAAATTGAAGAGAAACGTTGTTTAAATTGATTATCTAAATTTGATATAGTAGGATATTATAAACAAATGGTTGTTTCAGGTAAATAGCTTTTTCCTAGTCATATACTATCTGCCTAGACAAATTGTTTTATTCCATTTATTTCAGTCTAAATTTTACTTTCCTTGGCAAATAACATATGGCTAAGATATTTTCAGGCAAATAGCTCTTTAAACCAACCCAACCCCAGGAATACTTTATTTCTTTAAGAGAGGCCTGCACTTCACAGTCGGTGACAACGAATTATCAGCCTTTGAAATTTCAGTGCAGTACAAAAAGGTGTACTTGTTTCAAAAATAAGATGATGTGCAAGAGTAGATGCCACTCCAGCTACAATTGTCAAAATGATACGCAAATAATTTGACTCGTTTGACACTCATTAATGACTTTAATTTAAGAAAAGTAGGTTGATAACAATAGGAACTACTTTATTTTATTGTGAACAGGTACCTACTCTATATTGCATTGTTATATCAAAAAAATGGTATTTGCCTAAAACAAGCTTAGACAGATACTATTTGTCTTGTCCAATAGTATTTGCCTAGACATTTAATGATAAAACTGTAACGAACTACTGTTTGACTAGGCAGACAGTATCTGATTAGGAAACAGCTATCTACCTGAAATAACCATTTGCCTGCGACTTATACATTAAATAGAATCAGCTCTAGGATACTGCCCTATTGTACTCTGATATGCCATTTTTAATTTGGATAGGCAGGAATTTATTTTCACAGTAAGATTGTCGTCAAGAAATGAATATATTTTCATTAAATATTCTGCTAGATTTATAGGTTCCAACTTTAGCAGAAGACCAGGGAGTTAAGGTTATGGTTGGGCATATTGGCCAACCTCAATATGCGAGGTTTTTCTTGAAATGCAAATTGGAATTTCTAAATTAATTGCTCTTCTGTTGTTTCCTTCTTTGTGCTTGAATTACCTTATCCAATAGTCTCGATTGGAAATATAAAAATATCAGCATGCTTCCAGAAATTGGGAAATTGACCCAACCTAAGACAAACGTTAAATATCATGGTGAGCATAACTAGTGTTTTACTCAGGAGATATTTTAATACAAAGTTCGAAATACCATCATAACTCAGTGATTTTTTAGTATGGAGTAGAGTAGTAACTTGATAAATTATTTAATTTTCTTTTGAGATATAATATCTCCATGCTTTTAATGTTGGCAGCATTTTAGGAGACATCTATCTGAAGTTCTGCGTCGGTATTATCATTCTGTTGAGAAATCTTAAAATAATTGACATTGACCTACATTTAATAAAACGTGTGAACATGATTCATCCAGTCTATTCTAGTGGGTTGGGGTGGTCGATGATGTCAGTAAATTTAAGGAGTTTACAATTTTGAAAACAGCAAATTTACTAATATTCATGAACCGACCATAATTGATGATTTTACTAGGAATTGTTTCTGGAGTAAATAAACTTCCCAGAAAAACTGTCAAAACGTTTGAAGCACTGGAAATGTTTCGATTGTATCAGAACGATTGAGAAGGCCTAAAACACCAGAAGTTAAAGCTCATTTTGATGACGAAAAGCAAGAGATACAAGAAGCTGGTGGAGGCGATGATAATAATGGTTATGATGAAGGTAATAATATATCAGATGCTGAAAACGACAATGATAGATTTTTTTTTGCATATTATCCATACACCCTTGTGTTGTTTTAAGTAATAATCATTACAAGAACGTTAATCTTTCGTGAATACCCCATACAAGTAAATTTCTACGAACCTTACTGGCTAGTTTTGAAAATGGTTAAAAATGTAGTTTAACAGAATCGCAAAGAGTGAACTTATAATATCTCCTTCTCAGATTAAGTTTTACCTTTGATGCGGAAATTGATTTTGACACGTGTATCACGCAAATAAACCTAAATGCTGCGACCACACGCATAACTGCGCAGTTTTGACAGAATTCTTATCAGAGAGCAGCAAATCCAACAAATAACTTTGGTTGTTGTTAACTCGCCTTCTAGCAATCTTTTCGTGATGTTAGACCGTTTACATTGAGCAAAGGAACTTTTGCTCCATGAATAGATATTGATCTGTCAAAGTATGCACAGTCCCAGAAGAACAACAAGTTTTTTTCTACACAACTAACTGTTCTACACAACAACCTGTGACAATGACCCCTTCTAAACTCAATCCACTGTTAACAAAGATATGTCCTTCTTTCTTCATATGACTTATGCTCGAAATGCCTACTCTCTGTAATAACTGTAAGCACTTCAAACTGAACATTGCACAACATTGCTCAATCACAACAAGACCTAAAGAAATAAATTTATAAACATAATTAATTGTTAATTAAAATAATTAATTGTGATTGACTGTCACATAATTCAATTCCTGGAATTTTTGGTGTGACTTGTTACATTCAATTAAATTTTAGATTAGAAGTACTTAATTATATCAACCGAAGTACATCAATTAACTGTTGTACTTTACATTTAGAGATTTTATTTATTACAAAACTTACTGTTCAGGATTAATGTTTTTCAACCAATTGGATTTAAGAGCATCCTCTGCAGTAATTCTCTTTTCAGGATCTAACTCTAACATTTTATCCAATAAATCCAAGGCGGAAGAAGGCATCATGATGAATTCATCTCGAATTCGCCGCCGATGAATTTTTTTCGGTTTTAGCGTATGGAAAAGTGGAAGTTTGATTACGGAAGGCCAAACTGCAGGAGTAGGAGTTCCGCATAATCGCGAGATCATCTCTAATTGCATCATTTCAGCGTTTGCCTAAAACAAGTTTACTTTAGTGATTTAATCAAAAATATATTTACAATCATACTTGGAATAAAGGTTTCTTTAAAAATAATTCCCCCAAAATACATCCGCAACTCCATACATCTATGGCGGGTCCATATCTTTCTTCGCCTAAAAGCAATTCTGGCGGTCGATACCAAAGCGTGATTACTTTATTTGTGTATGGTCTTTGACGATCTTCTGCGTTATAAAGACGCGCTAACCCAAAATCTGCTAATTTTACTTCTCCCCTGAAAAAAGTTCAATATAAAAAATTAAAATTATGATGTTTTTATAGAAACTTACTTATTGTTCATTAAAATATTGCTACATTTTATGTCACGATGTAAGAAATTTTTTTTGTGACAATAATTGAGGCCATCAAGTAACTGACGCATTATACAAGCGTTATTCAGTTCGTTAAAATCGACCATTCCAGACTCTAAAAGTCCCATCAGGTCGTGGTCCATGTATTCGAAGACTAAATAAAATGATCCCTTATCCTAAAATAAAAAAGAACATTTTTACAGATTACACCATTTTTTTTGTTATTTTTTGAATTAATTTTCAAAATATAATTTGATAAATTAAAACAAAATTGCCAATTTTTGAATTCAACATCCTAAAACCAACCAAAATCATTCCAAATAAAAATTATAAAAAAATGTATGTTTAAAAAAGTAATAAGTAATAAAAAAGTGCTTTTAATCTTAAAAGATCCTAAAAAAGAATTAATCAGAAATATAAAAATATTTACCTTCCTAAAATCTATTGCTTCTTGTTTGTCTGTAACAATTTCTCTCAAATTTACAATATTCTTATGATTGAGTTGACGCAAAATTTTGATTTCTCTCACTGCGGTTATTGGAAAGCCCTCCTTTTCATTTTCAAGTCGAACTTTTTTCAAAGCAACCAATTGATCCGCATGGACATCCCTCGCTTTATAAACTTGGCCATAAGTTCCTAAGATAAAAATACAGAAGAATTTTAAAAAGCTAATATTATAAAAAACAATTTACCTTCTCCAATTTGATTAATAACCTCAAAAACATCAACACAACGTTCACCCCAATCTTTTTGATGAATTTGTAAACTTCTAGATGTTCGCCTTTTCAATATTTTCGGTCGCTTTAATTTCGGTTTGGGTTGTCCACGTTTATCTAACAATTTTACAGCTGATGTACCAATCCTTGGTGGTGTGTTTGGACCATCTTCGTCGTTGCTTAAATCTTCAGAACCTGAAACGACTTTTTCACATTTTTTTAAATTATTTTTTGTTACTTTAACAAAATTATTTTTTATTTACCAGGTGGCATTGGTAAATTCATAATAGTCTTTCTTGGCGGTGTTTTAGCTTTTGAATTTGCAGCCATTGTAGTAGGACTTGGTGATCTACTCGGAGGCGATTCAATAGCTTCTAAATCGGTTTGTTTAATACCAGGAGGTAAAGGCATTTTAGTGATACTTTTAATTTTTGTGTTTGTTTTTGGATCTATGTTAATAATATTCCGTTTAACAGCCATCTCTTTAGAAACGGTACCGGATACATTTGATTGATCTCCAGAGGTTGGTAATGGTGGGGTACTTTCAGGTAATGTGATGTCTTGTACTTTAACATTTGTGACACCGGGTAAATTTATTTCATCTAATTTAATTTTCGGTGGGGTCATTTTCTCGTCGGAAGGAATAGGAATGTTATCAATATCCATCGGAATTGGTTCGGTGTTTATTGATTGTGAACAATCAACTTGATCTTCAGCTCGCGACGCCGTTGGGGCAACGCTCGTCGCCGTTGAGGATTGTGGCGATTCTTCGGATGGACCTGATTCGGTTTTCTTTTCTAGCAACTTTTGCAGTTCTAATTCGCGTTTATGACGATCTTTAACTAATTCGGCAAATAGGCTTGTATCGGTGATTTTATTCTTTAATAATGACGGTCTTACTGAATGTGGCGAAGGACTTCTTGGTAACCTGAGTAAACAAGTTGAAGATTATACTTACTTTCAAAGTAAAACAATTACCTTTCTTTTCGTACAGGACTTCGCGACCTTTCTCTTGTTTTTATTGGACTTCTGGAACGATATTTCTTGTGTCTTGATCTACTTGGCGATCTAGATAAAATGGTGAAGATTAGATTTTATCCAACACCCAGGTACTTTTATTGAGTACCCATTCTCACCTCTGAAATACACATACCTAAACATACGGAATTCTGAGTTAGTAGAGGATTTGTTCTGGACGTGATCTGACATGTCTTGTATACTTCGATGTTGACTAAAAAAAGAGTCCGCAATTAGAATACATATTTTATGTTTCTATACCAATTAAAGTGCACGTGTACATTTATTAGTTAGTAGTAATTTGACCTAAATAGTTTCCATATTTACTAATAAGAATAATAAAATATTACACAATCAACTGTTACGTATATCTTTTAATTCTTTAAGCCAATACTTAATCTGGAAAGGTCGGCTTACGTGTAATATAATATGTATGATTGGTTAGGCACGATAATTGACTTTTTTTCATTCTCAACCATCCACCCACAAAATCGTGTAGCCTCTCATCTATAAATACAAAGGTGACTGGTCAAAACGACATGCACGTCCAAAAACACAATAATCTTTGGAGTTTGAAATTTTGTTGGCAAATTTTCTGATCATAGTTAAGATAATAATTAAAGAAGATAAGTAACAAATGTAAATCCTATATTACTGCAGGTGTCCCAAGAGTAGTTATAGGACGATTATCAGACAGAATATATAATGAAGATGAGACTAAAAAATTGGGAATGTGTTTGATGTATTAGACGAAGAGAACGCTGCGTCAATGAAAATTTCCAAAAAAAGGACCTACTAAATGACAATACAATAAAATCAGACTTAATTGTTATTGCATCAAATTATGGCTTCCTTAACGAATCAATAAAAACATTAGAAACATCTGGGCTTCCGCTATCTACGTAAGTTGATGTAGATACGCAAGGTCAGGACGATTCGATAGTTCCAAATGAACAACCCATGCTACCAAAATTTCAAACCTCTATGAATAGCGGAACCTGAAAAAGTTCTAATGAACCAGTTACGTGAGACACCCTGTATAAATAGAAATCATTTTTCATTTACTTTGATTAACTTCATCTACAGATTTAAAAGATATCCATATTTTAATATTTAATTTTTTATAGAGCATATTTTCGTAGTTAAATAGCATGTTTTGATTTTTATAGAACATCTTTTAAGCGCTTAAACTAACATTTTTGGAGCATATTTTTTTTGCCCTAATTATCACATTGTATATTTTAAAACATGGCACCACAACAAATGGTTAATAATTTCCATGAATTCTGTTTTGTTTAAAAAAAAAAAACATTTAAGTCAAACTAACATCTGAATATAGAAAAATCTTGATATTAAGTAGTGACGGAACGGATAGTGATTTTGCGAAAAGTACCGGATATTCCGCATCCCCTTCGACCGGATATCCGGTTATCCGGCCATTATGGTTATAATTTCTGGTGCATTTCTGAAGTGATACCCTACATTGCCACATTATTACGATATTTGAATAAAAATGAAATTATTAAGAAAGCTGATAAGATATGCCAACTTATTTGAATCCAAGATACAAAATGAACTTTTTTGATGCTGATTTAACTCACGAAGAAACTCTAAAAAGAGGATACTTTAATTAATAATTGGTGATATTTCCACAAGGATCCTTCAAGAAATTAATTTTATAGCGAATTTTGAAAATTATCGATGAAAATTGCAACATCGAAAATTTTATCAAAACTTCAAATATTGTTTTCTCAAAAACTAAAAGTTATTTTTCAAAACGGGTTGGTTCATTGGAAAGAGGACACTTTTATTAACACTTTGGGAAATTTTCATACTCATATTCCAAGAAATGGATTTTATACGAATTTTTAAAACTTAATCGGCGAAAATTGCAAAATTCGAAAAAATTGTCGATTATTTCAAAAATTTATTTCTCAAGAACTAAAAGTGATTTTTCAAAACGGCTTTTTGCATTAAAAAGGGGATACTTTAATTAATAATTGGTGATATTTCCACAAGGATCCTTCAAGAAATTAATTTTATAGCGAATTTTGAAAATTATCGATGAAAATTGCAACATCGAAAATTTTATCAAAACTTCATTGTTTTCTCAAAACCTAAAAGTTATTTTTCAAAACGGGTTCTTTCGTTAGAAAGAGGACACTCTTATTAACACTTTGGGAAATTTTCATACTGGATTTTATTCGAATTTTTAAAGCTTAATCAGCGAACATTACAAAATTCGAAAAAAATTTCGATTATTTCAAAAATGTATCTCTCCAGAACTAGATGTGATTTTTCAAAACGGCTTGTTGCATTAAAAAGAGGATACTATAATTAATAGTTGGTGATATTGCCACAAGGATCCTTCAAGAAATGAATTTTATAGTAACATAGGATTTAGGTTTTAATTGACTAGAAACATTTAGATTTTCTTAAAAACTATTATGGTAGTGTAATTTCACCTACAACACTCACCTATAATGTCCACCCTTATTCCAACTGGGTGATCTAGATAATTTCCTCCTTGGACTTCTTGAGGATTTCCTTCTATCCTTCTTGTCTTTATCACGTCGATATCGATCCCTTCTATGTCCTCCAATTGATTCTCTTTCACACATTCTCTTCTTCCTTGTTGGTGATATACTTGTTTGTAAATGTCCATAACCCACAGAAACTTCTGGACTGGGATTTCTATAGGGCGACCTCATCAAAGGAGATAAAGTACTCCTTCTATCCTGAACAATTTCAACTTCTGTAGGGGATTTGCTATTGTCTATATCTCTTATTAAATCGATTACTTCAGTTGAAGAAGAATTAATATGATTTCGAACAGATTTAAGTGGCGGTGGAGTATGGGGCGATTCCATCATTTTACTTGTATGTAATGGGGGTGTATTTTGATCTGTTAGGGGAGGGCTGTTGCCTTTTGCACCACTTCTAGTTGTTTCAGCTTCTGGAGAATCAATTCGACTGTCATTTGAGACTGGAGAACACGTTGATGGATCTAATTTAGCAACATTTGATGGCTTATAAACAGCGGACGCTGCTTCACCGTCCGCTTCTTCCCAATCAGACAAAACGACATCGTTATTTTCGATCGCAGCAGCACCGGAAACGCGACCAGACGAAATTTGCGAACCACTTTCTACGCTACTTAAACTAGTACTTCTCGAACGATGTTTAGATTTCTTCTTGCGCTTCTTAGTGCGACGATCTTTTTTTGATTTCTTCTCTTTTTTCTTTCTCTTCTTGCTACTACGATCTTCATACTCATAAGTGGGTGAAGTGATTACTTGGCGTGGAATTTCTTGAGTTGGGGACTCATACTTTCTTCGAATATGTCTTACATCACTTGATCTACAGGAAAAAATGTTATAACTTAGTGTATATTTAGTGTATTACATAAAATGGAAATGTTTACCTTGATGATCGTGATGATACGCTATGTTTTCTTTCTCTTCGTACAAGGGCTGTCGGCGACGGTGATCTTGGTACCATAGAAGGGTCAAGACGATGTCGCCGACCAGGCGAGTGATAGGGTTTAGTGTAATAAACATTATCGTCAATGACGAAACGACCCGAATTGTGACTGTTACGATGCATTCCGGTCACTCCGTCATCACTATAACTATTCACACTACCACCACTTTGTATCTCACCCGCCTCTGGTTCGGAGAGGTCGTCGGAACTAACGTCTGAGTATTCAACCAAAGGTTTAATAATACGATGATGATCTAAACTGGAGCCGTTTTCTTCCTTAGATCTGGATTTTTTTCTTCTTTTGTCCCTGTTATGTTTCCCATGACGACCCTTTTCCATCTTATCTACCCCGTAGAGCGTTCCAGCACATAGTACCTAGTGCTGGAGCCCCCTTCAAGTAAGATTCTGTAAGATTTCATTCCTCCTTAACTTATAATAGAGATTTTTATTGGTTATGTTTACGTTGGTAGACATGTCAGAATAATTTCTTTTCTTGGCTCTCGCGTTGATAAAACACTTAAAATTTTCTTAATAAATACACAAAAAAGCATTTGATTATCTTTAAAAGTTAAAAAAAATCACAAGTTTTTGGTGACCTTGATTTGCGTGAAAAACAAAATGGCGAGACACGATACGTGCAAAATCATACATTCTCAATAAAAATATCACATGGAGATGCCCGTAACGCAAATAACTAGTTAAATAACAAAATAAGGATCGCTTACCCCAAGTGAATGCAGTCCGGTAATCACTTAGCGCACGTTTATCACTGATCACAACACCTTCTATAGTCTTTTATAGAACGGGCGTTTCGAAAACCCTTTACATCGGGTTAAAACTTTATATCGTCGCTCGCTTTTATGAAAATAACTCTTTGCCGAGCTGATTTTAGTTATATAGTATTTATTTTAGACGATCATTATTGTCGATCTAGCATAAAATCATGAAATTTTTTGAGATGAAAATTTTATTGCAACCGTTCCTTCGACCGGACGCCATATTTCGATGTGTCATCTGTCAAAAAAACGTGACGTCACCCATCGGTACCGTTCCAAAACTACATTTTATTATTACACGAAATTATTTATATTAAATGTCGTAAACATTGTTTCAAGCTATAAACAAATACGTTATATTGATATAATCATTTTGTTTCATTTAATTAGCTTGTAACAATATAAAAGATGCAAAAGAGCTGTTGGCAACATCAATACGCAGATATCTTCTTTATCCGTTAGTAAACTTTGTTTTGAAATACCTTAATTAATTTTACAAATTTTTTAACTATTTTACAATAAAAAATCGCCGTTGCTTTTTCAAAGTATTTTTTTATAAATAAATCAAAAAATAATTTTCCACAATAATATACAGTTTCTCCGATAGGGGTTCAAATATGAACTTTAAAATTTCTTTTTTTACCAATATAAATCTCGTATGGTGTGTTGAAATGAATATTTGTGTAAACAAATTCCCATAGATGACACAAAAAACCCTGCTGAAACCCTTATTTTTCAGTATTTATCAACATGTACAGTGGCGGACAAAAGTCTGCACACAGCATTGAATTATGAGGTTTTTGTACAACGCAATAAGATAACAGAAAATTAGTATTGGTGTGATTAGAGATGCTTACTTATTCACAAAAAAGAACAAAACGCTCAACAGCTACATACTAAAAATTCAACAAATAATACAAAAATTAATAGGACAAGTTTACACCAACAGATGTCCATGTAACGACAGTTTTTAAAACTCCATAGGCTTCTATAACAGCACACAGGCGTCGTGACATTAAGCAGCTAAGTTGTTGTCTCTTTTGCTGTTATTTCAGCCCAAGATTCGATTAACGCAGATTTCAGCGTTCCAAAACCTTCCAAACATGCTCGATTGGATTTAAATCCAAACTCTGAGGAGGTGTATTCAGCTGCCTGGGTGCATAATATAGCAATTAATGTTTGATAAGGTTTACGGTATGCTTGGGGTCAATGTGTTACTGGAATATTCAGCGATCCTCGAGGGTCAAGCTTTAAACTAATGGCTTCAAATTTTGTTCTAAAATACTTTTATATTTATACCGATTCAAAATTCCATCAATGAATGCCAGTTTTCCTACGCTAGATGCTGCTATCGCTCTCCAAAGCATGACAACACCATCGCCGTGTTTCGTTTTCTCCCAATTTTTGCCCGACCATCTCTTCCAAAAAGGTTTTACTTCGATTCGTCAGTAAACAAAACCCTGGACAAGAAATCTATGTTCTTGTCGAGCAGAGACTTGCTGCGAATGGCTCACATAGTGAATCATATTCGCTGATTCGTTATTTCGGTTTTGTCTTCATTGGTCAACAGTTACTGGGAATCATGTTCTTTCTTAAGTTACTGTATTGTCGACTCTGATACCTGCAACGAATGGCTCATATTTCGAATCATATTAATTTATTCGCTGCTACCATGTTCTTTTCATTCGTCAATCATGTAGTGCCGTGCTCTTTGAAAAGCAGCTCATGGTTTAAAACCAAACTTGATTAAACCTTTACAAAATCGTCTATATTTGTCCAAAATTGTATCTAAACTGTATCTAAAATTATGTAAACTATAATAATTATATGTATTATATGTATAATTGTTTAAAATCGAAAAAATTTGTTCTAAATCATCTAAACTTTTTTAAAATTGTCTAAAACGCTTCAAATTGTCTAAAATTAAAAACTAGGTGTAACATTAGTACTAACACTGGAACAAACACTAAACCTAGAAATTTTCGAGTTTAGCCGTGCATTTTTGAAAACGTGTTGGACTTTTCCGACACTTCTAATTTATTTCTAACCAAGGTTGCAACGTGGCATCCGAAACGTCAAACGCTTTTTTAAAAGTCGAACGTTTCTTGTTGTAGGATTGTGCTTCTTCCAGTTTTAGTTTAGTTGTCCAAAATTATTTAAAAGTGTATCCAAAATTGCCAAAAATGATCAAAATGTGGCTACCACTGTCTAATATGTAGTCTAAAACTATTTTAGCTTATTTAGTAAATTTTGAAAGTTTTAGACACATTGTGATCATTTCGGACAATCTTAGACCTTGAGGATAGAAAGCTGAACAAGTAGTGGCTGTGTACCGGTGACTGTGTGTAGCTGACTTTGTACAGTTCATGGAAGTACAGACTTATTAGATACAATAGCGATGTGGTTAGCTAATTTTGGTGCGCTAACTCTAGGCTTTTTGTCCACTTCTTTTAATATGGAGCTAATATCTCTTCTAGAAAGTTTCTTATCAGCCTGCACGAACTTTGCTAATGAATCAGTCTCATTATAATTTTTGACGCTGGTCTGTTACTCGGCTTAGATTTACAATTTTGCTATAAGATTTCTTTTCTTTTCCATGTTTTATCAACAATTTTCTATTTTCATCAGAAATTTCTTTTCGCGATGACATTTTGCAGCCAGTTAGAACAGTGACGAAACACAAACTAAATACTAATAATTAGATCCATAATCCCCACTGAATTAAGAAAAAAGAAAATGCTGGCACTGCTACTTTATGCAACTTCTACATGATTTCTTTAACTAAAGTGCATAGTATGTAGACTTTTGTTGTGTTAGTTTTTTTATTGTAAAAGTAAGTATCTCTAATGTAATCCTAATTTTCTATTATCTTATTATGTTTTACAAAAACCTCATATTTCAATTCTGTATGTAGACTTTTGACCTTCACCATATTTATTTAAACTACCTATTTTCAAGATATTTTGAAAACATGTTCAAAATGTTCTGGGGGCATAAAAAGATAGTTTACATTAAAATAATAATACTATTTTATTAAATAAATTTGTTGTAATCTAAAACAAACTGAGCTTGGAAACAAATAAAGGCTTCTTCTTTAATGCCAATAATCATTATATATGATTTTTAAAAATCTTCATTTTGTTGCACTTTTTCCATAACATCTAACACTTGTATGTTAAAGTCCCCATGTCCTTTTCGATGTTTTTTCATACTACTAGAATCGTGAAATCCTTTTCCACAAAGATCACAATAATAGGGAGTTTCTCCAGTATGAGTTCGGATATGTACTGTTAGATTTCCTTTAAGTGCAAAACATTTAGAGCAATACGTACACTGATAAGGTTTTTCTCCTGTATGAATTCGCATGTGATGTTTTAAATGAGGTACTTGCGTAAAAGCTTTCCCACAAACGTTACAAACGTGAGGTTTTTCTCCAGTATGTAATAACATATGTGTATCTAAACTACTAATATACGCAAAAGATTTCTTGCAAATATTACATTGGTGAGGTTTTTCACCTGTATGGATTCTTGAATGAGTTTGAAGCGCGGCGTTTTGATGAAAACGTTTACCGCACACATTACATAAATATTTTTTTTCGCCATGAATACGTTGATGTTGTTTTAAATATTGTTTACTAGTATAACACTGATGGCAAATAGGGCATTTAAATGGTCGTGGGATTTCCAAGTTTGATGTAGCATCTAATGGAATTATTGTTAAGGGATCACTCATCGCGCCAGAAGTAACGCTATGTTTTTGTAGTAAATGAGCTCGATACATGTATTCGCGTTTAAAAGTTTGACCGCAGATTTGACATTCAAGTGTTGGTAGATTTGGATCTCTTGGTCTTGGACCACGACGACATGCATCTTTTGATTTAAAGTGTGTTTGTCGGTGTACTTTTAAACTTAATCCTTGGATGAAACCTATTTGAACAAAAAAATTATTTATTAAGAAAAAACTTGTATTAAAAGTACCTTTTCCACAAACGTCACAAAAAAATGGTCTTTCACCAGTATGAATCATCATATGCCTCTTTAAATTCGATTTAATACTAAAACTCATGTTGCAAATTTTACAAACAAACGGTTGTTCTCTTGTATGAACTCGTATGTGTTCCAATAATTTACTTTTAGTAAATTTTTTTTCACATTGTGTGCAAGGTAATAATTTGGATGTAACTTGAGCTTCTGATTTATCGTTGGCCTTGAATTTTTTAGTTAATTGAACTTTACAATTTTTGCAGTCTGATGGTAACGCTTTTGTGGACAATATTTTTCCAGCTTCTTCAATCATATCATCTTCTTTTGTCATTCTTACTTTTTTAGATTTCTTTGAACGTTTAACGAAAAGATCAGGATTTTGTATACTTTTTGGACGAGATTTAACAGTAGGAGATTTAATTAATGGTTTATCATAAACGAAGTAGTCATGATCTTTTCCCAAACAAGTTTCGTTAAGTTTTCCTTCTTTTTTATTTAAAATATTACTTAAATGTTTATCTGTATTTTCAATTTTTAATTTAAACGTATAGATTTTTATTATTTCATCGACACAATTAGAACAAACATTTTGTGGGTAGCCTTCTACTGGTGTTAACTAACAATTAAAAAGAGAGGATATAAAAATACGGAGAAATTCAAGAATCATCATGTTGGCTTAAAAATCGAAATTAATGTGAAATTACCCAAAAAACACGATAAAAATAAAAAGAAAGCGCGGAGAAGTGTAGAATATTAAACCAGTTAACACCTAAGACTTTTGCTTGCTGTGTCAGGAAGGCAACACAGATTCTGACAACCTTAGGATAAACGTGGTGATTAAAATATGAAACCTTACTTTGAGCAAAATTCGTAACTCCACAAAACTCAGATTTCTTTTGACTTTGAAATTCAATTCTTTGTCTTTTGAGAAATGCTTTGAGCAACATCACTCTGCAAAACCTTTGTTCCACGACTTCTTCGTCGTGCTGATGAGAACCGGATAGTTCGAAAACGGCAAGCAAACTGGGAACACTACACCTTGTGTAGAACTGCACATTCACAGCACTACTTTGAATGAATCCCATTTTGTCTTCAACGCAAACTATTGACAAAAGCAAAGCATTTCCCAGAAATTTGTGCAAAAATCGCACTTTGAAAAGATTTGGCAAGCAAAAGACATTGTGTTTCAGAAAGACAGCGTTCAGAAAGCATCGTTCGACAAACATAACAGAATATATTTTTGTTTTGCTTGTTTCGACTTCCATTGGTCTCTTCAGCTAAGGAAATTCGTCAGGAAGGCTAGCAGCACGTCTCTCAAGACGGCTAAATCCGATTGATTCTAGTTCTAGGTCTTGTGTTAGTTCTAGTGCCAGTGTAAAACTAGAACTAACACTGGACCTAGAACTAGAAACATTCAGGTTTAGCCGCATGTCTCTCAAGACGGCTAAACCCGAATGATTCTAGTTTTAGCTCTTGTGTTAGATCTAGTGCTAGCGTAAAACTAGAACGAACACTAGACCTAGAACTAGAAACATTCGGATTTAGCCGCACGTCTCTCAAGACGGCTAAACCCGATTGATTCTAGTTCTAGATCTTGTGTTAGTTCTAGTGCCAGTGTAAAACTAGAACTAATACTAAACCTAGAACTAGAATCATTCGGGTTTAGTCGTGCGTCTGAAGCAAAAACAAAAAGTGACGTCACAAAACGAGTTTCTATGTGACGTCACATCCAAACTTTAAAGTGATTTTTCGATAAGTTTTACGCTTTTCCGCACTTTTTTTTATTTGTAACGGCTTCCTTGAGTGATTTGCGGTCGATTAAAAAAAAATTGTCGATTTTTAAGCAACATGATGATTCTTGTATTATACCAAAATCAAAAACTGTATACTTTATTACTTAAGCCTTTGATACTCACAAAATTTTAAATACAAACTATAAGCTTAACCTTACCTGTAGTGATAAAGTAGACATTAAAATACCATTGCATGTTAAATCTTCGTAAACCACAGCTTGCAAGCTGATTAAATCCGAAGGATTCAAGCATATCCTACATTTTTCTGTTACATTATCAATAATTAAATTATTAACTAAACAACCCCTCAACTCCTCGTCATTTATTGAATTCATTCTCAAAATAATTTATTGAAATATGAAAATATTTAAGTTTAGATGATATAAACACAAATATAAAGATAGGTTATGTTTTGAAGTTAATCAGTGGCACCAATACATTATTTTAAAATTTATATTTCCCACAAAATTAATTTCTATTTACAATTAGATATATAAAACAAATAAAATAATTTATCATTTGCGCGAAAGAGATTTCGTTATGATAATATTTTAATAAAAAAAAGCATAAATTACAAATTTAATCGAAAAAAAGTTTTATCATAGATGTCGCTAAAAACATCAATTCAGCCTTAAAGCGACTAATTTATTCTTTTTAATTTAAAATAATTGTTTTATTTAATAATTTGAGTATTAAAATTAATAATAAACCGCTTTAAATTTATAATTAAAAAAAAACATAAAGAATAAATTTATACATGTCATTTTTGACCATAGATAATACTAAAAATATTAATTCACAGATGTCGCTACGTAAAAAAAAGATGGTTTTCTCCAACTTTGACACTTCAAGAACAAAAATTTTCGTACTTGCGCTCGATGTTTTCATGTGATATAAAAGCCGTGGACGATTGGAGGTTATTATTTTAAACCATACAACGATAATATGGATTTAAATGATTCGCACGCATCTTAGTAACGCAAAGGCACATCCTTTTTCATCCAAAGAATAGATTAAAATAAAGAATCGAAAAAAAGGTAATAAAACGCTTAGAAGTACTTTAAATGGAGCAAGAGGAGGCCGTTGGTGGACCCAGACACCAGGATTCCTTCAGACCTGACGATAACCAACCGGGAAAAATCGTTGCCGTTAGAAGTAAAGAATCCGCACGGTATTGTTGGGTTTGTTTTGCTTCCGACGAAGATGACTTAGATGCCGCTTGGGTTCAACCATGTAATTGTAGAGGAACTACTAAATGGGTGTGTAAAATAATTATTAATTGATTTCATATATTAGATTTTTGATTTAGGTTCATCAGGCATGTTTACAAAGATGGGTTGATGAAAAACAGAAAGGTGGTAATATGGGTAAAGTAACATGTCCTCAATGTCAAACGGAATACATTATAGTTTTCCCGAATATGGGAGTTTTGGTGCTCTTGTTAGACACCGTAGATAGTTTTATTTATAAGGGATGTCCGTTTCTTGCAGCTGGTATAGTTGTTGGGGCGATTTATTGGTGTGCTGTGACATATGGAGCAATTACAGTAATGCAGGTACCTTTTAATAGCTTCCAAAATAATTAACAGAAATTATGTTACAAGTATTTCTTGTTTTTAGGTTGTTGGACAAAAAGAAGGTTTAGCCATAATGGAACAAGCAGACCCATTAGTACTTTTAATTGGTTTACCGGCAATTCCAATAGCGTTAATAGTTGGTAAACTAATTAGATGGGAAGATACAGTGTTGGCTTTTATTAGAAATTATCTTTCGAGAGTTCCCTTGGTTAAATATGTTTTGCCATTTCGAATTGATGTCAGTCCAAATTTTACAAGAGCAGACAGTGATTTGCCACCATTAACAGATCCTTTTTCCGCGACGAGGGTTTTATGTGGGGCATTATTAATGCCCACAATAGCTAATATATTTGGAAAATTTTTCTTTGACTCAGTGAAATCGAACTTTCATAAAACCGTCCTAGGCGGGTTGACTTTTATTGCAATTAAAGGTTGCCTCAAGATCTATCACAAACAGCAACAGTACATCAGACAGTGTCAACGGAAGATTCTTGATTATACAGAAGCGAATATTGCGACATACTTGAGAAGGAGCACTCGTAGAGATTAAGGGGAAAAATCTGGTTGGGTTTATTTTGTATGATTACAAAGAAATAAACTTATTAACAACATTATTGAAATCATATTAACTGTATATTTTTGTTAAAAAAAAGTTTTATTTTTAGGTGATATTTGAAATAAAGGTGTTAATATTTTTTTAATTTGTCATTATTTTATACAAGCGTTACTTTTATATATATAGTTAAAATTAATCATTGTTGTTTACACAAAGAATTATTATCTCTCAAGGTTTTATTTGTAAGTATGGATAACAATGATAACAATTTGAGAAACTTCGTTTCCTCGAATTAGTGAAACAAATTCTGTTATTTCCTTTTAGATATCAAGAATTTAATTGCAATCAACAAGCCATCTATGTATTATGGTGTATCCAAACAGCGCGGCAGCAACACGCGATGGTCGCAAGACACAATTCTGCCACGCGCAAGACATATAAGTCTACTCCAATAATTTGCAATATCTAATCTTTTGGAAGCTTATATATTCCTGCGCCAACAGTATTGTAGTATGTAGGATTTAGTCTTACATTAGTAATATCTACTATCCATGCAAAAAGTCAAGACCCCTCACTTTAGAGATCGATATCTTCGTAATCGCTCGATGGAAAATATTGCAGTAAAGTTTATTGTAATCAGTGAACATTTCTGCGTATCACATGTTAATTTGGAAATTTTCGGGTCCGCGGTTTTTCTTTTATCGGGAGTTAAGTGAAAAAAGTAGCCAGCAACTTTGTCTACTTTGCGATTTTTTTCTCTAAAACTATTTGACGAAAAAAATTCGAATTTGAACTGGTGGTAAACCGATGCGTTCTTAATGTGGGGCATATTTTTTTTCAATATTCCATGTAGTTTCGCGGAAAATCGCGGTTTAGTTGGATTCGGTTATTTCGAAAACGACCTGGCGGATTTCAACGCGGTTTTTACCAAAATATGTTAAATAATGTCGGTTGTCGAATTCCGTTATCAGTTTTTCAAAATTAGAGCTCCCTAATTTTTTAAGAGCGATTTAATGGAATTACAAATGAAAGAGAAACAGAAATAAGCTATGCGGGGAGAGGAGGGTTCCGTGCAATCGGAACAGATGGTGTGCCCCAGATAATACGTCGCGCCTTTATCTTACCTACATAAAGAAATAAGGCGCGACGTCCTGTCTGGGACGCACCATAATAAAAATGGTGCGTCCCAGTCAATTTTTTGACATTTAAAGCTGTCAACGACGTTATTTCGGCGACTACTTTGATTGTAATTTGTTGATTTCATATTTTCAGAGAACATTTATTATAAATTTATTATACTTGTTGTTGATTAATAGTATAGTTTCATCATTTTTTTTATATGTATAGTCTTCTCCGACAATCTGCAGTCTTCTGCAAGCAGATCTAGTCTTTCAGAAGCAGTATATAGTCTTCTGTCAAAAGTATGTAGTACTCTGCTGGCCGTATTTGTTCTTCTCCAGCAGTGAGCAATCTTTTGTAGCCCGTATCCAGCGTTGTCTTAGCATTGTCAAGTCATCTACCAGTGATATATTGTCTTCTTCAACAATCTGTAGTTTTCTGCAAACGGTATCTAGTCTTTCAGAGACAGTATGTATTCCTTTACCAACAGTATGTAGTCCTCTGCTGCCAGTATTTGTTCTCCAATAATAAACAGTCTTATAAACCAGTATGCAGTCTTCTATTAGCATTGCCTAGTCCTCCACAAGTGGTATATAGTCTTCTCCAACAATCTGTAACCTTCTGTAAGCAGTATTTAGTCTTCCAGGAACAGTATACATTTCTCTGCCAACAGTATGCAGTCCTCTGCAAGCAGTATTTGTTCTTCTCCTGTAATAAGCAGTCTTATAAACCAGTATGCAGTCTTCTATTAGCAATGCCTAGTCCTCCATAAGTGATATACAGGGTGTTTCTAAATTGATGCGAAAGATTTCAAGGATTTTTCAGCAAAAATCTTTCATATAACTTTTTGTTCAAATCCCTTCTCCACCGAATTACAGCCCTCTAAAGTTAAGGAAAAAAATGTTTTTATTTAATACATCCACTATGGAGGAATTTAGAAGAATGAAATTTGGTAGATAACTGTTGCTAATAAAATGACACTTTTTGACGATTTTTAGAACCCTAAAATGTTATTACAAAGGGCTGAAAAAGCAACCCCTATTATACTTTGCATCAGAACTTTTTAATGCGACTACATATTTCTATTTAAAAATTTAGTTTTCCAGTATCTAGTTTTCCAGAAGCAGTGTATAGTTCTTTACCAACAGTATATAGTCCTCTGCTGGCAGTATTTGTTCTTCTCGGGTAATAAGCAGTCTTATAAACCAGTATCCAGTCTTCTATTAGCATTGTCTAGTCTTCCACAAGTAAGATATAATCTTCTCCAATAATCTGTAGTTTTCTGCAAGCAAAATCTAGTCTTACAGAAGAAGTATATAGTTCTTTACCAACAGTATGTAGTATTCTGCTGGCCGTATTTGTTCTTCTCTAGTAATAAGCAGTTTTATAAACCAGTATGCAGTATTCTATTAGCATTATTTAGTCTTCCATAAGTGATATATTGTTTTCTCCAACAATCTGTAGTCTTCTGGAAGCAGTATCTAGTGTTCCAGGGACAGTATACATTCCTCTGCCAACAATATGTAGTAACCGAGTCCTCTACAGGCAGTATTTGTTCTTCTCCTGTAATAAGCAGTCTTATAAACCTGTATATAGCCTTCTATAAGTATTGCAAGTCTTTCACGAGTGATATATAGTGCTCTCCAACAACCTGTCATCTTCTGCAAGCAATATCTAGTCTTCCAGAAGCAGTATGTATTCCTTTATTAAGAGTATAAAGCCCTCTGCTGGCAATATTTGTTGTTCTCCAGCAATGAGCAGTCTTATCTAACCAATATGTGCCATCTATTAGCATTATTTGCTCCTCCACAAATAATATATAGGCAATACGTGGTCTCATACAAGAATGAGTCTTCTTTGCAATGTAAGAACCGCTTTACATATGACGCTATATGACGTCAGTTCTTATTTGTATTAATAAATAATCAATATTTACACTTCAATCAAAAAAACTCCTTACAAAAGCGGTACAAGATTACCTATTAATTTGCATTATTTTATTCAAAATTAAGGAAGAGTATATATTTAGATGATGTATCACTCAACTTATCCACAACTTCCTCCTCCATTTACTAATCATTGATGACTAGAAAATTATTGTTATGCATTTTGGCTTAGTATCAAATCAATATAAATTTAAAAGATTACTTGTGAAGACAAAGAATCTTGCAGCGAGTTCCTAGAATGGAGTTTAGTGGAGGAGTTGGTGGTAGAAACGTGGAGTTCCAGTCAAGTTCCAGATAACCACCATGCAGGTATGGTGGTTATCACAAATGAGTTTCTAGTATTTTTACGGTGTGTAATATAAAAATTAAATCTCTGTTCCATTCCTTTTATTATCAAATCCATGATAGAGAACGTATTGCAGTTAGTTGAGGAAGGTATGATTGATCTCCTTTCTTATCTACCAGGTTTTGTGTAGATTAGAAAATTACTGCAAACAATGTAATGTTTGGACGAGGAATTATTTTATATTTCCAAGAATATTGGAACTAAATTTAGAAAGACTGAATGGTGTAACAAATTTTGTGGCTAAACTTATGATATGATATACACTTATGAGTAGGCAACCCAATATACAAAGAAATAACCTTAGTTATCAGCATAAATAATTCTAAAATCTTCCAATAGATGGCAAAATAAAATAATTTTTCAAAAAAAAGCTAAAAATATTCGACCTTTGATAAAATCTAAATAAACATAGGAATGTTTTGTCACTTTGCTATTTTGGAAAGAAACATCTTTTCGATTACTTAAAATAAAATCATATTATAATATTACACAATCTTTGATATAGATAACGTAATATATTAAAGATGATCAATAGATTGGGTTATCTTGTTCACAGCATAAAAACCAATGGTTTAGGTAGTCGTCAATTAAAACGATCGACCACATGGAATTTAAAAGTAAGAACGTTATTTCTAATCAATTTTAAAGTTAATCACTAAATAATTTTATCTTTAGATGTTATTCTCAACTGATACCAAATCAAAAAAATCAAAAATATATTCAGCTTCAGAAGCTATCCAAGATATTCCAGGTAATAGTAAATTATTGATAGGTGGATTTGGTTTATGTGGTCTCCCAGAAAATCTAATAAACGCGATTAAAACACACTCATCTGGAAATTATACAATAATATCTAGTAATGCGGGTGTTGATGATTTTGGGTTAGGAATATTGTTAAAAGAACGAAAAGTAAAACGGGTTATTGCTTCATACGTCGGTGAAAATGCCGAATTCGAACGTCAATTTTTAGCTGGTGAGTTAGAAGTTGAATTAACACCCCAAGGAACATTAGCCGAAAGAATACGAGCTGGAGGGGCTGGAATTCCAGCATTTTTTACTCCAACTGGTTATGGAACTTTGGTTCAAAAAGGTGGAATTCCTATTAAATATGGAAGTGGTGGTAAAATTGATATAGCTAGTAACCCAAAAGAAGAGAAAAGTTTTAATGGAAGAAATTATGTTATGGAGGAAGCTATTATTGGAGATTATGCTTTAATTAAAGCTTTGAAAGCTGATACTGTAGGCAATTTAATTTTTAGGTACTTTTAAAAAAGCGAAATTCTTTCTAAAAATATAAAGCGTTAACGTGCCAATTTTTTGTTAGTAAATCAAGTCGTAATTTTAATGCGCCAATGGGACGAGCAGGAAAAATTACAATAGCAGAAGTAGAAGAAATCGTCGAATGTGGACAAATAAACCCAGATGATGTTCATCTTCCAGGAATTTTTGTTGATAGAATTGTTAAAGGCGAAAAATTTGAGAAACGAATTGAAGTAAATGATAATTAAAAATAAGTAATTCGAGAATTTAAATTAAATTAAACTATAATTATAGAAATACACCGTCCAAAAAGAGGATTCCTCAAAAGCTTCCAACACGGGTTCTACTAGAGAAATTATAGCCAGACGAGTTGCTTTAGAATTTAAAGACGGAATGTATGGTATCCTTACAAATCTTCAAAATGAATCATAAATTAGATTCTTTCTTAATCGCGTAAATTAGCTAATTTGGGTATAGGAATTCCAGTATTAGCTTCGAATTACATTCCAAATGACATCACAGTATACCTCCAATCTGAAAATGGAATTCTAGGATTAGGACCTTTTCCAACTCCGGATAATGTTGACGCAGATTTAATCAATGCTGGCAAAGACTTGGTTACTGTTATTCCTGGAGCTTCTTATTTTGGAAGTGATGATAGTTTCGCTATGATAAGAGGGTATGATTTAATCGAAATCATAACGAATTTTTGAAATTACATAACTTGTAGGGGACACGTTAATTTAACAGTTTTAGGAGCGATGGAAGTTTCAAAATACGGTGATTTAGCTAGTTGGATGATTCCGGTAACTTATTATTATTTGTGATAAGATTGTTTTAAAATGTTTTTTTTAGGGTAAATTGGTAAAAGGAATGGGTGGTGCAATGGATTTGGTTGCCGCACCCGGAACGAAAGTCGTTGTTTGCATGGAACATACAGCTAAAAACGGAAAACATAAAATTTTGGACAGTTGTAGCTTACCATTGACTGGAGAAAAATGCATTAATACAATAATTACGGAGAAAGTGAGAATTTTTGATTAAATAATGAAAAATGTGTAATTTTGTGTTTTACAGGCTGTTTTTGATGTGGATCCTAAATCTGGTCTCACACTTATCGAGATTGCAGAAGGAATTACCATTGATGATGTCAAGACATCTACGGGGTGTGAATTTAAAATTTCCAGCAATCTAAAATCTATGGGACAAGTTGCTGGTTAAACAGAAAGAATTACATTTGAACCAAAAAATGTTAAATTTAAATAAATTAATAAAATAAATTTTCTTAGATGGCAAAAGTATGTGTTACAGTATTCCTCGTAGTTGCTCCAAAGCATTTCTCTTTATGTCACCTTGCCATCGCGTTTAAGGTCTTCCTCTTAGTATGTTTGTAGCCAGTTAAACTATCATTACTCTTTTAAGAATCCTTCTTCTATTCCTTCGTTCTACATGTCCAGAACACTGAAGTCTTTGAATCTTTACAAATCTCACAATATCCAGATCCTAATAAACAATACTCAGAATCCTTCTAACTCAGTGATATATAATACCTGAAAGTGATTTTCGACGCAAGAGTAAGATGGCTCCATATGAAAAAGAAACACGAAGAGCTTGGTTTTAAGTGTAGAAAGATGTACTGGCTATTAGAAATAAACGTCAATTGTCCAGATATAAGAAACGCTCAAACCTCTTTGAACGTATGATAGTCAAGTTTGGAGTTGTGGCGATGGTTTCAAAATAAAGTAGTAAGGAACATAGTCTTCATGGTTGATCATAAGGACCTTGACTGTTTCTTTGATAGCTTGACAGAGTTTTGTCAGCAGTTTCTTCCTGTTGAAATGACTATTTAATGTTGTCAGCAGCCATAAATAATGAAATGTTTAATAAAACATGAGAATCGCAATGCTGCTTAAGAATTCCAATTAACCCTTTGTGTCCCAAGAAGTCAAAAATTTCGAAACTTTGTGACAGAATTAAAACGCTATCAAAATACTCTCAGTAGAGGCCTTTGGAATCAATTTTAGCAAAATATGCAATCCCCCCATATTTTCAGTATACAAAAACTACTACATTATTGCTAATATAAAAATAATACATTTTTTATTACGTTAGAAAATAAGTAACACTTGCTTTATCTAAATCACATTATGACATTCAGAAAAACAGTTCTTTCTTCCATTACAACATAAATAAACATTGCACGCAGTACATTTTGAGTGGAGTCTAGCTTTGGCAGAACAATTTTCACAACTTCCTCTTTCTTTTGAACTTGCGCTTCGGCATTTTCGGACGCAGTAAATTTGAATATTTATTTATCACACCTGTATTTACAGAACGAAAATCTGATAGAATATTGAGAAAAAACATATTGAGCAAAAACTGTGTCAAAAAAGATGCAAATTCAAAAATTCCTGGAAGCCGTATTTATTGAAATTAAGGAATGAGACTTGTTCTAAATTAAAGCTCAAAGCTTTCTCTTTAAAATGATGTATAATAATTGTTGGGTTGGATTGGAAAAACATAGAAAAAAAAAAAGTTGAAACAAAACTTACATTTTCGTGTAACCTAAAAGTGTCAAAAATATGCTAATTTAAAAATTCCTGGAAGCCGTATTTATTGAAATTAAGGAATGAGACTTGTTCTAAATTAAAGCTCAAAGGTTTCTCGTTACAATGATGTATAATAATGGTTGGGTTGGATTGGAAAAATATTGAGAAAAAATGTTGAAACAAAACTTACATTTTCGTATAACCCAAAAGTATCAAAAAAGATGCTAATTTAAAAATTCTTGGAAGCCGTGCTTACTGAAACTAAGGAATGAGACTTATTTTAAATTAAAGCTCAAAACTTTCTTCTTAAAATGATCTGTAATAATCACACCTAATAACCATTTATCAAAGAGATACCTTTTTGAACAACAAAATTCAACAAGGCCACTTTTCACTAAACTTCTAACCTCACATCTGGACGAATAAGTTTAAATATACCTAAAAGCCCTACAGTGCGGATTGTGTCATTTTTTATACCGATCCTTTCTTGTATAGTAGAAAGTATCGACAGCTCTAAATGCGCCAAATAGATGACTACAGTTTAAAATGAGTGTTTANAAGCTTTCTCTTTACAATAATGTATAATAATTGTTGGGTTGGATTGGAAAAATATTGAGAAAAAAAATGTTGAAACAAAACTTACATTTTCGTGTAACCTAAAAGTGTCGAAAAAGATGCTAATTTAAAAATTCCTGGAAGCCGTGCTTACTGAAATTAAGGAATGAGACTTGTTCTAAATTAAAGCTCAAAACTTTCTCTTTACAATGATGTATAATAATTGTTGTGTTGGATTGAAAAATATTGAGAAAAAAAAATGTTGAAACAAAACTTACATTTTCGTATAACCTAAAAGTGTCAAAAAAGATGATAATTTAAAAATTCTTGGAAGCCGTGCTTACTGAAACTAAGGAATGAGACTTCTTTTAAATTAAAGCTCATTGCTTTCTTTTTAAAATGATCTGTAATAACACACCTAATAATCATTTATCAAAGAGATACCTTTTTGAACAACAAAATTCAACAAGACGACTTTTCACTAAACATCTAACCTCACATCTGGACGAATAAGTTTAAATATACCTAAAAGCCCTACAGTGCGGATTGTGTCATTTTTTATACCGATCCTTTCTTGTATAGTAGAAAGTATCGACAGCTCTAAATGCGCCAAATAGATGACTACAGTTTAAAATGAGTGTTTAAAACTACTTTAAAGGTACTTTAAAGTACCGTCGGGACACAAAGGGTTAAGCGAGAAGACTCAACAAGATCAAACTTTGAGAGAGTTAATCTACATAAACTCAGCCATATCAGAAGAGCTCAACTTGATAAATTTGCAGAAAACTGTTAGTGTGCTTATTCACCATTGGTTTATTTGAGTATTAATGAGAGGCTTGAACCAATCCAAGAGATCATAAAGAAACATGTTCTAGTTGACGCTCCTACTTGGTATGTGCTAAATATGGAAGTATGTGTGTTAATGCTATAGATCGTTTTGAACAAGTAATTGTCCAAGTATAGAAGAACACTTAGTTGCTTCCGTGTGCAATATCACTTTATCATCAACAGCTTACTTAGAGTTTATTTTATCCTTATTAGGTTTCAGGGACAATAGAGTCTTGTCTCATATTATCAAAAAATGATGACTTATTGATGTATAGGAGAAAAAATTGCTTGAAATAATATCATTTTAAAATCATAGTAAAGGTGGAGTTGTTGTCGAAGAGTTATACAACCAAGGTATCGAAAATTATTGCAAAAATTTAAATAATCTAGTCAGATCCAAGATTATTCTTCAATCTGATAAAAACATTAACCTTCTTCGAAGCTGACGAAAGATGACATAATCGAATTGGAAAAAAATCTATACACTTTATTGCCATACACTTTATTGTCTAATGATTTTATTATTTGTTGTTAATATTAATTAAATGTCGATGCGTCTATAAGTGGGTCAACACGTTTTTAAATTACCTTCGTATAGTAATCCCATAAAAAGTGAATACAAGCATACAGAACGACTACTAATCATGTTGCGTCTCACCTTGGGACAGAAAAGATTGCTAAATTAAAAATATCACTTTAAAGTTGGTCAAAACTGGTTGAGAGAAACTGCTTTTATACCACCACGCCAGTTTCCCAAAAACATAAATAAATAAATTCAGATAAAAGTCTGGTTTTTACGTAATTTAGTGACCAAGTGCCACCGACTAGTTAATCATGTTGTTTCTTCGGGTATGTTTTTATCTTTACAATGATAAATTGGAGTGTTTTGAAATTGAAATTTTAGTTGATTAAAGTGATAACTATTTTTTCTCTATTAAAAATAATCGAAATAAAAGGATTATTATTTCATTCAAAGTTTGGTTTAGAAGACAATGCAACTTATTATGATTTTATAGTCGTTGGATCTGGTTCTTCGGGATCTGTTGTAGCATCTCGATTATCTGAAAATCCAAAATGGAATGTTTTATTATTAGAAGCAGGTACAGAACCAACAAAGTTAGTTGATGTCCCAGCTTTATGCGCTACTTTTCAATTTACCGATTATAATTGGGGTTATTTAATGGAAGAACAAGAAAATATGTGTTTAGGTAAGTTTTTAATTAACATTTTTTTATTACTTTTTTAATTAAAATTTAAGGATTAGAAAAGAAACGAATGCATTGGCCTAGAGGAAAAGCTCTCGGTGGAAGCACAATAATTAATTACATGATTCATATAAGAGGAAATCAATTAGATTTCGATCGATGGTCAGAAAATGGTAATAAAGGTTGGTCTTACGAAGAATTACTTCCATTATTTAAAAAATCCGAAGATTCATTTTTGAAAGTGCAAGACCAAGAGTACAGAAATAAAGGTGGCGAGCTTGGAGTTGAAGATGTTGCTTTTAGAACAAAAGCAGCCGAAGCATTTATTGATGCGATGCAAGAATATGGATACAAATATGTTGATTATAACGGGGCAACTCAAATGGGGGTTTCTTGGGTTCAAGCCACCACTAGAAGAGGAAAACGAGAACACGCAAAGAAAGCGTTTTTAGACGTAGCTAGGTATAGAAAAAATTTAAAAATTATTACATCGGCGAGAGTTAACAAGATAGCTTTAAAAAAAGGAGAAAATGATAAGGTAATTATGAGATTAAATGTTTTAATGTCAAGGTATACGAGTTGAAATACTTCGAAAAAAAAAACCTTGAAATTTGGAAATTAACAAGAAATATTAAGAGAAAGTATCTTATTTTAGTTGAGAGCACAAGGAGTTGAGTTTTTTAAGAATGGTAAAAAATTCTTCGCAAGAGCAAATAACGAAATAATCATTAGTGCAGGAACTTTAAATTCGCCCCAAATTCTAATGCTTTCTGGAATTGGGCCAAAAGATCATTTAAATTCTTTAGAAATTCCAGTACTTAAAGATCTTCCCGTTGGCAAAAAACTCTACGATCATTTAACATTTCTAGGATTATTATTTACAATGGACGGAAATGATTTAACGTTTAATTACGATGATTTGTACGATCCAAATACAATGTTGGAGTATGTATTTAATGGTGGAGGACCCTTAACGAGTTTGGGTGGAGTTGAAGCTTTAGGAATAGTTAAGACAAATATTTCGGATGATTCTAATCCGACTTATCCGGATATAGAATTTATTTTTTTGGGTGGTGGTTTACATTCGGATAAGGGGGAAATTTTTAGGAAAACTTTTCGTGTTAACGATGAAATTTATAATACGATTTGGAAACCTTTAGAAAGCAAACAAGCGTTTACTATAATGCCGATGTTGTATCACCCTAAATCTTATGGAAAAATTGAATTAAAATCGAAAAATCCTTTTGTAAGGCCGAAATTTTACGGAAATTATTTTACTGACAAAAATAATTTTGATATTAAAACATTTATTGCAAGTATAAGATTAGCTCAAGGTAAAATTAACGATAATATTAAAATCGATTTTTATTAAAAATTTTTCTCTTTAAGAAATCGTTAAAATGCCTGCTTTCCAAAAGTACAATGCGACCCTTGTGGATACCAAAATTCCAGGATGTGAAATGTTTGTTTTTAATACAGACGAATATTGGGAGTGTGGATTGAGACATTTATCGGTTACGTTACATCATCAAGTTGCAACCTGTAAAATGGGAAATAGCACGGATCCTGAGGCAGTTGTTGATGATAATTTAAAAGTTTTTGGGACGGAAAATTTAAGGGTTGCTGATCCAAGTATTATTCCAGAACCGATAACTGCACATACGAGTGTCCCAGCATATATGATTGGAGAAAAATTAGCTGATATTATTAAAAAAACTTATTAAAAAAAATTACCAAATTATTTTTTTGTTTCATTTGTTCTTTATATCTAAATAACTATACTCAAAGAATGTATGGCAAAAGTAGTATAAAGTGTCTGCTACTAAGTGTTTGAGAAGCAATCTTAATATTCATTTTTTCTATACGCCCAATGATTAGCTCATTTTTGCCATTAAATGTAATTGTTCTTTGTTTTCATTCCTTTGAGGTAAAACCAATGTTCTTTTCTGCCATTTAACGCAGTAAAACTACTTCTAAATGTAGCGTGCTTTAAAAAAATATTAGTTATTGGACACTCCTAAATATCCCATTTCTGCGTAATTTACATAATTATAAAAGATGATTGGTTCAAAGAATTTTGGCACCGTTGTTTTGAAATATTGCTCAAATAACTTAAATTGATCAGCTTTCCAAATCTTCAAATCAACAACTCTTCAATAATTTTCCTGTCAGCTATTAAACCCTGATGGGACAGCTTTGATCACAACTTATAAGTGATGAACTGAATCTTAGTTTCCTGTTTCATTGGTGCAGTCACTGCATGTTCATTTCCGTCTTGAAAAACAAGACTTAGCAGCACACGTGTTAATGATCCCATTGTTATAATAACCTATCTATGAATTACCATCAGTTCTTGTGAAAAAGACTTAAGAGAGATATAGGAAGGAGTGGATGAGAATGATAGGTGAGTGTTTAAGAGAGAGTGTAATTCGAGAAGTATGGTTAGCTAGGGTATGTGGCTGTCCAAACCCAATGGGGAATGTTAGGCTAATATGCTTGGCATCGGTAGTAAAGTGCTTGACAGGATGATTGCAGGAATGATGGATAGTACAAATTCAAAAAACATAGAGTTGCAGTGCAAACGTGCGATGAATATATGCATTGATGGGTAAGATTATAATGCGAATACATTGCCCGGAATATGTAATTTACATCATTGAGAGCTTTTTGATAAATATGAGGATGAGATATAAGGTTATAGAAGAATATAACGTAAGTAGAAGGCTTCACAAGTTGAAGCTTCAAGTCCAGTGCTGTGGTATTACGGAATATATATTTAATTTATAGAGTGAGGGATGTTGTAGTGAATGATCTGGTTCGCTGTATACAGTATTGACCGAGTGCACCATAACAAACATGCCAGTGACATAAAACATATTCACGTTTACATATTTTATATATAACGATTATAACTTGTAAGCAATAGACCGAAATAAGATTTAAAATGGTTCACTCTAAGAATTGGACCACGTTATGCATCACTTGACTAAGCGACATATGAACAAATATTGAGAAAAACGAGATTTTCGTTTTCAACTCTCAAAAAATGTAAGACTTCTCAGAATAGACAGGCTCAAACCATTGAAAATTGTTTGGTGCCTGTCTATTTTTATCACAGAACCCTGATGACAGCTATCAAAAGATTATACAGAGTTTAGAGTTTGATTTTGTGCTTTTAAACTGGTTTTTATTTTATATAGAATTTAAGTCTAACTAGTTTCAGCCCTTGGCCATCTTCAGAGACTCTACAAATAGATTAACAACTCTCATCTTATCCATTTCACAAATTTCTTAATGTTTCTTTTTGTTTTGCTAAAAAAGATCAGATATCAAAGTCGAAATCAGATTATTAGTTACTAATTTACATAATAATTTACAAAAACAAAAATATAATAAAAAATAAATAAAAAATTAAGGTTGGTATTAATATTTAAAAATTAAATTGCTATCTTTATTGTTGTTAACTTAGAGTTTAATGTTTTTTATTCTAACTTTTTTGAGATAAGTGTGTCTTGTTTGGACTCATTTTAAAGGTTTTTTTTTAATAAAGAATACATCATGAACGAACACCATGAAGTTATCCATTCGTCTATTATATGATAACTAACTTCGGGTTTAAAATGTCAACATCAATGTTGACATATTTGTAATCTTCATTAAAAATCCTTTTCCGTCGACCGTGTATTTATATGATTTATAAATGTATACAAAATCATTCATTAATGGCACCTATTAATAAACGATTTTCTATTAATAAACGATTTTAAGAAAGTCCGACCGAACTAAATAGTAGTCAATTTAATAAATATTGTCCAATGAAATTTGTAATACCGACCCAACCGACCACTATATCTATTCGGTAAGACTACAAAAATAAATTATGACACATTAAAAGTGAGGTTATTTTGCCAGTGACAGAATNTAATATTCAAAAATTGAATTGCTATCTTCATTGTTGTCCCAACCCAACGTTAGCAACAATGAAGATTGTTGCTAACTTTGGGTTAAATGTTTTTTATTCTAACTTTTTTGTTCTTTGAGATAAGTACATCATCTTTGGACTCATTTTAAAGGTTTTTTTGATGAAGATGACAAATACGTCAAAATTGACGTTGACATTTCAAACCGGAAGTGATTGTATTTCCATTAATATTAAAGTTAAATATGTCGAGTTTGGACTCATTTTAAAGAATTTTTTATTAAGTTGACAAATATGTCAACTTAATCAAAATTAAAAGTTGAAAGTTCGAACTTTTTTGTTTTTCGAGATAAATGCGTCAAGTTTGGAGTCACTTTAAAGTTTATTTTATGAAGATTGCGATTATAATAACAAAATTAAAGTTGACATTGACAACTGAAAGTTTTTTTCACGACTAAACCCGAATGTTTCTAGTTCTCGTTTTAGTTTTAGTTCAATAAAAATATACAACATCGTACATTAAAGCGAGGGGAGGAAATACCCATTATAAACATTTTGTTTGATTTACTTGTCACAGTTTCATACACTACAGTACATTTCATCGACATCTATGATTTGCTTTAATTTTTGATGGCGCTGCCGAAGAAGTTGCGTTATACTTTAGAGCTTGTAACTTTGGTGTTAACAACAATAAAAACTTGAACAAAAAACACAAGTGATCAGAACAAACAAGACTGCAAGCTTCTTATGTTTAAAGTTAATATCTTGTGTTGGTGCACCCCACAGCAAGCTTCAAAGTGTAGGAAGAATAAACGCATTAGTATTATTCAGCATTGCTGAAATTGGAGAGTGCCAAAATGGGGAAGACACCTACAGAAATATTGGCAAAGGGTAGACTTTTTAAATAAATAAAACCTTATTCAAATCGAGCAATACGTTCAAAAGTTATTGCATTTTGAAACCTGTCAACATTTTAGGTGATGCGTTTTTTATGCCGCTGAGTGTAGTTAGACTTACATTTTATATAAAATAAAAGACATAAACTTTTAATTTTATACTAACATCTAGAAAACGACACTAGTCCGAAATTGTAATTTTATCTATTTTTCTATTGTAGAATTTCTTGGTGTATCTAAGTCGGTTCTTAGGCGTATGATGCAAATCGGATTTGAAATCATATAACGTAATTGTCGCTTAGCTTTATCTTTTAAAACAAATTGTATTTTAGGTCTTTCGGTATTCTGCATTTTTTCTAAGATAAATTACACCTTTACCTACCAGACAGCATGTAAATCTCTAAAAACGATAAAATGTCGCTTAGTCAAGTGATGTATAACGCGGTCCAATTAATATATTTGTAAAGATCTTGTTATTGGATCTGCTTTAGGCGACTAATTAAGTATTAAATAGCGATTTGAATAGAATTAAAATTGAATACAAATATTATCAAATTTTATTGGTCACCACTAACATTGTTACATTTTTGTTTATAATCTAAAATTTTTTCAAACGGTATTGATTTATCATTTTCCGATTCATTAATAAAGACTTGTACCCTTAAAACATACGTTGTATCAAAAGAATAACCTTGATTTCCGTTCATTAATAATATTGAGTTTACAAAAAAGTGTTCCTCTTTAGAATTAAATCCTAAAACATCTAAAGATGTTTCGTAACGATTTGTATTGTGATTAAAATTGATCAATTGATTTTTATCGATACTTTTTAATGGGATAACAGATTTTGCTCGTATCCTAATATTATTTGGACATCCTTCAAAATTTAGAGCCTGACAAAACGTTTTGATGCAAACTAATCTTTCTTGAAAAGGTAAATCGGCCAAACTCGTATTTTCCAATCTTAAAGCATCGATTATTTGTAGACTTATTTGTTCTGATTTTTCGTCGTTTTCCAATATCGATTCTTCTTTAACTAATTCGCCGTAAACCAGCGAACCTTTATTTAAACGTATATTTTTCGTTTTAACCCATTTATTTTTTTGTAGCTTGAAAACTTTTGAATTACTTACGCTAGCGTAAAAGTGGCAATAATCGTTTTTATAACAAGAAGCTAACGGAATAAAAAACCATTCGTTTTCAAAGTTAATTGTTTCAATTAATTGATTGAAATTTAAAATTTTTCGGGACGATACTAACATAAATTCTGGTTTAGAGAGTGTATTTTGTATAAAATCTTCAATATTTAATTTTGAATCGGGTATCCGTGGTTTGTTTGGAATCCTCCAAAATTCTAAACACTTATCTCGTATTTTTTCTTGTCGAGGATCAATCAATGAAGGATTTCTACCAAATAACGCTAACTTTTTTAACGCGACACTTTGCTTTAGACCGTTTAAATTATTTGATTTACAAATATAATTGAAGAATGACACATTTTCTTTTAACATAGTATTGGATACAATTTCTTCAATGTCAATTAACGGAATTGATTGTTTTTTAATTTCACATAGATCATATACTATTTTGTTTAAGTACTTTTTAATTATGCTGGTTGTTTTTGTATGTTTTAAATATTTACCTATTAAATATCGTTCTGAGTTTGCTGGACGTGAAGAATTTGGTTTCAAAATTGCAACTGCAAATTAATAAGTAAAAATAATTAATTTAAAATTTCTCGTTTACCTTACCATATTCAAAACATTGGTGCATTAAGTATAAAAGTCCCACACTAAACTTTGTGAATAAATCAAATAATTTAGTTACAAAGTGGCCCCCGGGGCGCACTATTTCTAAGGCCATCAAACATTGACACGTATACAATTGTTTCGATAAAACTTCTTGTAAATTCTCGTTTCCTTCAACCGAAAACCCCTAAAAAATTCTAATACTAAATCATCAACAAAGCAAAAAATTAATTAACCTTCGAGCGGGCGCACATAAAATTTCATAAAATTTATGACAATTTTTGTTTTATAATATACTGCCTTATATTATGCATTTGAAAGGATTTAATGCTAAAATATTCATGCAATTATGTATTTTTACACATCAATTGCCGTATTTGTAGAAATATTCAATATATTCAAAGGTTCAATATTTCTCGAGCGGACGTGATTTCAATTTTACGATTTTAAAACCTTTTATACATTCAACATAGAAATTTATTGCGGTAAGCAACCAGATGGTCCATTTGTGGTATCTACTAAAGTGATGGATGTTGTAAAAAGATTAGTGAAACCAATAGAAAATTAGAACAGAAATAACACTGACTGGAACAACAAAAAAGAATAAGTGAGAAATCCCATCAGAATTGTTAATGAGAGCCTGTAATAGCTCTCATTAACTCGCTACTCAAACGGGTGCTGTAATGAGACTCCTTATAGCATCCAATACTATAATGAGTTTTTAGAAACATTTTATGGAACCAGTTCAAGGTGGTAACATTGGGTCATTAATTTTTGTCTATGGATGTTTAAACACGTTCTTAGCATCGAATATAACGTCCACAATGATGAGGACATTGAACCCTGAGCAATTTTTCTTATTTCTGGAGGTGTACATGAAACATTTTTTTCAGGTGAATACATTTTGTGTTTTGACAATTTCTAACTGTCAATTCAAATTTCTATTTTCAAGTGTTACGGTGTTACCAACTGCTACATACGTATCTCTCTGCATTGTCAAAATTTATTTTATTTTTGTTAAAAAAAAGGATGAAAACGCGAATTACAAAAATTAGCATAAAAAACACGTTTCATAAGACTTAAAGCACTCATTTAATAAAAAATTTGAACTTAAACTTGAATTCGTGCATTTCAAACGTGTCTTACGAAACTAGTTTTTTAATATACTATTACGTTCAATTTTTTCAATTTGTTCTAACCATATTTCAACCAACTTCCTTGCCTTTTTATGGTTCTCTGCTATCTGCACCATGTCATCAACATATAGCGAGTTACTGGATTTATTATGATTCTTTTTTTTTTCTTTCTTTTCTTTTCTCATCTCTTTGTTTTGTCCCAGCCATACCTGCCAGTCATATCTAGTAGTCATGTTTTGTTTTATTATTATTTATTATTTTGTTTATTTTTTATGGGGGTATGGAAGACCAGCTAATGAGCTGAATTTCTACCATTTTGTTTTCTCACTCGATGTTATATATTTTCGTCTTACACATATATGTATATGTCTTTTGTTTTTGCTGTAATGTTATAAGAGTGAGGAACAATAAAGAATTTATTATTATATAGTAATTTATCTATTTTTACTGGTTCCAAACTTTTATAACCTATTACTGTTTGATATTTATTTGTTTTTGTTCTTGTATTTTTTATCACTCTGTCCATTAATATTATAAATAACAAGGGGCTTAGGCTATCCTCTTGATTTATTCCCTTGCTCATTTCAAAAGTTTTTGATGTTTTTCCCTTCATTTGTACTACTTATTTTTGTTAGAGTTTGTGGTACCACCAGTTGTTAGATTTCAAAAATGAATGCATTTCATTGATTTCATTATATAGGGTGTTTTACCGGTTGCCTTTGTAAAGGGAAGAGTACGCGACGACCAACGGTTAGTGAAGAAAGAGTTGAGCGAGTGTGAGAGAGAGAGACCGTTTAGAAAGTTACAGAAACGCTTACAACTATTTCCGTCTCGTTTTCAGTTATTACAGGCTCTAAAGCCTACAGATCATGGCTTTTTACGTGCCAACTTTGCACATGAAACGTTGTTGCACAATCATTTTCTGGATCATGTTGTTTTCAGTGATGAATAATGTGCGCACCTGGGACTTGGAAAATCCTAATGACATTGTCGTTGCAATGAGACTCCCCTAAATTGAATGCTTTTTGTGCCATCTCTGCGGAAAGTGTATGGGTTTCTTTCTCTACAACTATGGCTATTATTGCAATTGGTAGAAGACAAACCAAATAACTTCATTTGGCAGCAAGATGGTGAACCGTCTCACTGGCATAACGAAGTACGCGATTGGTTGAACGTCATATATCGACTTGAAGTGTGGCGTGTGAAGCTTACAAGTGTTCAACGGTGGTCACGTTGTTCAATAAAGTTTCATGTAATAAATACTACAAAGCGTTAAAACCCCAATATTCATTTAGAAACACCCTGTATGTTTTCAACAGTTGTTTAATGTACACTGTGTTAATTAATTATCCTACCCGACCAAGGTTTATACAGGGTGTTTCGGTGACTCGGGGAATAAATTTAACCACATATACTAGAGTGAAAATGATGACGATTCATGTAAAAAAAAAATAGTAATAGTCTTCAAATTTCAAAAATACAGGCCATCAAAGTTAGGAAATTTTAACACATTTTTCCAAATATCTTAAACATTATTTACAGTAAAGCGCTGAAATTTGGTACAGTATAAATCAATGTCGTGTAAAATTGTTAGGCAATTTATGAGTTGGATCGGTCCGCGGGAACAATGCTTACCGGCTGTTCCTAAAGTTTGTTTGCTCAGAACTTTTTTATTCTTTCATAACCCTACATTTATTTTTGCAGTTTCTAATAGTAAATTTAGTTTAGAAACTTTTATTACTCTTAGATAATATTCATAAAAATCACCGTTTTCGTGTTAAATCCAAAAATGTTGGGATCCGATTTCAATAGTGCTATTACTAAAAAAAAGAAACGTAAGTTTTTGAACTTCCTTTAGTATTTTTTATTACTTGTCTTGTTATTTTATGTACTTCTTTTATTATTTCTGTTAGTGTTGTTGGTTTTTTGTTGTTTTTTGTTGATTTTTAATTTATTGTTTTTGGATTCTTTTATTAAACCAACTAAAACAAATTAAAAATGTGATTTAGCTAAATCTACACTTGGACATGTTGCATACATAATAGTTATGACAGCTCAGTTCGATTTTCACTTGTCATTGCTAATTCAAATTATTTATTTATTTATTTTTTTTAGTGTTATTGAATTCGGAGCCTACCATTTTTGCATTTAATATGGAAACGGTGGTTTTTAGCAATATTCTCTAAGAGTGATAAAAGTTTCTAAACTAAATTTACTATTAGAAAATGCAAAAATAAATGTAGGGTTATGATAGGATAAAAAAGTTCTGAGCAAACAAACTTTATGAACAGCCTGTATAGCATTGTTCCCGCGTACTGATCCAACTCAAAAATTGCCTAATGATTTTACGTGACGTTAGTTTACGCTGTACCAAATTTCAACGCTTTACCATAAATAGTGTTTAAGATATTTACAAAAATGTGTTAAAATTTCATAACTTTGATGGCCTGTATCTTTGCAATTTGAGGACTTTTACTAATTTTTTTTTTTACATGAATCGTCATCATTTTCACTCTAGTATATGTGGTTACATTTGTTCCCCGAGTCACCGAAACACCCTGTATATTAAAGGTTGTCTTAAGTTCCTATGCTGCAATACTTTGATTTTAGTTTGTGGGCGAGGGGCAAGAGCAGGAGTGTTTCGTGACGTAGTGGCCACGGATTACGCGCGCAACCTCAAGGTCATGTTTAGCAAGAGTTGAATGACGTAATGCACAGTATGGTTGCGTATAAACCTAGACAACCTCTTATATACAAACCTTGCTACCCGACGTCATCAAGTATGCAACCAAATACGCAAATCACGTATTGCAATACCAATAATGTCAGTAGTGTGATATTGGTTGCATACTTGCAATGATGACGTCTCGGGTATGATAATTAATTAACACACTACATATGTATTAAATATTTTAATGACCTAATACTTATTAATACGAACCTGTTGTCATAAAATTTATGACACGCGCCCGCTTGAAGGTTAAAAATAATTACCCCATCAGCCATCATAAAATGTACCCCTAACCCACCAGTTTGACAAAAAACTTTCGATTTAAAATCCCTAATATTATCTAAATTACAAATATCCCCATCTTCTGCCGCCCCATAATACGCTTGAAATGTATTTGGTGAAATACATGTAGATTCGTTCAATTTAAAATCATGTTGTCCTTTCAATGTAAAGCCAAATCCTTTAAAACACCACTTTTTTCTCCATAAAACGTACTCGGTGAAACCACCAGGTCCTGCACAAACATCTGCGAAGAAATATGGACTGTAAGGATTTTTATGTCTTGGATCATAATCGATGTTAGTAAACATAAAATTAGTCGCCGCATCGATATTAGCCATTTTTAAAGCAGCCCGGTTCATAAAAAACACATTTTTAATCTTTTCAAACGGATTAGCTCGAGCTCGAGCTTTACACAACGTCATTTGGCTTAATTCGTTAAAGATTTCTTTTCCCTGTAAGATTTCTTGTAAGAGATTCGCATCAACAAAATCGGTTTCATTATTGATATCTTGTTTTGGTGGGGCCATTTTAATGCAATTCAATAAATCTTCATAAGAGAATTCAAAGTCGTGTTTGTTTTCTAACCATTCTAAATTTTCTTTGATGTTAATCACTTCGTATTTAAAGTCTTGTACATCTTGTTCCATTAAATATAAATCGTCTAATTGTTTATTTGTCATCTGAAGATTATCAAAAATTTTAATTCGAATATCTATATGGAAATAACACATACCTTGTATTAATTATTATTACATTATTACTTTGTCCAATTCAGATTAAGTAAATGACTTTACAAAGTGAGGTTATGAATCATTATAAACCAAGGTAGGGTAAAATTCTAAAAGAAAAAAATTAATTTTATTACTGCGTAAATGATAAAATGAAACGTAATAACCGTATTAACTAGATTATTTGTTTATAATACGCACTTTTTTATCACTACATTTTAGAGATGTGTACTAACTATGATTAGTGATGTTCGATTGAATACCAAGTTTTATTTATCACATCTTATACAAAAAATTTAAATAATAAAAATTAATTATTATGGTTTTAAAAAAATAACGAATTAGATTAATAAAATATATTCTTTTTATAAATAATAGTAAGCTGTAATTAAATTGCTTCGATATAAATCGAACACTTTTTAACAATTCTTAACAACATAACCTCAAATCTCAAAAAATTTTGATTTTCACAAAATTTAAGTAAAATATTTCTATGCTTAATATGATAAAAGCGGTTTTAATCGATTTGAGTGGGACTCTTCATATCGATAATCAAATAATACCAGGAGCAATTGAAGCATTAAAGCTGTAAAATATATTTTTTAACGAAATTATGTAAACTAATTGATTATTTGTAGATTAAGAAAATCGGATTTAAAAATTAAATTTGTTACGAATACCACAAAAGAAAGCAAAAATATTCTTTATAATCGTCTGCAAAAATTAGGATTTGACGTGCAATTAGATGAAATTCACACTTCTTTAATCGCAGCTAGAAAAGTAATTGATGAGAAAAAATTGAACCCTTTATTGTTAGTGTCTAAGGAAGCCCTCGAAGATTTTGAGGGATTAAATTATGAAAGTAATCACAATGCTGTCGTTATTGGTTTAGCTCCTTCAGAATTCCATTATGATAAATTAAATCAAGCTTTTAGGTTATTTAATTCATTAAAAAATCTTTTAATAATTAATTTTGAGAATTATTTTAGATTATTACTTGATGGGGCACCTTTAATAGCAATCCATGCTGGTAAATATTATAAACGACCTGATGGATTAGCCTTAGGTCCTGGTTGTTTTGTAAAGGGTCTCGAATATTCAGCTAAATGTACTGCCCAAGTTATTGGAAAACCAACAGAAGGGTTCTTTAAATCTGCAGTAGACAATATCCAGCCATCAGAATGTGTTATGATAGGAGATGTAATTTTTGTTAACATTTTGATGTTATAAATTTAAGAAATTTTTTTAGGATGTAACAGATGATATTGATGGGGCACAAAAAATCGGTATGAAAGGAATTTTAGTACAAACCGGCAAATATCAATCTGGAGATGAAGCTAAAATAAATCCAGCACCTTGGAATACCGTACCAAGTTTTGGAGAAGCTGTACAAAAACTTTTAGGCCATAATGAAAATATAAAAACAAAGAAAAGTACTTAGATTTAATAAATTTTTATTATTTGTAATAAATATAAAATATGTATGGCTAATATATATCCCTAAATAATTAAAAACAACAATTGAATATAAATATGTTTTTGTAGAACTCTTTAATAAGTTATTTAAATATGTATATAAATGTAAATATATTCCATTTAATAATCACTTTCGTCTCCTGAAACAAAAAACAATCTTTAGATTAAAATCGTTGTCTTTTTTAATTTGTACCTTATTAAAATTGGCAACCCTGAAGATTTTGTACATATTAATTGAGTATTATCATCATGATCTTTAGCATTATTTGTTTCATCTGTCGAAACATTGTTATCTTTGTCAAGATAAATCTCACTAACTTTACGTTCAATTTCATTAATATCTTTGGAAATTTTAACGGAAGAATCGAGAAATTCGGCCAAAACATTCCTTTGAAAACTTTTACTTCTGGTACATATTGGTATTTTACTACATTCTCCCGTTTGAAAACTAAGACTATGTCTTTTATAAAGATTTTTGGAACCCGTTTCTAAACAAGCCGCCGAAAAAACACTCGAATGTCTTTTATTCCTTTTTAATGTCGTCGCACTATTATGACTATTATTATCCGTAATATTTGAATGATTCAACACCGGAATGCTCGATTTACTTTTAACGGGATTCATCTCGTTATTATTAGCCGATTTTATACCGATTTTTCTCAAATTTACTTTCACGTCATCGGTCATGTTTGGCGTTATACTTTCGATCATGTGAATGTCAACGTCAGAAAAATTATCTGATACTATTGATGGATGTTCTATCGTATCCATTGTTAAGATTGGTTGGTGGATAGATTTGCGATGATGAACCTGAACGGTCGTTGGTATGTGTGGTAGAATGGTTTCTATATTGGTGTCGATTGATGTTGTTTCAGTATCGCTTGGAACCAGTGTTTCTGGTAGTACTACACCAGCATCTATGTAAAAGTGCTGTTCAAGGATGCTCATATCACTAGAAAAAAATATACACACAAAGAATATTTATGGAGTAAAACAATATGTTAAATGAAGATCAGAAAGGTAATTAAAATATTTTCATAATGAGCAATAAATTAATTTACATAGATGCTAATGATTTTAATAATTATTTTGAAGAAAGTGTTGTGTATAAACTATTGATATGTATATAATAATATTAAACTTAAATTGAATAAAGTTAGTGAGAAAAATCCTATTGGTTAGTGATATTACAAAATTTTAATTAAAAAGGGAAAACCAAAAAAACCTTTCTGACCAACATTTAAAATAAACAAAAAATTCTATAGCAGTTTCATTTCTTTATGAGAAACTTAATATATCATTCTGTATATAGTTTTCTCATAATAGAATAAAACGACAAATTTTTTTACTTACACAGACTGTTGATTAGGAGGTACTTTTACAGGTGGGCCAGTTTTTGAAGCAGCTACTTGTATTGGGGGACCAGTTTTAGAAGGGGCTACTTGTGCAGGAGGGCCCACTTTGGCAGGAGGACCCGCTTTAGGTGGAGGTGCTTTTCCCTGAGGTGCTGCTGGTCCAGCAGGTCGACTAGGAGCAGCGGCTTTTGGTTTAGCACCTCCAGCTGTATAAGTTAACACTCAAAAATTATGTATCATAAAGTAATAAAACAGAATGATGAAAATAATTAAACTTAATTGTATTTCTAATTAGGAAAAGGAAAAATATATATGTTTTTCAAATGAAATAAAAATAATAATTTACATGTTTCTCACATTTAATTGTTAGTAGCAAATCAAAATCACTTCTTTAGCAATACCTTGCCTTTGTAAAGCGTTAAACAGTATATAGTCTTCTTCAATCGATGTCTTGTCTATCATTAAAAGTATCTAAGTAGTCTTTACAATATATCTTTTACAATCTTCAAGCAAGTGATATATGGACTAATAATCATCGCAATAGATTTAGCTTAGAAAAACTATGGCAAGAAGTGGAGAATGAAGTACAAATGGCAAGTAAATACATATTAGTGTATAAACTCCTTCGTTTTGCAACCCTTCTCATCACTTTATCCCATACCAGGAGAAACAGTATGAATGACTGTATACATCCTTGTCTCTGTCTTAACACTCATAGCCCTCATACATCTCCTTGATAATACTGATGATCTTTAGAGGGACCCCACATTCTTCCAGAGTATACCACATAATTGTTCTGTTTAAAAACAGAAAGATTGAAAAAAATTTTACTGCAAAATTGCCAAAATTGTAAATCTAAAGTAAGCAAGAAGCTAAGATTCCTTCGATGGCAAAATACATACAGTCCGGCCAAAGAAACTATCTAGAAGAGATGTTAGGTCCATATTAAAAGAAATGTGCCAAAACCCTAGAATTAGCGCACCGAAATTAGCTGACCACCTAGTAATTATGTCTAAAAACTCTGAACATACAAGAACCATTTCAAAGAGATTTTACGCGATAATGACGTTTTCAGTAGAATCAAACATTATAAAATTTGAAGCCATCAATGAATAGTTGGGGCCTTAGGGATCACTGGGCTTCCCAACTTGGTAAGGATCCCAAGCATACAACAAACATTGTCAAACATTGGTTGCTATATTATGCACCCAGGAATCTCAATACACCTCCTCAGAGCACGGATGTATAACTGATTGAACATGGTTGGAAGCTTTTAGAGCGTAGGATTCGGCAGAGATGATGGGCTGAAATACCAGCATAAGAGACAACAAACTTAGTGGCTTCAATACCACGAAGCCTGTGCGCAGTTATACAATATCAATGAGGGCCAACGAAATACTGAAAATTTTGAAAACTGTCGTAACGTGAACTTAATCATTTACTTCTTATAATTAAAGAACTGTCCCAGACTCTGACACGAAGATGTTTCAATAGTAGCAATTGTCTACACGGTTAAAAAACACCCCCACAATGCTACTACTACCGTACATTTAATGATTTTTGAAACAGTTGTAAGCCCCAATTTAAACGTTATTGCCAAATATTTAAAACCTCTATCATGTGCGAGGTATCTATAATGATATTTGTAAAATATTTTTTATATTGCTAGATTAAATTTAAATTGTTTATCCACAAATTCATTGTAATACTCAACTACAAAGAATGATACATTTACAGAAAAGGATGTGAAAGAGTTTGAACTTTCACTTTTCGTAATCTTGGCAAAAGAAATTTCCAAATCCAATTTAGGAGATAGACAGTAGAATAAGGGTATCATATTCCTATCCACATTTGATCATTCTGTACAAATACCCTCTCATGGTTCCTCAACCACCACAGAATTTGATGAGCCTTCCTTCCATCAAGACTCCACCAGTTCTGTGCCTACATGTCCTTCGCGATCCATTCAGAAACAACTATTAAACTAGTAAAACAAGCTAGTCAAAAGACAGCTTTAAAAAAACACATTCTTCATAAAATGAGATTGGAGCTAAGCTATTACAAATTGAAAAAAAAAAAATTCTTTTGGAAGAGGGGCAAAACACTTCTTTAAAAGTTTTATACTCCATACCGAAAAATTAAACGGTCGGGAGCCGTTGTGCTTACAAATGGAAATGCAACAACTAGTATGCCATCATATTTACAGCACAAAATGTTCTTCCTCAAACAATCCTTGCTCTTCGTACACACAGTATTCTAATTTATCAACAATTTCTTCTCCAGAACAATTAACTTCAAAGCCACACTTATTCCAACCACATGAAAACTTGTTACAAATAAAATCATTTTACAAGTTTATTTACGTTAATATCCTTTTTATCATACCTTATTGTAATAACCAAGCGCTTTTCGACGCTAATAGAATTTCTAATAGAAATACTTTATTAAATGTTGGTATTGATATTTTAAAATAATGACTAAACTTTTCGGGATATCCTCTCAGTTTTTGTGCAAACAATGTAATTGTCCAGTTTCGTGTCGATCTTGATTAATAGGATGGACTGATCATCTTATTGTTTTACTTGATTATGTTTTATGCAAATGAGATAATCGACGTAATATTAATAAGTCTCTTTCTAGAAGGATACAGTCTGACAAACACACATACAGACTCAAGACTCATGCAGCCTTTTCCAAGCAGTAAGCAGCTAATCTTGTATAATAAGTATCCAATTTATAGCATTGAACATCTGGTCTACTGTGAACACCATCTCGTGTCTTCTATAATAGGTGATTGTCAGACTAATTGAATAGTCTGCTTCAAATATCCAGTTCTGCATTAGTAATATTTAGTCCTCTACAATCAGAAACTGATTTTTTTCAATCGTTACACAAGTAGTATGTGGGATTTACAAAGCATTGAACAGTGTGTAGAAAGTTCTTTTAAAGCTTAATTTTCCACCATCCAGAAAAATGATATATATGAAATAAAACGGGTGTTGCTGACTTTTTGGCGGACACTGTATATTATAGATTAGAGTAAATGAGCTATAAATAGCTATAGATATACTTGAACACTAATAAATTATTTACAGACTACCAACATGGACACTAAAATCAAAAAATCGTAATTTGATTTGACCAACAATATTTTAGGGGCTTGATTTATTTCCTCTGCAATATTGAGGAAAATGAAACTTTCTCATTTTCCCCGCGACTTTCTGATAGATGCAGAAGGAATATTCCGCCCAACAGTCCTCTCTGAGCTTTCAACCTTTCAAAATTGCTAAACACTAAAATAATGTTGTGTGAGAATTCGTGTTAAATTACTTAAGGCTACTCTTTGATAACGTTGACAGCAACTTAGGACAGGTTTAGTGGTTTAAAAATATGTGTAATAGATTTTCGTTTTCCTAATTTATAAGAAAATTGATAAAACAAAAATGATTTTTCTACTAACAAAAATCGTTTTTTTTAATTACCTGTGAACGTAGCAGTTAGTGGACTACCGCTAGCTTCTTCCTCTTGTTTAATTAAATCTTTCGAATAAAAATCTCTATTGGTTGCTATTGACATGTTTGCGGTTTGTTTTAACGTTGTCTTTAAAAGATTTGATACGTACGCTGTCTTTTCGGTCGATTCCAATTTTTGAATAGCTTCTTGCAAAAGAATCTTGTGTTTTGGATCGAGGGGCGGACAGAGCGTTATTAATTTTAATTTTGGAAAGATTGTTAAAAAACTGTATCGAACGTTTGATACACGATCACCTAAGAATATATATTTTTTAACGTTAATTTGAGGTATATTTTTTAATACTTACTCGCTAAACATAACAGTGGTATAAAAAAATATTCTTTAAAATATTTACTACTAAACACTTCGAGGACAGCAAAACATATTTTTACGAATGTTTGACGTGTATAACAATTGTCCGAGTAACAAAATTGATTTATGAGTGAATCTCTCATCCATTTCTGTTGATTTTCTTTTCCATTGTATCTTAAAAATACCAATAAAGTTCTTGTTGCTTGATAAACTATTGGTTTGGACCTCTATAAATATAAAAGTCTAAGTAACATTTTTTAATACTTATTTATTTTTTGTACCCCATTTGTAGCCGTTCCGAGAATCATTGGTGAAAAGTGTTGATGAATAAAATCACCAGGAATGCATTTTGGCAAACATTCCATTTGTTGAAGAAACGTTACCAATAATCTCCAATTATAACCTTTTGAAAGTTCGATTTGGCACTTCAACAATGCTCTACCTATTTCCATAGTGGTTTGATCAGTTCTATCTCTCGATAAATACCCGTTTTGAGCTAATAATTGTAAAGTATTGCTTAAGGTCGGTACTAACATTTGTAAAACATCCTCGGCATCATCTCTTAACAATCTAACTATATCTGCTTTTAATGTTTTACATTGGACAACTAAGAAATTTAAAAAATTGTTTTTTAATTCTTAACTTTTCATCAATTTTTATTTACCTAAAACTTTTGTGGTATCATGAATACAACTAGCAACAGCTTTACGAACAATGTAACAAGGATCTCCAGCTAAATCCCTAAAAATTGTATATAAAAAATCCATTTGATCTGGTATTCCTGATCTAACAAATTCCGCAACAGCTGGTAAATTTGTCGCGCAATTTTCTCTACAAATAACATCCTAAAAAAAAAATAATTTGTATTTAATAATTTTATAAATATTTATCTGATTATATACCTTCGAAGCATCTAACGCACTGCTTGCAGTCTTCGCTGTCGGCCTATTATCAAACCCTTTACGTGATAGAATTTTAAAATAATTCAAAAACCAAATTTTGTTATCATTGGTTAAAACAGGACTTAAAAATTTCAATATCCTTCCAAATTGACTGGAAATAATAGCTGCTGTGTTATCATCCGGTACAGTTTTCTCACAAAATCTTCTTATTAAAGGTATAACAGTTGTTGCAAGAACATCTAAAGAATACATTTTATTTAAATTTTAATTCGATCATAATTTTAGAAAAAAATAGAAACCTTTTTCAAGAAATGGTAATAAATTGACAATTGTTAATACTGCAGCTTCTCTTACTAATGGACTTGTATCGGAAGCTAATTCTATAAACGACGGTAACAGATTTGCTTTAACAAATGGGGCTGTAATCCCTTCAGCCACAGATGGTAATTGAACGCACATTATCGCACGCACTTCAACACTACAATCTTGACATAAACTATGAACAAATGGTAAGATGTCTTTTTTGATACTAAAAAAAGAATAATGAAATGATCAAGTATTACAGGGAGTATGAAGAATTTGTGTAATAAAGATCTCCATAAAATACTCATTTCAAAATTTGGAAATTTAATCTCTTACTTTTACTTAAATAATATTTTGGCTACAAAGTATATCAAAATATTTTGTTTAATGAGATAACTTAAAATATAGTGGGTATTGTTACACATGGCACAATAGTATAAAAGCAGTAACATCTGATACACAATTTTTCTCAACACTTTTAACATATAGAATTTGCCAGTAGATTTAGTGCACCCAGACAGAGAAAAAAGAATACACCCAGTGGTTTCTTCACCGCAACTTTAAAGAACCCAAAAAGCCACCTCAATGGAAAGAATGTAGCCGAAACACTAAAAGTAACCTGCCACTAAGAACTAAAATACTGAAGTAGGAAAAAGGAGAAGAGTGGAATCATAACGGGGGTCAAAGAAGAGATGGCGTTATCGATGTGATAAAGCGAGAAGTGAATATGGAAGTGGCGGGAGAAAACGGGAAGCGATGGTCAAAAGATAAAGTGCAGATCAAGGAAGGTAGAGAAATGTCGCGATGGATACAAGAGATGGAAGATTTTACACTTATACTGTGGCAAGAGGAGCATCGGTAATTGATTATGTGGTGATCAAATGAATCAGGAAACATGGTGGGGTAATCTGTGGATTGAGATTTGAGATCATTATCCGTTAGAACTTGATTTGAAGAGGGTAGAGGAATAAGAGACGTAGATGAGTGGGCGGACGAGAAAAGTACATAGAAAGATAGAACGCATAGAGTGTATGAAAGAGATATTCGAGGTAATGAAATAAGTAATAGTGGAGAAAGAATATAAGAGTAGACGTAGACACGGATGGAGAGAAAACGAGTGATGCCTACACTAGTACAACGAATTAATGCTATGGGGCAAGAAGACAGATGATATGGTGGAGAAAATGTAGAGCGTTGGAGGTTCAATAGAGGGAAGCAAGGAGGAAATATAAAGAAGTATGTAGAGCAAAGAGACGTAATATAATATATACCGTATTTTCTCGAATCTAATCCGCACCCTTTTTACAAATTTTGTATGCTCTAAAATCAAATGCGGATTACAATCGGATGTGGATTACATTGGAAAACCAACTTTTTTTACCATCATTGCATTTTTAAAATCGAGGTGCGGATTAGATGCGAGTGCGGATAAGATTCGAGAAAATACGGTAATATCAATATAATATATAAACAGAAAGAGAAAGAAGCGGGAGAAGATAAATAACATCTATGAGTATGCAATTGTTGGAGGGTTGTGAAGACAGACAGAGGAGGGATGGGGATACTGACGCGGTTGAGAGAGGAAAGGCGGCAAGGGAGGATGGGTTACAGAATGAGGCATAGCTGGAGGCAACAGAGGATATTATAGAGAAATTTATGAAAGTTTTGAATAAAACTTAGAAACAAAACAAACGAAACGAACTATTTCTTTGGAGGTTAAAATCAAGAAAATCTCTGTAGGGCAACGTTTCAGTTTAACAGAATCCACCATAAGAACTATAAAGAAAAATGAGGATGCAATTAGAAAATCTGTTATTGCTGGGACAAAATTATAGCATCATATAAAAGAGACATTGTAAAGTTGGAAAATGGAAAAGGCTCTGGTAATATGGATGGAGGATGCGTCTCAAAGACGAATATCAGTTGACGGAAATAGTATTAAGCAGCTGGCAGAATCTACAACCTGATTAAAGAAATGGAACCACAAACGTCAGCCTAGAAAAGAACCAAATTTGAATTTTTTTGGATGGATGAACAGTTTTTACAAAGACACGTGCTGCATTGTATAAAGATTAAGAGTAAAATTGGATCTGCGATCGATCTGGCAGCTAAAGAATTTCCTGCAAAATTTGCTAAAATAATTTAAAATGGTGGCTACACTCCGGATCAAGTATGGAATGCGGAAGGAACAGGTCTTTTCTGGTAACGTATGCCAAGTAGAACATACCTAGCTAAATCCCAAATAACAGCCAGTGGGTTTAAAGCAGTCAAAGACTGCGAATTTTTTATTTTACTCTAATGCGTCAGCAGGTAAAACCATAGTCTATGAAAGGTGTAAATTTAGACACCATAACAGTTCACTGGAGAGCTAATAAAAAAAGCTTGGGTGAACACTGAAACTTTTAATGAATGATTTCTCATTTTGTTCCAGAAGTTCGGCACTATATGAATGATAAAGACCTCGAATTTAAGGTTCTGTTGATTATAGACAACGCACCTTGTCATCTATATATAGAGCACCAAATGTTGAATTTGTTTCCTTCCGCCAAATGAAAAAAACCACTGGACAAAGGAATTATTGAAACCTTTAAGACCTATTATGAATGAATGATCAAAATTTAACAATTATTGATACATGGAAGAAATTTTCTATAAATGATTGTATCAAACATGCTGGATTAGTCATCTGAATTAAAACCGTCAACTTTGAAAGCACCAAAGTTGTTGGAGACCCCTTTGGCCAGAATGTATAAAAAATAAAAATCATGTGCCTTCTAATATGGTTCAATATTTTAACATAATAGCGTTAGGACATGAAATAGGCGAAGAAGGATTCAATGATATGTTTGCAGATATTGATAAATTACTAATCGATAAAGCAATCATTAGTTTGTTTTTGAGATTGATGTCAAAGAATTCAGTAAAAATGACGACGAGATTCGCTCCATTAACGCAGATGTAATCAAACAAAAAACAAAAATTCCAGTTCCTATTGAGAAAAGATCTATTAAATTTCAATGTGACAAGAAATATTAATGGACGGTTATTGGGAATTATATAACAGCCCAATAAAATCTGGAACACAAGGATTGATAAGAGAATTTGTAACTAGAACCACTAAAGCAATAGCACTTGAGAACAAAAGCGCATCAAAAAGTTATAGTTATTAAAAACTCATTTTTGTATGTGTCTGTTCCAATAAAGAATGATTTTTTGATTATTTTTATTTGTTCATTATCTGAACTTATGAATTATTTTTAAACAAAGTTTTAAATAAAAGCAAATTAAGAAAGACGAATTTTCCCACTTTAATCACAATGTTTTAGAACATGTTGCTTCTTTAGATCTTGGAACCTATCCCCTATTTATATATATTTATCCCCCATATCTGTCACATAAAAACAGAATTGAATGTATACTGGAGAAGTCAAAAAGTAAAACTAAACCAAGTAAAAAGTCTGAACAACTATATGTAAGACATCAGAAATAATTTAAAAACTCTAAAATAATGTGTGGTGTACCCTACATGAGCACACAATTAAAACAAATCCAGGATGACATCCACCTTGCTGATAGGTTAGTTGGAATTAATCAGTGAGTCATACATTATACACAGAATAAGGTTAATTTGTAATTTATGGTAACTAATGTATTAAAATGAAATTTTTTAATGGAAATTTCCTTTCACACAGCATCTTCAGTACACCCTGTACTGTTTTTTAAACTATATTACTCATTTGAATTTAAATTTTTATGGTTTGAAATTTTTCCTATAATACGACAAGCAGCAACTCGTTGAATAACTGGTTGTGATAACTGAGATTTTGTACTAATCAATGGTATTATCTAAAAAAAATAATTAATAATCATCCAAACATTGAATAAAATAAAAAAATAGTCGACTTACATCACGTTTTATTGTTTCAATACCTAAATAAGGGGTAACAGCAAGTAAAGTATCCATCCAAGCAGATGAAACAAGAGGATCTTTCGAATCCACACCTTGTATAACAGCACTAAGCAAATTGATGGGTACTTTTCTTTCAATAAGAACACGAAATATTTGGCTTGTGGTTATTTGAAATTCAGCGGAAGCTTTTGGTAATTCCTGTTGTATTTTAGGTACGATTCTGGTGAATGTTGCCTGTTGATCGATCTTAACCAGTTGTGGCAATGTTTGAATTATGCTCAATTTTTGTATATCATCGCCTTTTCTGTAAACAAATATTTAAATGATAAGCAATTCAATGCGGTGTTAAAATCTATTCATTTTAATAAAATACATACAGAAACATGTTTTGAATGATGGTGTATTTCTCATCAACACCAGAAACCGAAACCGTTTCAAGTTCCATTTTCGTCAACTATTTCCGAATTGTTTATGTTTTATTCCGAACCGATTGCATTGCTTTGTTGCGCTTAAATAAATTTTGAAGATCGAAAACTGATAATTTTTAATTAAAATTTAAGATGTAATTAAACCGACTACATGTTTGTTGCTTGTAAAGATTCTTAAGTTTTTTGGTTACTGTTAATTGTTTAGATTATTTTGACAGTTGACAGGTTCAATCATTTTAAAAACATGGATGTGGTCGTTTATTTTGTAATTTAAAATACTTTTATATATTTTTATAATTTCTTTGGATTATTAAAACATTGATTAGTCATTTAATTTTATTACATTTTTATATGAAAATTTACTTTTAATAGAAAATTGACAAAATTCGCCATCTATTGTTGGAAAGTTAAATTAAAGTAAGCGGTAATTCCCTAAATTTTGAAATTAGTTATTTTTTCGATTCGATTATATGATTTAGTAAATATACCTAATTTAATTAAAAATAGAAAGTTAAAATTAAAATCGTTTATGGTTGACCTTTAAAATAATTGAATATTTGTTTACAAAGTTGTTAAATCTTGTTAAAACCTTTTTAATCTGTTTGTTTACCGTTATTTTTTGATATAATCGCATCAATTTGTAAAATAACTTACGTAAGAATAAATAGTGCTCTCTCAACCGGTTTATTTTCAAAGTTCGAATCCAACGTGTGCCTTTTCAATTGTTCGTTACTCTAAAACACTGTCATTTGTATTCAAAAAGTCAACGTAAACGATTCGAAACGGATTTAGAAACCTTTCCGGACATTGGTTTATCCAAAACAAGATTCGGATCCTCCTCCATTTTCTCCTATCGTTATTAACACGACTGGTTCAACTTGATACAATAATTTTGCTCGTTTTTTTCGTCTTCTTGACGCTGGTATGAACTTCTTTGTCAAAATTGACAATCTTTTTTTTCTCATTTTAATATGGTCACGGTAAATTGTATGGATTATTAAAGAAAAATTATTAATAGAACACAATTTATTGATTCATAATTATAAATTTTTATATTCTCGTTATAATATCAGCTAATTTTTCACCTATCATAAAAGCTGGAATGTTTGTATGAGCTGTTATTGGTTCAGGAATGATGCTTGTATCAGCAACTCTTAAATTTTCTGTTCCGTAAACCGTTAAAGTATCATCAACAACCGCTTCCGGATCTGTAGCATTTCCCATTTTGCAAGTAGCCACTTGATGATGCAAAGTTACCGATAAATGTCGCAAAGCACATTCCCAATATTCATCAGAATTAAAAACAAAGTATTCACACCCTGGAACTTTTCTACTTACAATTGTTGAGTTGTATTTTTGGAATGCCGGCATCGATACAATTTCTAAAACAAAAACAATAACAAAAAAATCGAAAAGAAAAAACAACGAGTACCTTGAGCTAATCTTATTCCAGTTATTAAAGTTTTAACATCAAAATTGTCCTTATCAGTGAAATAGTTCCCATAAAATTTTGGTCTTGCGAAAGGATTTCTCGATTTCAACTCGATTTTTCCATAAGATTTTGGATGATACAACATCGGTATGATGGTAAAAGCTTGTTTACCTTCAAGCGGCTTATAATATGCATCGTAAACTTCATCAGAAATTCTAAATGATTTTCGAAAAACATCCCCTCTATCTGAAGCAAGATTTCCGCCTAGAAAAATAAGTTCTATATCCGGAAAATTTGGATCGGGATCATCGGAAAGTCTCGTTTTAACTATTCCTAAAGCTTCCACTCCACCAATACCCGATAATGGACCATCTCCCCAAATAATATATCGTAAAATTGTATTACTCTCGAACCACTCATCATAATTTATGGTCAAATCAGACCCATCCATTGTAAACATGAGTCCAAGAAATGCTAAATGATCGTAAAGTTTTCTACCAACAGGAAGATCTTTAAGTACTGGAATTTCTAATTCATCTAAATGATTTTTTGGTCCAATTCCGGATAACATTAAAATTTGAGGAGTATTTAAAGCTCCCGCGCTTAAAATTACTTCTTTGGTTGCTCTTGCTATGTATTTTTGACCGTTTTTATAAAATTCAACACCATGAGCTTTTAACTTAAAATAAGAAAAAAAATTAATATGAGACACCAAAAATTTACAAGTTATGTAGATATGTTCTAATACTAGAAGGTTATTAGTTTTGCTGTTACAAAAAGTGGGGAATCAAGATGTAAGTGTTGAAAAAGTTACGAAACCTTCCACATCAAAATGTAGAAGCAATGGCAGAAAGAACAATATTTTTTTCCTGTAAATAAAATTTAAATGATTCTTGGGTTGATTGGGATTTTGTACAACTTAGTGGTGGATACTTTCGACTTCAGGACTTTTTTTGAGTTTAATATACATATTTCTGTATGATGGTCTTTGGTTGATCCTTTTTGTATTTCCACAAGTTCTACTAGCTCCTAAGATTTGATACTTTTTTCGTTGTTGTGCTCTCTCTACAGCTTGTTTTTCGTCTACTAGTGGTGAGTGATGGAGACATAATAACAAATCAGACTGCATGCAACTTCTGATATAATAATTGTTTGTAGTTTTGATTTCAATGCTTTACAACATTGTTTTACTTTGACTCACTTCTATAAATATGCTATGTGTTGACTGACCCATTGATAATGAAAATCAGTTTGTAACAGACAGATTCACCCAAAAATTTAGTTATTGGTGTAGATTAAAAGTGAAGAGACACCAGAAATTCTCGCTTATCTTCAAACAAAGGGCGTGGAGGTGCCAGAAACAGCTTAAAGTTAAATTATGTGCCAAAGCGAAGAAATTCATGGTAACTCAAGTGAATGAACCATGTATAGGGTGGATAAACTTTTGACATGGACTGTGTATAATCACAACTTACTTTATCATTCTGCTCTTTCTGTTCATAAAAAACTACTTTTTCAGCTCTAGCTTCCGAAATAATTCTTAAATTACTTCTTCTTCTGGCGACATCTAAAAAAGCTCTCGTAGCACTTTCTCGTTTACCTCTTCTTGTAGTGGCTTGAATCCAAGATACCCCTATTTGACTTTCTCCGTTATAATCGACGTATTTATACCCGTATTCTTGCATAGCTTCAACAAAAGCTTCAGCAGATTTCGTTCGATAAGCAACATCTTGAACACCAAGTTCACCTCCGATATTTCTAAATTCTTTATCTTGCCTTTCAACGGAACAATCTTCGGATTTTTTGAACAGTGGGAGTACCTCTGTATACGACCAGCCTTTATTACCATTTTTAGCCCATCTATCAAAATCTAAACGATTTCCTCTTATATGAATCATGTAATTAATGACTGTTGATCCTCCGATTACTTTTCCTCTGGGCCAATGCATTCGTTTATCTTGTAATCCTAAAATATTTTTATTACTTTAAAATTAAGTCAAAAAATTTGATTATGTTAAATTTACCTAAACACATATTTTCTTGTTCTTCCATTAAATAACCCCAATTATAATCGGTGAATTGAAAGGTAGCGCAAATAGCTGGTATATCAACTAATTTAATTGGTTCAATTCCAGCTTCTAAAACTAGAATGTTCAAATTTGGGTTTTCCGATAAACGAGATGCTACAACAGAACCAGCTGCTCCAGATCCAACGATTACATAATCGAAAAAAGTGTGGTAATAATTAAAATTTAACGAAAAATTTGCATTAAAAGTTATTTGGGAATTAGTTTTACATAAAGTTATTATTAATATGACAATTTTGATGTTCTAAAAATAATAAAAATTGGTTAAATTGCATAAAAATAAAGATTTAACTTACAAGAGTAATCATGATTTTTAACGATTTTCTCACTGGCGGGTGACAAACTATGAAAAATTGGTGTCTGATTGGAGTTTTAATATAAAACCGAGGTCAAAATGAAATAATTTATTTAACGATTATCACACTACATTGTAATTAGCAAGAAAAAACAACAATTTGAAAAACCCAATTTCTTAGTTTGATTAATTCTTTGAATTTAGTTCTAATTTAATAAATTTTTTTGATGATTTCAGCTAATTTTTCTCCGATCATAAAAGTTGGGACACTCGTATGTGCGGTTATTGGTTCCGGAATAATACTTGCATCAGCAACCCTTAAATTTTCCGTTCCATAAACTTTTAAAGTATCATCGACGACCGCCTCAGGATCCGTATTATTTCCCATTTTACAAGTTGCAACTTGATGATGTAACGTAACCGATAAATGTCTCAAAGCACATTCCCAATATTCGTCGGTATTAAAAACATGCATTTCACATCCTGGAATTTTTGTATCCACAAGGGTTGCATTGTATTTTTGAAAAGCAGGCATTTTAACGATATCTTAAAATAAATTTTTAATAAAAATTGAAAATAAAATCATTAAAATTTTACCTTGAACTAATCTTATACTTGCAATAAACGTTTTGACATCAAAATTATTTTTATCGGTGAAATAATTTCCGTAACATTTCGGCCTTGCGAAAGGATTTTTCGATTCTAATTCGATTTTTCCATAAGATTTCGGATGATATAACATCGGCATTATACTAAACACTTGTTTTCCTTCTAAAGGGCCCCAAACTGTATTGTAAACCTCATCAGTAACACGCAAAGTTTTCCTATAAATGTCCCCCTTATCCGAATGTAAACTGCCACCCAAAAAAATAAGTTCTATATCCGGATAAGTCGGATTACAATCATCCGAAACATTTGTTTTAACTATTCCTAAAGCTTCAACTCCACCCAAGGTTGTTAAAGGTCCTTCACCATTTAATAGATATTCCACCATTGATCTTGGATCGTACAAATCATCGTAATTTAGCGTTACGTCTGTTCCATTCACCCTAAATGGTAATCCTAAGAATGTTAAATGATCGTAGAGTTTTCTACCAACAGGAAGATCTTTAAGTACTGAAATTCCTAAAGAATTTAAATGATCTTTTGGACCAATTCCCGATAACATTAAGATTTGTGGAGAATTCAAAGTTCCTGCGCTTATGATTATTTCCTTATTTGCTTTGGCGTAAAATTTGATTCCGCTTTTAATAAATTCGACACCTTGAGCTTTCAACTAAAATTAATTTTTTTTACAAATTATAAAAAAAAAAATCTATAATTAAAATAAATACTTTGCCATTTCCTCCATCTACAAAAACAATTTTATTAACTCTTGCCGATGTAATAACCGTTAAATTTGGTCTATATTTAGCCTTATCTAAAAACGTTTTTTTTGCATTTTCTCGTTTTCCTCTCCTAGTGGTAGCTTGAACCCAAGAAACCCCCATTTGAGTCGCCCCGTTATAATCAACATATTTATAACCGTATTCTTGCATCGCCTCCACGAAAGCTTCAGCCGATTTTGTTCTAAAAGCGACATCTTCTACCCCAATTTCACCGCCTTTATTTCTATATTCTTGATCTTGTACTCTCACAAATGAGTCTTCGGATTTTTTAAATAACGGAAGCAATTCTTCGTAAGACCAACCTTCATTGCCATTTTCAGACCATCGATCGAAATCTAAATGATTCCCTCTTATGTGCATCATGTAATTAATTATTGTGCTTCCACCGAGTGCTTTTCCTCTGGGCCAATGCATTCGTTTATCTTGCAATCCTAAAATTAGTTGATTTTAATCGAAAAATTAATTAAATTTTTTTTTATTAATTTACCTAAACACATATTTTCTTGTTCTTCCATTAAATAACCCCAGTTATAATCGGTGAATTGAAAAGTAGCGCATAAAGCTGGAATATCAGTTAAGTCTGTAGGTTCTGTACCTGCCTCTAATAATAAAACTTTCCATTTTGGATTTTCTGATAATCGAGATGCTATAACAGATCCGGCAGAACCAGATCCAACGACGATAAAATCATAATTAATTGGTAAGAATCCTTTTATTTCGATTATTTTTAATAAGGAGATGATGGTTAAACTTTTTAGCAACTAAAATTTTACTTTTAAAATTACTTCTTTTTGTTTTTGAAAAGATAAGAACTTACCCAAAAACACATTGTGTGTTATTCTTTAAACGTGACTTTACCGGCCGTTGTTAATACTTTTATGCAGTTCTTATCAAGGTAATACTAATTTATCCATTTATAAACGCATCAACATATATTTAACATTTATATCTTTATCAACAAAAAAACACATACAATTATTATTTTATCAAGCTTTATTGGTGGTGTTACTACTTATTGTAAACACATTTTTTTCCGTAATTTGAAATCATAAAAATAATAAACAGAGACAATAAGAAAACAAGTACATTTTATGGCTCATTTTAATGTTTGTTTTCAAATCAATCCAATTTTAGGTCAAAGTTATCATAATCTTTTGATCTCCAATGCGGAATTTTTCTGTTCGAATGAAAGTAAGCAATTAAGGAATCTTATATTTATATAGTATATATATCCCAGAACAACTGGATTTAAAATGGGAAACACATTCTTCCATGCCATCTGACGATTCTGTCTCAGATTTTGCAATAAGATTCTGAGGACAACCTCAAATTTAATAATTAATACCAAGACGATCAATTATTTAGTAATATCCAAGGAACCGATAAGATGTAAGCACGAGATCGACTCTAACACTGTTGAACAGATGAATCGTTTCAAATATTTGGGGGCAGAAACAACGAGTCAGGCAAATCTGTTTAATGTAGTGAGATAGCAAACAATAAAAGCGAAATGTCTACAAGAGACTGTTTGGAAGAACAAATATCTTCACACTGACAGCAAAATCAAGACATATAAGATCTATCATAACCAGTGATGGGCGCTGGGTAAATACCCGGCGGGTAATTATTTCTAAAATGGGTATTTATCCGGGTATTTACCCCGGCCCAGGGTAAATACCGAAACAGTGTGTATAAAAATGTGGTGATGAAATGGACGTTGAAGACGAGGAATTGTCAACAATCAGAAACGTATTATTATCAGACGAATCTGTCGTAATTTAGACTAGATCATGTTATTATAATAATTATTATCATCAAGCAGCCCTCTGCGTCCATTGTTGGACATAGACATAGACGATTCTATTCTGTGCTGTCTGAATCCAATTGTTGGTCATTCTTTTGACGTCTACTTCGTCTGTTCGCTCGCTCTTCACTCAAGCAACCGTTTTGTCCACTACTCATTCTTCATTCGCGCGACATGACCCGCCCAGTTCCACTTAAGCTTTGCCACAATGTTGACCACATCATTTACGCCAGTACTTCTTCATAGGTCTTCATTTCGTATGTAGTCTCTCAGAGTTACACTCAGGATCGGTAGTGGCTACCGTTAATGTTAATGTTTCGGAGCCGTATGTAACCGGAAACACGCATTGATTGAAAGCCTTTCTTGGCCTTTTCTCTTGAAGCTGCCCATACGAGTGTAATCCTTCTGTTTAGTTCGCTTGTTTGATTATCTCTCGTCACACGAACCTCATAGTCAAGATATACAGAGCTGTCAATCCTCTCCATCTCATTATCCCCAATGTTGATGTTACAGCTGGGAACAAGATTTGTCATAAATTTTGATTTCTCCTCGTTGATATTATTATTAGTCACCCGACTCTTGCACACACCTCTTTTAAGTCGTTCAGCATTAGTTTAATCTCTCCAAGGCTATCCAAAATCGCGTAGCGCAAATTACTTAAGCATTTGCCGTCAATGTTCATGCCTTTTTGGCTCCAATCCAGTTGTGTAAATGCACTCTCCACGACTGTGATGAACAATTTGGGTTCAACAGTGTGTCGCCTTCTTTTGCTCACAATCAGTACTTTACTACTTCTAATCTCTTCAGTACTTTCATGAAATTTTACCGTCATTGTAGCATTCTTGTAGATGTTATAAATAAGTTTGGTATATCGATAATCAACTCTGCATTCTTGAAGTGCTTGCAAAACTGCCATCAACTCAATTTAAATCAGATTTTATAAATACCTCTAAATACCCATCTTGGGTAAATACCCCCGGGTATATATCCAGGAAATTTACTCTTGAAAATAAATACCCGGGTATTTAACAACACTGATCATAACGTATGCGGCAGAGACAAGACCAGATACAAGTAGGACTCTACAAATGATATCAGTCGAGATGTAGGAAGTAGGAACAGTAGGAAGTATATATTTTTTAGTTTTATCGAAGATTAACATTAAAAATAAATTTTATTTTAAATTTTCATTTATTTTTGTTATCGAGATTATCTTTATATTTAGTTTTATGAATAGGAGCTTTGATATTTTATCTTAATGCAATGTATTGAAGTCACTTGCCTTGCAAAAAGAAAAAAATTAAAAATAATTTAAATTTCCATTTATTTTTATTATTGAGGTTACCATATTTTATTCGTGCATACTTAGCGACTTATTTTCACTTTTTACAATCTTTCAAGTCATAAATTTACATTGAGGACCCAGTAAACAAGAAACCTCTCTGAAACATTTCAATTTTAACGTACAGTGAATTAAATGAAACATCTTAGAAATACGTTTCATATACGTGACAGATACGATTTTTACGAAACGTATCTAAAGATATGTATCAAATACATTTCAGTAGAAATATTTATGAAATATCATTAAAATATGTAGCAGAAACATTTCATTTGAAACATTTCGCTACAAATGTGTCTGAAACATGTCTGGAATATCTTCAGCACCGCCTGTGAACGTATGTACAAACATTAATTAATGTTTGTAAACAGGACTAACCTAAGGTAACATTCCTTCACGGTTTAATTGACAGTTCAAAAGAAAACTTCACGCTATGATTGGCATTACTAATTACTAAAGAAAACTTCACGCTATAATTAATGTTTGTAAACAGAACTAACCTTACCTAACATTCCTTCACGGTTTAATTGGCATTTCAAAAGAAAACTTCACGCTATAATTGGCATTACTAATTACTAAAGAAAACTTCATGCTATAATTAATGTTTGTAAACGGAACTAACCTTAAGTAACATTCCTTCGCCGTTTAATTGGCATTTCAAAAGAAAACTTCACGCTATGATTGGCATTACTAATTACTAAAGAAAACTTCACGCTATAATTAAATGTTTGTAAACAGAACTAACCTTACGTAACATTCCTTGAGGTGTTCAAGGAGACTGCATCACCCCATCGAACATCGAACAGCTCCTCTGGGATATATCGTTGACCTGATAGAAATATACACAGTAAACATTTATCCAAACAAGAAATTGCAAAGGCTATCAGCGAAATGAAGAACGGAAGAGCACCATGTATTGACGGGATACCAGTTGAAATTTTGAAGGCGGGTGAAGAAGCTTCTGTTAAGTTGCTATACCTACCCCTTAATCCAGGATATCTGGAATACCGAGGCATTCTCTGCAAAATGGCTTGAAGGAGTGCAGCAATATTGAAGAGCAATAAACTTGCAAAGAGTTCTTAGTAAGATTTTCATCAGGGTGAGTCTGAATAGATTCATGGATTGATGGAGCCTTATGAGCAATGCAGGTTTTTTTTCTTTTGGGCTTTATGTCTAACTTAATTGTAAGTGTTATTCCTAGATTATTCTTTGTATATTAAGTTGATAAATCTTAGGAAGTTATTGAATGTCTTTTTAAACTCTTACAAACATTGAAATACTTAAATATTCTATGATTTAATAATAATGTTGGAATCATTTGAAATTTATGAAAATATTTAAGAATAATATCATCTATTATAGAAATAACTTTAAATTTATTAAAATAATGTTTTAAAATTTTAATATTTCCAAATATATAAAGTAGCGCCATCTATTATTATTAGAACCAAAAATAAGCTAAATACTTCTTTATCAACACATTTAAAACGTTAATTTTGAAGGGTGCTGTAACATAACCTCAATTCAAAACCAACTAAATGTTATTGTAAACAAATTCTAAAGTCGTATAAAAATGATTCAAGTATTATTAAATGTTATATTTTGGGCGAAACAGTTAATTTATTATATCCTATTGTTAAGCTACGGGACAGGAAAAGGAATTTTTTATGGGCTTGTGTATATATGTGAAGTTTGTGGACAAACCTTAAATGTTCTAAAAACTTTATTAATTGTAATGTTAGAAGACTTTCACCTGTTTCTTAACGATGTTACATCGAGTGGAAAGAGTATAATTTCTGGATTGATTACGACTGTGGATTTATTGATAAATTCAATTATTTTAAGTTTAGAAAGTGTTGCAACGATGCTATCTGGTGTGTACGGATGTTTTGGAGGAATTGTGACTTTAACAGAGAAGTTGTTTGTTAATTTAGGAACGATATGTTTGAAATTTAAAGAACTGCTTATATTGTTTGGTTCAGGAGTTTGGTTTATTTTAGAATATATCCCTTATTTTTTAAACAATATGTTGGTACTTCCTGTTGTATTGATTGATTTAATTATTCAGAATATTATCAAATTTACCACATATAGTATATTTAAAGCTAGGTCAACAATAAAAGCAATAATTTTATTTATTTTTGATGTTCCATTAGAAGCTTTCGGTGGGTTATTGTTTATAATATGCATCATATACCTTGTAATGAAGTTTCATTTATTTTTAACCAGATTAATTGTTTCATATGTACGAAAAATGTTGACATTGTGCCTAAAAATCTTTAAAGTAAAACTAAAACGGAACATAAATGAATCACATCACTCTGAATCTTCTGATCATTACTGTGTAATTTGTCAGGATAGAAAGAAATGTGTACTAATTTTACCTTGTAAACATTTGTGCCTTTGTAATGAGTGCTCAAAAACTATAAATTTTTATAATAGAAGGTGTCCTATTTGTAGAGCTTATGCAGAACGTACTATGAGAGTTTATACATAGATAAAGAAATTAAATTGTTATTAATATGTAAGGAGGCTAAAATTTCATGTATAATTTAAATAAAATTGTAAATAAATTTGTAATTTTGTAACTCATTGTTTACTTTATTAAATTTTTATTATTGAATATCTTTAAACATGGTATTGAGGTTTTAATAATATTTTAGTGTAAAATCAATCAATAAGTGATCTATACGAAGTTAACTCCCAATTAGATAGGATTTTGATTATAACAAGAGAACCTCTGAACCGATTTTGACGAAAAATAAAAAATATTGTCAAAGTACACGAAAGTAATATTTTTTAGATGGTCATAACTCATAAACGATGTATTCGATTATTAAGACTTATACATCATTCCATTCGCCATAGTTTCTTCCATTAGTTTCTCAATTTTTTCCCATTTTAATTCAACAATTGGAAATACCTCTATCCCAGCTGTAATGCAACGCTTCAAAGAACATACTATTCACGATAAGCTACGAATCAATCATACGTTTGATCATAAACAGTATGATTATATATATGATAACCAGTAGGGAAGTTCATCCCAGTCAGATTCTGGATATAAGAATACTACGCGACAACAGAGCACAGCTTAGTTCTATGGCAATATCGATTTAAGCCCAATTTCCAAAAGAAAAAAACACCAATCATGATGCTATATCAGAACAAACTAAGGGAAAAACTACTTCTAAACCCAATTACAGAAAACGATAACCCAAACGCGAAAAAGAACAATAAGCTTTGATTCACAGAAGAGGTAAAGACAAACCAAAAGAGGGAGACCTACTTAGAACTAAAACACGCAGAAAGTATGGACGAATATGAAAAATACAAAATGACGTAACTAAAGAAATACTAAAGTATGAAGGGCTGTATCTGGAATAGCCCTTGACCACATCAATCTGCAGAATCCTGTCAACCACACGTATTCAAGAAGGTACCTATAACAGCAGGAATCGGACAAGGCGACAATATGAGTCCATTTCTATTCAATCTGATTATGGACAAAATAATCCAAAGCGTCAACCAAATTAAGGCCGGATACACCATGGGACAAAAATCCTTACAAAAGTCATGTTATGCAGAACGAGAACGACTTGCAGATTTTCACATTTTTGTATTGTGCTCGACAGTTACGAATCTCAGGGTAAAAGTGCAAGAGAGCAATATTGTTAAGAATAAAATTTGCTACAACTTTTGTTATAAAAGTTTTTTTGCAAAATACGCCGACTCTCTAGTGTTACCATTAATAACTTGAAAAAGCAACAAATTCATCAAATTTTCATATTTTTATATTTTTCTTGATATTTACGCATCTGAGAGGAAAAGTTCAAGAGAGCAATATTGATAAGAATAAAATTTGCAACTACTTCTGTTCTAAAATCGTTTTTTTGTAATATGCTCTAAGTCCCGGTTGTTACTATTAACAAACTTTAAAACTACGAATTCATCAAATTTTCACATTTTTGTATTTTTCTCGATATTTATGCATCTGAGAGCAAAACTGAAAGAGAGCGATATTGTTAAGAATAAAATTTGCAACAATTTTAGTTTTAAAAGTTTTTTTGCAATATACTCCGAATTTCAAGTGTTACCATTATCAACTTGCAAAACTAATTCATCAATATTTCACATTTTTGTATTTTGCTCGATAGTTACGAAGCTCAGAGCAAAAGTGCAAGAGAGCAATAATGTTAAGAATAAAATTTGCTACAACTTTTGTTATAAAAGTTTTTTTGTAAAATACGCCGACTCTCTAGTGTTACCATTAATAGCTTGAAAAAGGAACAAATTCATCAAATTTTCATATTTTTGTATTTTTCTCGATATTTACGCATCTGAGAACAATAGTGAAAGAGAGCAGTATTGTTAAGAATAAAATTTGCAACAACTTTAGTTTTAAAAGTTTTTTTACAATATGCTCCGAATCTATTGATATCTATCACTAGCAATAGATTTTTTGTAAGAGCGTCGTTTGAGTCATGTCGTATTTTAAAATAAATAATTCGTTACAACAAAAAGCAGCAAATTGTTATTCGTTACGAAGAAGTAATAACTAGCGCTATAACATACGTTATATTATTCAACACTGAAGTTTTTAGGTCCAGAGTCTATCAGGTACAAATTGGCAGTGAATAATCGCCCCATTAGACAGAGCCTACACTGTGAGTACTTGGGGTTGACATCTCTAGAATGCAGAAATTGCACCAAGAAGTTATAGGAACAATCAATAAAGGCTAGAGAATATCTGGATATCTAAGAGACATCGTATGGAGAAAGAAATACACGTTTAAGAATGGCAGTGAGTTCGGTACTGAGTTATGCATCAGAAGCTAGGGCAAATACCTCAAAAACCAAGAGCATGCTAGGAGCCACCGAAATGAACGCAAAGGACGATTACTGGAGTAACCTTGGGAGATCAAATAAGAAGCTCAGCAATACGGGAGGAACTTGATATGGTGAAATTTGAAAAAGTAAGTAATCAAACACATCAATTATCTCCTTTATTACTGGACCAATTTTAGTCATCAAGATCTTGATGGAAAATATAATCCACAATGAATGGGAAGTCAGAAAGAATATGACGTCCGAAAGTGATGAAGACTTATCTTATGAAGTACTTACCTTTAGACACCTTACAAGTGTCTGAAGCAGCAAAAACTACAATTTTTGGAGTTATTCCCAGCAAATCAGCAAGGGAATATAGGTTTGATTATAAAGAATTTAAGGATTGGTGCACCTCTAAGAAATTGAATACTGGGTTCGAAGGTAACGTGTAGCGAAGTACATTATGGTCTGTGTATTTCAACAATAAATCTGAATAAGTTAAATAGGATTAATGTTCTTGCGGAAGCATTGAACTATTGAATTCTTCTGCTACCTTATTAGCAGATTCAGGAGTTGATCCTATCTGATCGAAATTCTCAATCATCTGCAATAATAAGCCAGTGTCAATAAACAGTTCTAGTTAGAGAACACTAATCATCGTTGAGTGGAGGCTTATTCAACAAATTATGAATTTGTATTTGAGGATCTCTGAGGATGCCATTATAGGCGAAACTAGTCAGACTTACAAATTTTTTCGATAATAAAACCAGTTAAAATGTTACAAATACGTTTATTTAAACTTAAATATTATCGTTTCTTCATGTGTGAAGGAGTTGCTTCAAAAAGTATTCATTTTCTTCCTATTACGTTTTTATTATAATTTTGTAGAACTCAACGGTTCACCATGAGACCGGTTCGAATGAGCTTTTAATATTGATTTCGTGGTAAATCGTTTATTACATATTACGCAAACAAAACGTCTTTCACCAGTATGTACTCGATTATGAGTACTTAATGCTGGTCTATGAGAAAATGCTTTGCCGCAGATATCACAAACGTATGGTTTTTCCTTGGTATGAATTCTTATATGAATTTTTAATAAGCGGGTTTTATTAAACATTTTCCCACATACTTTACACTTAAATGGTTTTTCGCCCGTGTGAATCATCATGTGATCTCTTAAGCTTGATTTTGTTGCCACAGTTTTACCACACACTTCACAAGCGACTGATGTTCCGTTAGGATTACTGTGGGATGCCACGTGACGTAAAAAATAGTGTTTGGACGTCATACTTTTGTCACACACTGTACATTTAAAAATGTTCGGAACATAATCTTCTTTATGTGTAACAGCATGTTTCTTCAAATAGTTTTTATCTGTAAACGATTTTCCGCATTCCTTACATTGATACCTAATACCTTTATGCTCAACTGATACATGATGATCCAAGCTACTCTTAAGATTATATTTTCTATCGCACTCTGTGCAGCCATACTTGAATTGGGTTACATGTAGGATACACACGTGATGTTTAAATCCTATTTGAGTCACAAATGTTTTATCGCAAATCGTACACGCAAAAGTAGTCCTAGATGGATCGTGCGCTCTGTTTACGTGGTACATTTTTTCTGTATTACTTTTAAACTTCTTTTGACATATCTCGCAAGGTATCAATCTTGATCCTGTACACTTCCGAAAATGTTTCGAAAATGATGATTTTGTATCAAATGTACTTTTACATTTAATACAACTTATTGTTCCAATACATTCCATTTCTTCTTTGCATGTTTGACCCTCTATAGATGATGAATACCTATAACTGTAATGAAAAGCAAATTAACTATTTTAAATAAATAATTGAATAAATTAATTTACTGTTTTTGTTTTAACGATTCATAACTAGTCAGATTTAAAAAAAATTTCGATAATAAAACCAGTTAAAGTACTACTAATTCGTTTATTTAAACTTAAACATTTTCGTTTCTTCATGTGTGAAAGAGTTGCTTCAAAAAGTATTCATTTTCTTCCTATTAGGTTTTTTTTATAATTTTGTAGAACTCAACGGTTCACCATGAGACTTCGAATGAGTTTTTAATATTGATTTCGTGTAAAATCGTTTATTACATATTACGCAAACAAAAGGTTTTTCGCCAGAATGTAGTCGATTGTGAATAACTAACGTTGATCTTTGAGAAAATGCTTTGCCGCAGATATCACAAACGTGTGGCTTTTCCTTGGTATGAATTCTTATGTGAATTTTTAATAAGCGGGCTTTATTAAACATTTTCCCACATACTTTACACTCAAATGGTTTTTCGCCCGTGTGAATCATCATGTGATCTCTTAAGCTTGATTTTGATGTCACAGTTTTACCGCACACTTCACAAACGACTGATGTTACGTTAGGATTACTGTGGCATGCCACGTGACGTAAAAAATAGTGTTTGGACGTCATTTTTTTGTCACATACTGTACATGTAAATCTTTTCGGAACATAATCTTCTTTGTGTGTAAAAGAATGTTCCTTCATATACCTTTTATCTGTAAACGATTTTCCGCATTCCTTACATTGATACCTAATACCTTTATGCTCAACTGCTACATGATGATCCAAGCTAGTCTTAAGATTATATTTTTTATCGCACTCTGTGCAGCCATACTTGAATTGGTTTACATGTGTACCCTCGTGACGTTTAACTCCTATTTGAGTCATAAATGTTTTATCGCAAATCGTACATGCAAAAGTAATCCGAGATGGATCGTGCGCTCTCTTTACATGGTACATTTTTTCTGTATTACTTTCAAACTTCTTTTGACATATCTCGCAAGGTATCAGTCTTGATCCTGTACATTTCGGAAAATGTTTCGAAAATGATGATTTTGTATCAAACGTATTTTTACATTTAATACAACTCATTGTTTCAATACATCCGATTCCTTCTTGGCATGTTTGATCCTCTTTAGATGATGAAGACCTATAATTGTAATGAAAAGCAAATTAAGTATTTTAAAGAAATAATTGCATAATAGTATATTAAAAAACTAGTTTCGTAAGACACGTTTGAAATCCACGAATTTAAGTTTAAGTTTTAATGAACGAGTGCTTTAAATCTTATAAAACGTGCTTTTATGCTATTTTTTGTAATTCGCGTTTTTATCCTTTTTTTTTTAACAAAAATAAAATAAATTTTGACAATGTAGGGAAATAGGTATGTAGCAGTTGGTAACACCGTAACACATGAAAATAGAAATTTGAATTCAAAACACAAAATGTATTCACCTGAAAAAAATGTTTCATGTGCACCTCTCGAAATAAGAGAAATTGCTCAGAGTTCTATTAAAACACTACTTCCAGAGAAAAATAATAATTAATTTTTTTTATTTATTAATATTAATTAATTACAATTCAAATTGTCACTTTGACAACTAGAAAAATTAATGACCCAATGTCACCAACTTGAATTGGTTCCATAAAATGTTACTAAAATCTCATTATAGTATTGGATGCTGTAAGGAGTCTCATTACAGCACTTACGGTATAGTTAGCAACATTAGCTATTTTTTTTGTTTTAATGATAACTAAGATATGAATATAGTTCATTTTTTTTCCATAATACCTGCCAAATTGTTGTAAAGTTGGCAAAATTAACAGAGTGTTTTGTTTTATCATGTTTTGAAATAAATATGTCACACTGACGTTTGAGCTTTCGTTATTCAAAAAGAAAAGGTGCATAAAAAATGTTGTGGGGTGCTTATTTGCCATTTATTTACCTAGAAAAGGTGTTTTGTTCTATTTAATTACTTTGTAGCACGTTTTTACAACAAATATGTACTTCGTTAAAATCGTATTTATCTAAAAATTTATTAGTATTTTAACCTCAACTATTTAGTTACTGAAAATGTTACTAAAAATCAGGAAAAGAACATAAATTTTATAAGAGTCCTAGATAATACCAACAGAAACCCTAAAAAATTTAAATTGACAAGTATTATAGAAAAAAAAACGAACTATACGTAATTACATAGCTTTAACAATTGTTAAGAATTTTACAAAAAATACGATTTCAACATTTTTATTTAGAAATATTTTATTATGTATTATACATACATACATAGAACTGAATACCATGAATTTTTGAATAAGAAATTTTTTTTAGTTATAAAGCTATTCTTTTTTAACATTAATGGATAGAAAATTAAAAATCCTTTAAAATGAACCCAAACTCGGCTTACTTATCTCCAACCGTTATCGAAATATCTTCATTTTTAGCAAAAAAAAAAAAATGGCGATTATTTGACATTTGACAGTTACTAACCTAAATTTTTTTATTTTTTAACCTAAATATATCATGTTTGGTTTCAAATGAAAGCATTTTTGATTCTTATTAATATCATTTAAATATTTATCAAAAAATCATTATATTTAATTTTGACATTTGACAGTTTCTAACCTAGGTTTTTTATTTTTTAACCCAAATATATCATGCTTGGTATCAAATGAAAGCATTTTTGATTCTTATTAAGATCATTTCAATATTTATCAAAAAATCATTATATTTAATTTTGACATTTGACAGTTTCTAACCTAACTTTTTATTTTTTAACCCAAATATATCATGTTTGGTATCAAATTATAGCATTTTTTATTCTTATTAAGATCATTTCAATATTTATCAAAAAAACGTTATATTTAATTTTGACATTTGACTTCTTGAAAGCTATAGAGGGATTAATAGAAATAATAAATGCAACCACTTTTTAATTTATGAAACGGTGGAATTAATCGGAAAATGCGTTAGAAATCTTGATGTCTAAATGAACTAATACTAGATCTAGAAATTTCGGGTTAAGCCGTGCTAGAGGTTAGAGAAAACGGCTGGGAATAGAGTTAATTGTTAAAGTTGAAAAATATTATTAAACATTATAAATTAATACGTCCATAGCTTATTCTTGGAAATATTTTATTAAATATTACACAATGCAGAACTTAATGAAACACCATGAGTTCTAGAATGCTTCTTTAGTATCGTTCTAGTGTAAAATCGTTTGTTACAAATAACACAGAGAAAAGGCTTATCACCAGAATGTTGTACTCACACTGAACATGAAAAGTGTTTCTGTACATAATCGTCGTTATGTGTTTTTTCAAGTAGTGTTCTGCTGTAAAAAGTTTTCCGCATTCTTTGCATTGATATTTAATACTTTTATGGACTACTGATATATGGTAAGTCAAGCCAAACTTTATTTATTTTCTCTATATTACTTTCAATTTTTATTAGTGTTAGGGTTGATCCTGTACCTTGGAGTGTTTTATTTTCCACTTTTGGCAAATACCTATAATTGTAATAAAAAAAATCGTTAAACTACATAATATATTTATTTTAAATAAGTACAAATTAACTCAAATATAAAAAATATAAATAATTATGATTATTAAATTCAAAAGGTATATCTAGAATGTTTTATTTAGTTTACAATGAAAATATCGTCATCGCTATCAATTATTTCGACAACATCTGAGGAATTAGAAATGAAATTATTATTTAATTGCTGACAAAGGCCGTTTGTAGTAATATCAAAAATATTTAAACATTTATGATTATTTTTGTCGGCACATTGACACAATCCACTCATCAAATTCGAATCAGCGTTAGAAATATAGTTTTGATGAAAAGTAGCACTAGTAAGAAGTGTCCTTAGAATACTATTTTTTTGTAAAGCTGGTTGATCGGATGGTTCCTCCACAAGGGAATTATTTTCAATTGAAATCGTGGTTTCATCAAATTCTTCTTCGAAATTAAAATGAATCTTTATGTCTTCCACCCAGTTTTGTTTATCATATATGATTTCTTTGTTTCCACGGTCAACGTCCATCAATGGTTCTACATTTTCCAAGGTCAACCTAAAATGATGCTATTAGTAACTATAATTTACGAGTAAATTTATTTTATAATAAGGCAAAGCAATAACAATGGAGTTTTTATTTATTTGGTGTTTTATTACATTTACTATTATTTTTTACAAGATATAGAGTAGGTACTAAACTAATTCATTGAGTTAATGATTTATTGAGTTAATAATTGAGCCTCCTAAAAATAAAAAAATTAAATCATATTTACCGTCCCAAATTTCGGAAACATCCTATGCTAGAAAACCCTTCAATGAAGTTCCTCTACAAATTAGAGTAAGGGATTCAGATCCGGCTAAGCCGCGAAGAAGATTTCTATCTAAAAACCAAAATGAAACTTCTTTAAATAATCCCAACCAACTAAATCCTATGATTTAGTCTCTACAACACTACGACTGGATTGCTAAAGAGGAAGAGCAAGCGTGGACATTTCTCAAGAGCGGATAACCCCACCCCTGGCGAAAACAATCGGCTTTACAGGAATCTTTATGATTAGTAAATAACCATAAAGAGCAAGTCTGATGTCTTTAAAATTTGAATATTTTGTTTCCTGTTTGCACTCTAAAAAAAGGTCTTGGAAAAGACTTGGACATATTGAGCTGGTAGCGTTTTATTTAGCTTATGGAGTAACCCTTTTCGTCATATCTTATCAATAGTCTCAGATACATGAAGAAAAATCGTTGAGGAGTATTGCTTGTATTTGATGTTTGGCCGACCATATCGTCAGATCTAATAACCCAGATTTGCAAACCTTGCAAGTTTTGTAAGCTGAGCTTGAAGAAGAAATCGCCAATTTGGAGCCAGATATTTAGCAAGTAACAATTCAAAATACTTATTTGTAATTAACTAAGTAAGGTTCATAACTTGGCATAAAGAAAAATTTAAATATTGAGGCTCTGGATGATTTTATAGAGAAGTGGCAGCTCAGTTTGTGGAGACATCTACAGATAAATCAGAATACTGAAGAGATGACCCCATTATGTTGGCAAGAAAGCTGTGAAGTGGAAAGATAGGAGACCGTAAGACTGGGGATACAGCAATAAACAAGATAATCACAAAAAAAGGAAAAACTATACAAGAAGCCAAAAATTTTGGTAAAAATAAGAAAATATTTAAACTTCGTACGTGGCCAAAGATCTTCAGACAACATTTAATGGTGTAATATTACTATAATATGAAATCAAATTTAAATCTACATAATAAAGAAAAAACAAATAATCATTTTAAAATTTTATTGATATCTTTAAAAACAACTTAACGGTATACCATGTATTTTAGAATGAGTTTTTAATAACGTTCTTGTATAAAATGTTTTCTGACAAACTAAACAAGTAAACGGTTTCTCGCCCGAATGATACCTTAAATGAACAGTTAAAGGCGTTCTTTGAGAAAATCCTTTACCACATATATTACAAATAAATGGTTTACTCTTTGTGTGCGTTCTCATATGACTTTTACAAATTGTTTGTTTATTAAACGATTTTCCACACACATCGCACTTAAATGGTTTTTCTCCTGTATGTAACATAACGTGTTGTTTTAAACTAGTTTTCGAAGCGACGGATTTACCACAAACTTCGCAAACGAAAAATTTTTTGCTAGGATCCCTATGTATTTGTATGTGCATGGCAAGAGAACTTTTTCTGTTATAAATTTTACCGCACTCCAAACAATGAAAGTTAGGTGGTACATAATCTTCTTTGTGTGTAACGCAATGTTTGCGAAAATAAGGTTCGCTAGCAAACGATTTTCCGCACTCTTCGCAAGTATATCTAACACCTTTGTGTTGTAAAGCGATGTGATGATTTAAACTTGATTTTATGTGAAATTTTTTACCGCATTCATCGCATTGAAATTTGTGTTTGTTGAGATGTTTGTTTTCATGACGTTCTAATGCTGATGTAGTTAAAAAGAACTCGTCGCAAATATCGCATGCATAAACGTTTCTATTTTCATTGTGTAATGCTTTCACATGGCGATTTCTTTCTTGAAACGTTTTAAATAATTTTTCGCATATATTACAGGGTATACTTTTAATTTTATTACATCTGTGTCGATGTTTCGTGTAGGCTCTTCGTGTAGAATAACTTTTATTACAACGGTTACAACTTGTATTTTTAACCACATCTTCTTTTTGTTTTAAATTTGTCCTACAAAACAAACTTATTAATTTTAATATTTAATTCAAATAAAAAATTAATATTTTGTATATTCAAGATAAATAATTTAAACACATTAAACTGTAAACAACAAAATTTATTTATTACAATTCTTTTAGTTTTTGACATAACTTATGGTATACCATTATGATTTTTCAATATATCACTAGAAATAAATTTGATACTACAAATTTGGCAAGCATAAGACTTTTCTTCTAAGAAAATATCTGGAACAACTCTGGCAAAATTCATAACTCATTCTTTAGTACACTGCTATTTTATTTTCATTGATACTCTGATATGATTCTAGCTGTAGATTATGAACTACACTGACCAGGGCCATCTTCGAAGAGAATTGGCCGACACCGAGTACAACGAAGAACAAGACTATGTGAATCCTGTTAGACACTTGACCCCATAAGACTGAGTCTATATTATTTTATAGATGAACTATAATCAATCCAAACCAGCCTGGTCGTAAGACTTAGTGCGGTCTACATGTTCGAAGTCGACCGAGGTTACTTTCACCATCCATCTCAAACGAAGAAGAATCGGTCTTACAGTGCAATATCTTCTCTATTATTTGTCTAATAATGTATTTAGTAAAACTATAAACAGCAAACAAATATCTGGAATGACACTACAAAGAAAATTAAAACTACACACAGTTTTGTACTGACTGCTTGTACTTGTTCATGTGTCATTTCGTCGGTATGACTCAAGATGCAAATTATGAACAATGCTAATTGGTAGATTAGATAAATGAACTTATTTTTAATTAGACGCTATAAAAACTGAAAGTAATTTTTTTGTAACTCTTTATCTTTGTCTTTTTTTAGTCATCCTTTTTTCTGTTCATCAGGTTATCTTTCTTACTATATTTCAATTTTCTGCACAGTCTCCTTTTTGTCTTTACGATCTCTTCCCAGTCTCTTTTTAGTCTGTCCAATCATGTTTCTGCGTTTTCAGGTCTTGTTCAGTCCTTATCTACTATTTTTAGTTTATTTCTTACCATTATAGGCTTACTCCGTTTTACCCAGTTCTTCTTTTTGCGTTTCAGTTATTTCTTTGACTTTATGGTCTCTTTCTAGTCTCTCTTCTTTCTCTCCAATTATCTTTTTTATCTACTATTTCGCCGTATTCTTCTCTCTTTAATTTTTTTTTAAGTCTTACTCATTTCTGACAAGTATTTTTCAATGATTATCAGTCATTTCAGCTGATGTTCAGTTTCTTTCTTGTGTTTATAATCTGTCTATTGTTTCTCTTCTTTCCACCTGATATCCTTTTTGTCTTTCCAGCTTCTATTCAGTCTTTTTATTCTTTTTTAGCGTCTTTACACTCGTCATCCTTCTTCATTAATCTTTTTCTTTTCATTTCCATCACTATTCAGTTATTGGCTTACCTTCACACCCTTATTTCAGTCTAACTCCTTCCTCTAGTCACCTGCTTGCATTTACAGTCTCTTTCCAGTATCCTTTTTTTCTACCGAATGTCCAAAATCCAAATTCTACCCAGTGATCAAATCTTCGTGTGTACCCAGCTTACGTTTAATCTTTTTTTATTCTTTTTTCAGTCTTGTTTCGCTTCTACTCAGTCTATTTATTGTTGTAAAGTCTCTGTTCGGCCATTTTTTGCCTTTACAGGCAAATTTTTAATTTTTTTAATTTGCCTTTACAATATCGTTGTTATCATTCCAGCTTCTATACTGCTTCTATTTTCAATCTCTGTTCAGTCTCTTTTTTTCCTTTACAGTTTCTTTCTTGTCTCCCTTATTTCTCCCCAATGATTTTTTTGCCTTTCCAGCTTATGTTCAGTCTTTGTCTTAACTTTTCAGTCGCTGTTTAGTTTCTGCTCAGTATCTTCCTTGCGTTTAAAGTCTCCAGTCAGTCTTCCTCTTTTATGGCTAGTCTTTTTCTTTTTTTTTTCAATTGCTATTCAGTCATTTTCTTACCTTTACACTCTTTTTCTATTCTTCCTTTACCCTATTTAGTTCCTTTCTTGTCTTTACAGAATATTTCTTGTCTCTGTTTAGACTTATTCTTCTAGCACCAGTCTCTTTTCAATCTTCCTCTTTTCTGTTTGGTCCCTATCTTACCCCATAAGTTCCTGTCAAGAACTAACCCAACTCAACCCAACTCAACTCAACGCAACCCAACAAAACGCAGTCAACCCAACCCAACCCTTCTTTCTGTCCACTCTTTATCTTTTCATTTCAGTATCTACTCTCTTTCTTATCTTTACTGCAACTTTCGAGATTTTTGTTCTGTCCAGTCATTTTTCTGTATTTAAAGCTTCTATCTCTAGAGCCTCTTTCTTGTATTTGTAGTCCCTACTCCTTTCTGCTCAGTCTTCTTCTTTCGTTTTCAATTATTTCCTTAACTTTACATTCTCTTTCCAGTCTTCCTCCTTTCTGGATCTTTCTTGCCTATACAGTCTCTATTTTGTCTCCCTTTATGTTCAATGTTTTTTTTTTAAATCTTGTTCAGTTATTTTCTTGCCTTTAACGACCCTTTCCATTCTTCCTCTTCGCTATCTAGTTCCTTTCTTGCTCTTACAGTGTCTTTTCACACTCCTTCTTGTCTGCCCAGCCCTCTTCTTTCTCAATTTTTTTCTTCTATAACCAGTCTCTTTCAAGTCTTCCTCTTTTTGGTGTGATTTTTTTGTCTTTAAAGTTTCTTTCAAGTCTTCCTCCAAATCAACTTTAGTACGCAATGGTACCAGCAGAATTCTGCGATAATGTTTGGACTTAGAGAGAAAACGAACCTTTCCTATTTGCGGATGTTTCTGCATAATTTCCACCTAAAATATATCAGAAGTGATTTACGTTTCAACATATCTTAAAGCAAATTTATAACATTACCTTGTGATTGAATGTTTACATCATTAAAGACCTTCGTTATATTTTAATAGTTGTTTACGAATATAGTCAGTATCTTATTTATCAGTTGACCTAGTATAAATTACACAACACAATTTATATTGAAAATATTTTATTGTTCACATCAATGTTACAATACTTTAAATATCACTTAAAGGTACACCATGACTTTTCGAATGAACTTTTAATGAAGAACTAGTATAAAATCTTCTATTACAAACTACACAAGGATAAGGTTTCTCTCCAGTATGTTGCCTGATATGAACAACTAAAGATGTTCTTTGTGTAAATGCCTTTTCACATATGTTGCAAACAAACGGTTTACTATTAGTATGGGTTCTCACGTGGATCTTTAATAAGTTCTTCGTTTTAAATGGTTTCTTGCACACTTCACACTTGAATGGTTTTTCACCAGTGTGAATCATTATATGATCGCGTAAGCTTGTCTTTGATGTCACAGCTTTACCGCATATTTCACATATGCTTAAACCTTTGCCGCAATGGACACGTTTAATATGTTGGTTTAAACTACTTTTCACCATAAACTTTTTTTCACATTCAGAACATGAAAAATATTGTTGCTCGTAATCATCGTTATGTTTGACAGAATGCTCTCTAAGATACCATTCAGTAGTGAATATTTTTCCACAATCTTTACAAGCATGTCTGACACCTTTATGTTTTGATAAAATATGATACTCAAACGAGCTCTTCACGACAAATTGCTCCCCACATTCATCACATGTAAAATCATATTGATTCAAATGACGTTTTTTATGGTGCGTAAGTGTTGGCTTATCTCGAAACGTTTGGTCGCAAATGTCGCACGGATATTTTTGGCAATTTTCTGCATCGTGGACCCTTTTTTTATGTTTGTTTCTTTCGGTAACAGTTTTAAATAGTTTTTGACATACATCACATGGTATCGTTCTACCTCTTTGACATCTTCTAAAATGTTTTAAAAAAGCTGCTTTTTTTAGGAACGTTTTCCCACAACGGATACAACTCTTTTTTTCTGTAACCTTTGTAATAAGTGGGTTAGCTGGACATCTGTATTTGTGGGTTTTAAATGATGATTGCGTTGTATACGATCTATTACAACTGGTACAAGTCCTTGGTTGAAATTTTTGATCTGGAGAGGACCTATAATTATAATAAATTGAGTTTAAACAAGGTCAATAATCAATTGATAGGAATCGGTACCAGTGATCCCATCTCAAATATATCAGAAGTTATTTATATGTATGTTCTGGTATATCTTAAAATATGTTCTAACGTTATTTGGTAATTGAAGGTTTACAATCAATTATACTAATCACACCAGTTTTTATAAACAAAATAATTTATAACAATTTTATTTGAACACCAACTTAATACTTAGTGGGATATAATAATAATAACATTTGTATATTCTTGATATTCTGGAAGCGATAAGTAGTGTTCTGCAAGCAAATCTACAATTCTATTAATAGTATCTTGCTTCCGCCAGTAGTATTTAGCCCTCTGGAAGCAATATGTAATCTTCGGGAAGCAGATCCAGAATTCTATTAACAGTATCTTGTTGCTGTCAGCAGTATTTAGCATTCTGGAAGCAATAAGTAGTTTTCTGCAAGCAGATCCAGAATTCTATTAACAGTATCCTGCTTCTGTCAGCAGTATTTAGCCTTTTAGAAGAAAAAAGTAGTGTTCTGCAAGTAGATCTACAATTCGATTAATAGTATCTTGCTTCCGCCAGCAGTATTTTGCCTTCTTCTTGATTGGTCAAATTACAAAAAAGTTATGCCAAATTTTACAAAATATGATACACTTTGGAGTGGTACTGTAGAGGAGATGGACTTTCTACCAAATGGTCAGGCAGGGTTTAGAAAGGGAAGGGAAACAATAGACAATGTGTCGAAAGTTTTATGCTCCATTTATAGATTTAATGGCGGCGTTTCATAGGGCAAATAGAGATATGTTATGGAGCGAGATGGAGAGAAAAGGGGGATTTTGGGAAGAAAGATAGAAAAGGAGAGAAAGATATATGTGGACACGGCAGCCAGAATAAAGGTGGTAGAAGAGGCTTAGTCCCGTCCTGTTTGCTTTGTACACTGCAGATATAGACGAGAGACTGGAGTGGGGAACAGACTGAATTGATCCAAGTGTACCGATGACTTGGACGAATGATGCAGTAAACGTAGACAAAACGAAGATGATGAAGTTTTGTAAGGGAGATGGATGAAAGACTGAGGATTGAAGATGGGAGGGGAAGTAAGAGAGTACACATACTTGGGGTACAGATTTAGTGCCGTAAAGAGATTGAGGCAGGAAAGGGAGGGATACTACTCATTCTTCAACATCTTATTTTACATCAATTAACATAGTTCAAACTACACAACATAATTTGTATTAGAAATACTTTATTGTTCACTTCATTATTACAATACTTTTAAATATTGCTTAAAGGTAAACCATGACTTTTCGAATGAACTTTTAGTGAAGAACTAGTATAAAATCTTCTATTACAAACTACGCAAGGATAAGGTTTCTCTCCAGTATGAGTTCTGATATGAACAACTAAAGTAGTTCTTTGTGTAAATGCCTTTCCACAAATGTTACAAGTAAACGGTTTGTTGTTAGTATGTATTCTCATATGGACCCTTAATAACTGTCTGGTATTAAATGGTTTCTTGCACACTTCACACTCGAATGGTTTTTCCCCAGTGTGAATCTTCATATGACTTCGTAAAGTTGACTTGGATCTCAGACCTTTACCGCATACTTCACAGATATTTAAGGTTTTGCCATAATGGCAACGTCTAATATGTTGGTTTAAAGTCCTTTTTAGCGTAAACTTCTTGTTACATTCAGAACATGAGAAGTATTGTTGTTCATAACCATCGCTATGTTTGACAGAATGTATTTTAAGATACCGTTTACTAGCGAATACTTGTCCGCAATCTTTACAAGCATATCTGACACCTTTATGTTTTGACAAAACGTGATAATCAAAGGTACGCTTCACGAGAAATTTCTCACCGCACTCATCGCACGTAAAGTCGCGTTGGTTTAAATGTCGCTTTGTGTGGTTGATAAATGTTGATTTATATTGAAAAGTTTCGTCGCATATATCGCATAAATAGTTTTCGCCATTTTTATGCACCAATTTTATGTGCATTTTTTTTTCAGCCACAGTTTTAAATATTTTTTGACACACCTCACATTGCGCATTATTTCGTTTACACTTTTGAATATGTTTAATAAATGATTCTCTCGTTTCGTAACTTCTTTCACAACGGTTACAACACATTTCTTCGACGACCTTGAGAGTGAGCGGATCGGCTGTGCAGTTACATTTATGGGCTACAAATGAAGAATCTGTTGTAGTATATGTTTTGTTACAGCCCATACAAGTCCTCGGTTCAAACTTTTGCTCTGGGAAGTACCTATAATTATAAAAAATTTAGTTTAAGCTCTAATAATAATGATAATTGGATTAATTTGTTACAATTATGTCCGCAATAAAATTAGATATGTAATAGAATTATTTTATTAATCGAGATTGTTTAATACATCAAATATTACTTAAAGATATGATATGTATTTTACAATGCTTTCTTAATGTAGAGTTAGTATGTATTCTAATATGTATATGTAAACCACGTCTTTGGGCAAAACTTTTTTGACATATATTGCAAACAAATGGTTTGCTGTTAGTATGGATTCTCATGTGCTCCTTTAAAATGGTCTTCGTTCTAAATGACTTCTTACATATTTTACAACTAAATGATCTCTCACCCATACATTCTATTAGCTGCATTCTGTTTCTGTCAGGAGTATTTAGCCTTCTGAGAGCAGTAAGTAATCATCTTCAAGCACACCCAGAGTTCTATTAACAGTATTCTGCTTCTGCTAGCAGTATTTAGCCTTCTTGGAGCAGGAATTAATCATCAGCAAGCAGACCCAGAGTTCTATTAACAGTATTCTGCTCCTGCTAGCAGTATTTAGCCTTCTGGAAGCAGGAAGTAGTCTTCTGCAAGCAACATTTAGTCATCTACTAGCAGTGTACAATCTTATGCAAGCAGTACTTCATCAATTCTAAGCAGACCCAGTCTTCTATTAGCAGTATCTAGCTTACTATCAGCTATATTTATTATTATGTGTGTACGCTTTTAAACAATTTTTGACACACCTCACATGAACTGCTGTACGTTGACATTTATTAAAAGGTCTTAAGAAAGATGACTTTGATTTATATGGTCACCTACAACGAATACAACTCATTTTATAGATGATCTTGTTAAGTGGATCTGGTGGACATCTAGATTGATAATTTTTGTTGACTATAGATCGTACAAGACTTTGGTTGACTTATTTCGAACTGAGCATACATATTTATGACTCACAAATGAATTTTTTCTTTTATATATTGTTACAAGCCTTTGGTCTGAAGAGTACCTATAATTATTTTTAAAACGATTGGAAAATATTGCAAAATATAGATAGGTTTGTAAATTTAAGGCAATTAGAAATTATTAGATCTGTCTTTTAGACGTCGACTCATATAATAAATTAAGTTTATTGCACCAAAATATAAATACATGAAAGTTACATAATTTAGTTAAATCGGTAACAAACTTTAGTTTACTCCAGAATCAGTCTTAATTGGTCAAAGATGAACGTTTCAATAAAAGTTTAAATCTAAACTATAACATTTAAAACCTTTTTTGATAAAAACCGGCGAAGCAATATAAAAAATAGATCACCAATCGAAAAGTATGTTTCAAAAATTAACTACAATTACATCATACATAGTATTGAGTATACAAGCATTTAAGAAACGAAGTAGTGTCCGTCAAAAGACTTTTCCACCATTGAGCTAGTTTTGTGGAGTTTTTGACACTACTTGTTAAACAAGATAAATATTTGATTATATTTTCTCTTCTCATTGATATTTATAAATTATATGAAAACAAACCGTGTACTTAATGCATTCATCAAAAAACATATCAATAAAATAATAAATACGAATAATATTTGGTAAAGTTCTGAAACAAGAAATTTACTCTAATTAAAAATATTTTTGATTAATCAATAATATTAAGAGTAATTTATAAATTTTATTAGGAATTAACTGAATAATACAAACTATACTGCACAAATTTTTAAATGTTTGTTCAACACCGTTCTAGATGCAAAAGAATTTTTGCATTTATGACATACATATGGTCGTTCACCGGTATGTCCACGAACATGTATTTTTAACGTACATCGTTGGGTGAAACTTTTCCCGCAATGTTTGCAAGCATAAGGTTTCTCCCCCGAATGAATTCGTTGATGAATTACCAAATATTTATGCGTTGCAAAACTTTTTGGACAATGAGGACACGTGTAAGGTCTTGTACCAGTGTGAACAAAATTGTAATGATCATCAAGTGTTAATTTTCCCGTACATGCTTTCCCACACACTTCACATAAATAAGTTCTATTTTTCTTTTCTTTACCATCTGTTGTAACTTTATGCGAGCGACGCTGATGTGTTCTTAAAGCCCAAGGATCCGTAAAAGATTTCTTACAAACTACGCAAATAACTGAAGAACTAGTTTCTTGTTGTTCTGGACATTCGACTTTCACTTGTTGAGAACTTCTACCACTAAGAAGTGTTCTAAGAATACTACTTGTTTGTAAAGGTGGTTTAATTAATGTTTCATTTACTATGAATTTATTTTCAATTGTAACATTATACTCTTTTGCATCAACCTCTTTTTCATCATATTCTTTCTCATCGTACTCCAATTTAATTCCTCCCTCACATATGTATTTAACTTCGAGTGGATCTGTGTAAGCCCAGCTTAACCTAAAATGATATTATTGAGTAAAACTATACTTTAATGTGAATATCTAATGTATAGTATTAATTAGAACAATAAAAAGTAAAACAACGATTTTACAAAAACATTTTTTATTTGTTTTTATTTTTTTAAAATGACTTAATAATCATAAGTCGAAATAAATCAAATAAATAAAATCTTGTTTGCCAACATACAGCAATATAATCGGCTAGCATATTTATGATTTTGTCCTTTTTGTTCCATCACGGAATGAATTGACTCTATTTCCATCTATGTATGGCAAACTTCCAGAAATTTTTATTTTATAGTCGCCTCACTCATTATACCTTATTGCTAAATTCAACAAAGACACAATTTCGGTTTTGATAGCTACAGCCATCAATGGAAATGGTAGTTGATTCACTGTATGGATTAATAATTTAAAAAAATACTGTATTTTCTAGGCACTATATACCTATCATGGCACCTTCGATCGCATTCCATAAATAACAAGAAATGTTTCAAAAGTGTGTCAATTTAGGAGCACCGCTTGTAAATCTGCTGTGAAGACCTACTTTCTTATTTTCTTCTCTTTTTTAATAAACAAATTTAATAGACCAATAACACCAATAACTATAAGGTAAAGCAAGTTTTGTAACGAATGATCAGGACATGCGCAAAGGCAAATCTCCTAGTCAATAATACATTTGCACTAATTTTCAGCAATCAAAATAGCTTTCCCTGATTATCTGGACGGAATATCTATAAATAATATATTACAAGATATCTAGCGAATGACCGGCCATGGAATGTCACCTCGGTGTGAGATCAACGTAATGAGAAATAATTTTCTTAGCTGGGCCATAAACGCAAGTGATTCATTCTGCTGAAACCAAACCCATATAAAAGGAATTTGCAGACTGCCACCTAGATGGACCCAACAAAAGATGGGTCAAGAAGTTGCGAAATCTTGACGCTGTAATTCTTGAATAACAGCAATTTTGTATGGGTGACAATTCAAGTCCTCATGAAGAATGAATAGCTGATCGCTGGGCATTGGGACTTTGCCATCTCGTGGGATTCTTTTCGTTGATATTTCGAAAGCTGTATTGCGAAGGTTTCTACTTTACAAAAGAATAGTGTTTCGAGGTAGAATCGGCCCAGGAGACTGAATATTAAAGTATAAATTAAATTGTCTATCACTCTCCGCACTGATCAGAGAGTGTACCAGCAACCAGAGAGAACTCGTTACGGGCAATGAAGAGAAAAGATGGACAAGCTGGCCAAAGAGTAACAACGCCCTTCATTGGACTCCAACCCTGTTGTGGACTACAAAAGACTCCTAAAACAAGTAATCAACAGTTGGGAGGCGTCAAAAAGGTAGCCTTACGCTGGAAATAACTTCCAGGTCACAGACAAGCGAAGATAAATCATAAAAGTTCTCTTTTCACTAAAATAACGTTATTTCAAGTCACCTGTTACTGTCTATTTTTGGACAACTCTGTTCTTCAACGCATTCTTGGACCTTTTTTACAATTTTCTTCGGCACTTTGCAACTTCATAACGACAGGGACGAAATATTTTGGTTGTAAGGAAACATAATGCTTCAAATAAATCTTCACAAGTAGTTGTACCTACATAGTAAAGTTGCTTTATATATAAGTACGAAGGCTTTCACGGCCGGTGTTAATTAAACTAAAACTAGCAGTATCACTAGAACTAATACTAGACCTAGAAACTTTCGGGTTAAGCCGTATGTTTTTTGAAAACATATTTGACGTGTCGGATACCATGTTGCAACCTTCTTTAGAAACAAGTTCGAAGTGACGAATTCTCTCTGCTAGCTGGAATAAGGCTTGAATCACGGACCTCTTCTGTTGTGGGTGGTGGTAGGATGAAGCCTGCAGGTACCTATTCGTATGCGTCTTCTTTCGATGTACTTCCAGTTCCATGCCCCCATCTGTCTTCCTAGTGACTAACACATCCAGGAAGTGCAGCTGTTTTACAGTTTCTGTTTCCATGGTAAATTTTATGATGGGCTGCTGTGAATTGAAGTGGTCTAGAAATTCTCGGAGTTGCTCTTTTCCATGTAGCCAGATGACGAAAGTGTCATCGACGTAACGGAGCTTCGGTTTTGAAGAACTCTTATTTAACGCTTCCTCTTCAAACATTTCCATGTAAAAATTTGCTATCACAGAAAACAGAGGTGATCCCATGGCTGCCCCTTCGCATTGCTCGTAGAATTCCCTATTCCAGCTAAAATATGTCGACGGGACATACTTGAGCAAACCCTCCAGGATGAGTTTCTGGCGAAGACCATCCACGGCATCTTTGACTGGTACTGTGGTGAATAGAGATTCCACGTCGAAACTTACCAGCATATCCTGAGGGTCTAGCTTCATACTCCTAATTGATTCTACAAAATGTGTGGAGTCTCTGACATATGACTCTGTTTTATCTTTAAAAGGAGACAGAATCTTGGAAAGGTGTTTTGCTAGCTGATAGGTGGGAGAATTTATGGCACTGACAATAGGATATAGTGGAACGTCTGGTTTATGGAAATTGGGTAATCCATATATCCTTGGTAGTACTGGAGCCTGTACGAAGAAGCTTCTCTGTTAATCTGCTGGGATTTCTGTGGATTTTACCAGTTCTTTCATTTTTCTTGCTATCTTCTTGGTTGGGTCCTTTTTTATTTTCTTATAGGTGGCTGAAAGGTCGTAATCCTTTCTGTCCATAACCACGGTCGCATTCCCCTTGTCCGCTGGTAGGATGATATTGTCTAGTTTTTCCCTTATCGTTCTTAGTGCTCTTCTTTCGTTCATTGTTAAGTTTGATTTTGGTGGCTTTGCTGTTTTAAGCACTCTCTATGTCTTGAAGAATTTTTTCTGCTTTAACTGCAGGTATTCTGCGAATAGCCGCTTCCACTTCACATATAATTTCTTCTTTGGGAACCCTCTTTGGAGCGACTGCGTAATTTAAGCCTTTAGCGAGTACTTTAGTTTCCTCCTCTGTTAATGGGACGCTTGATCGGCTGATAACGACTGTTTCAATTGGCAAATCGTTGTTTTTCCTCTTGTGTGTGCGGAAGATGTTAGTGAACTCAATGAAGCCTTCTCCACCCGGATTTGACAAAAACAACTTAGTTGACAATTAGACACTAATTGTCAACTTAATGTCAACTATTTATTAATTACCTTTTCATGTATTTATTGTCAAATTTTAACCGAATTCCTCACTTCGAACTTGTTTCTGAAAAAGGTTGCAACATGGCATCCGAAACGTCAAACATTTTTTCAAAAAACGCACGGCTTAACCTGAAAGTCATTTGGACAATATACTAAATGTGGTAATCAGCGCAGCTAATCCAGTAAAAACTAACTTCTTCGTTACCAATTGATATAGATTATTAATTATGAAGCTAAAAGTTTAAACTTGGAAGAAAAATCTTTTTATTTACCTAGTCCTGTCATGTACTTTACTGCTAATTTTGTTTTTCAAATTAATAATAAATTATTTGAGTAACACCTATGTCTTTATTTTCACATAGCAACTTTAAAAATCATTATAAATCTGAATGGTGATCAGGAGATGTACAAATAAATAATGTAAAACATAATCACTTCTTAAACTTTCATTTTTAAACTTTTTCGTTTAATTTCTTGGAAATTAATGTCTTCTATTATCCTAAAAAATGTTCGGATTAGTGTTTTGTATTTTTATCGATGGCCAACATGCGAACGTACCTTTGCATATAAAAATAAAACATTTATATTTAAAACATCAATATTATTTAGATATTTTATTTATTCAATTTCAATAACATACATTTTTTTAAACTATTTCAGCAAACCCATAATTGGAAATAATTCATAAATTTTAATGATGTGCATAAAAATATACTAATATATGAATAACATAAGAAAAAAATTAGAGATAATTTATATTTTATTTGTGTTGCGAGAACTTTGTCGAGTCTGTCCTTGACAAGATTTCATGTGTATGTCCATGACTCCTTTAGAAACAAATCCCCTAAAACATATTTTGCAACTATATGGACGTTCACCGGTATGTATACGTTCGTGTATTCTTAAAGGACTTCTTTGACTAAATCCTTTTCCGCAAAAGTTGCAAATATACGGTTTTTCACCGGTGTGCACTCTTTCGTGTTCTTTTAATTGTTCTTTTTTTGTAAATGCTTTTGAACACACCGTACAAGCGTATGGTTTGTATCCGGTATGAATTCTTCTATGAAATTTCAATTTTTCTTTACTAGACAAACTTTTACCGCAAATATCGCACAAGCGGGATGCTTCACGTTTCCCCATATTATGAATGCTAGCTTGGTGGCGTTTTAATCCAGTTGATGATGTATAATGTTTTTTACAAATTCGACAATCGTACTTGACTAATGGCTTTCCAGTTAGTATTTCCCAATGTTGAGATCTTCGATGAGATGCTAAGAACCAGGAAAACATAAAATGTTTTCCGCATATTTCACATTGAAACGGTTTTTCTCCACTATGAAAATATTTATGTTGTGAAGCATGTGTCCTTATTCCAAAACCTTTATTACATATTTCACATTTATACTTAGCAGTGCCATCGTGAGTTCTGATATGTGATTCGATACTATATTTCGAAGCACTTCTATAATTACATAGATAACAATGATATTTACCATCTTCACTATGAGTAATCGTGTGTAAGCAGAATTCGATATTGTTGGTAAATGTTTGATCACAAACTTCGCAAAGTATCGCTTCCGATGTTTTCTCTTCACTTTCTTTCTTGGTGTTTTCAACTTGGTTAATTTCTCCATCGGAATTTACATCGTATGGCTCATCTTTTATGATAAGCTCGTTTAATCGAATTGTTGCATCATCGTGTGAAGTATTATTATTATCCTTTCTTTTTCGTGTAAGTATACACCTTTTACCAATTTTCATTGATTTCCTACAAAAGTATATTTATTAGTTAAGAAATAATTTTCATTAAATTGAGAACATAAAAGAACACATACGTAAAGCGATGTTATAAAGATGATTAAAATTACACAAAATTAAATGTGATCTTCATTTTATCAGTCTTGAATATGTTACGAAAAAATAAATAAAAAATAATAAAGGATATAAAAGGGATATATGAAACATAATTATTTATTTTATTGTTTATTAAAATATATTCTTATAGTTTTCTATATATCTAAACAAATACATATACGATAAATATGTTTTATAATAAAGCTTGAATCTAAAGTAATTCAGTGATAATTTTGATCAACAAAATCTGAAATAAAACTGAAGAATTATACTGTTGTTTTAGATTGAATTCGCCAACTAATACAATTTCCTACTTTATTAAGGCCCATTCTTCGTCATGTTAAAAGAGTTTGTCTTTAAAATATTTTTCTCTTCCTATGAATCTGCCTCAAACACCACAACACTTCTCCTTTGACTTCTTAGCAACCTTTCCAAAATGTCCTAAGAAAATAAATTTGAACATCCTTGCATCAATTCGTTGTCCAAATATCACACCCAGCTTTTTCCTCCCACATCTATTCCATATCCACCGTATAAAGCTCGCATAATTTTTTTCCTCTCATAGAACTAACTTTTCATCAGTTGTGTTAATAGCTACGTGATATAGATATGATATATGGTGTTTTTTTTAATTTAATTATTTCTTTAAACATAGAATCAATCCTCTTACTTGATTTTTATTACTTCATTTAAACAACATAACACAATTTTTCTGGTTTACATGGTACACTATTCTCTATTGATTAAACAAACTGGGTCGCACTTAATTTGACTCAATACGAGAGACTTCCGGATTGACAGATTGAGAGCTTTTTTTTGATTCGTTGATGTATGGTCGTCCTTACTTGGAATAAAATTGGACTTAAAATAATTAAATCGAGATGGCAAAATACTTGTTAATATTATTCTTAGAAATAAAAATAGCCACAGGATTTATCTAAACACATTTTTATTTATTATCATTAAAGAAATACCGAGTTCATAATTAAAATTAAATTAATGCTTTTTTAGATGCACCTTTAAATTAGTTCTTGAAGAAAATCGTTGATCACAAAGATGACAACCAAACGGTCGTTCACCTGTATGAATTCTAGTATGAATTGTAAGCGACGCATGTCGATTAAATGCTTTATTACATATTTTACAAACATACGGCCTTTCTTTGGTGTGAATGCGTTCGTGCATTTTAAGCAAATAATTTGACACGAAAGTTTTAGGGCAATATTGACATACAAAAGGTTTCTCTCCTTTGTGTGCGCGTTCATGGATTTGTAAATAATGTCGAGAACCTAATGTTTTCCCACAAAACTTGCACACATATCTTGTTGAATCTTCGTGAGTACGAAGATGTGATTCTAAACTTCTCTTTGAAGACAACAATTTTGAACATATCGAACAGGAGTATTCCGGTTTTTTGTACCCCACTTCGTGCGATTTTAAATGCTGTTTAAACGCAAACCCGCATTTATAATTTTTATTGCATTTATCACACTTATGCACCATTCCTAAATGAACCGATTTTTTATGGTTGTTCAAAACAGATTCGAATAAATAACCCTTATCGCATTGATCGCATTTAAAGGGATACGTTTTAAGATGAGCCCTTGTTATATGTTGTTTCTTGCCAATCTCCGATGAAAATTTTGCTTCGCAAAGTGTACATTGGATGTTTTTTTGTGAATTATGGCTTCGTTGATGGTTGCTTAATTCATAATTGGTTTTAAACTTACTTCCACATATGTCACAACATCGATTTTTTGGTTTATGTATACGCATGTGATCTTTTAATTTTGCTTTTTGTTCAAAACCTTGATTGCAGACGGAACATTTAAATTCTTTTGATGATGATAAAAGATTCCTAAAAATGTTGTATTAGTATTGTATAAATTATTAAATAAGTTTTATTTGCTTTACTATTTATACAAACGAGGTGTAGACATATAAAACTGTTTCATTACAAATAAAATTTTATTAAAATTTATATAAGTTAATGTTTTTTTAGATGACAACCATACGGTCTTTTACCTGTATGAATTTTATATGACTCATACTGATTAAATGCTTTAACAAGTTTGGCAAACGTAAGGCTTTTCATTGGTATTTATTTATTTTATTTATTTATTTATCTCATGTGGGTACAGAAACAGGTCGAATCCAATAACACTGTACCACAAACAACCAATTGTATACAAATAAAATTACAATTCACAACAATAATAATGAATTAATATTAATGGTACAAAAGTGAATCAAAAGGAAAAAACTAAAACTAAGACTAGATGATATAAATATATCATAAATCAAATATCAAATGAACGCTAGAGGCAACACACCAACTGCAGCAAAGAGCAGTTTTTTAAATGCATAGAAAGAATGCTGAAGCAGATCTATGTTAACACGATTTGCTGATTTTGCCATTCTCAATAAAGGAGAGTTTTGACAGGCATTGGTTCTAGGAGTAGGTGTCATAAATAGAAAGTCAAAGCGAAAAGCTTGTTGTTCAAAAGTTTGTAAAAATATAACATACCCCCACAAAAGCGACGCTTGTTGAGGGTTAATATACGAAAAGAAGTGCAAGTTGATTCGTAATCAATGTATTGAATGGAAAATTTAAAAATAGAGATTTCTAATTGCATCAATGTTACAAAAAGCTACCGTAGATCTCATAATAAATCCTAACATACGCCAGGCTTTGGAGACAACAGTATTAATATGTTTATCAAATAATAATTTATAATCAAATGTAACACCCAAATCTCTAATAAATGAGACACGTTGCAACCTCTCACCAGCGACGCTATAATTGTAGTGGATTGTGTTCACTCTCCTAGAAAAGAAAATAATATTACACTTTGATAAGTTTAATGAAAGGCTATTATTTAAGCAAAAAGCATGTAGATTGTTTAAGTCAGATTGCAGTCTAGAACAATCACGAGGTGAGGAGATACGGAGAAAGAGTTTTAAATCGTCAGCATACATTAAATATTGGTCATAATTAACGACGTCAAATATGTCGTTAACATAAATAGTAAACAGTAAAGGGCCCAGATGGCTACTCCGTGGAGCACCAGAACGAACCGACACAAGATTAGAAAAAAAACCATTAACCGAAACAATCTGGCATCTGTCCTTCAGATAGGAAGCAAGCCAACACCAAACTTCATTAGCTTAAACAGAAGTAAGTTGTGATCCACCCGGTCGAAAGCTTTACTAAAATTCGTATAAACTGAATCAACTTGACAAGAATCATCCAGAGAAGATAAGATGTACTGGGTATATTCAAGCAAGTTACTCTCAACCGAGCGACCAACAAAAAACCATGTGATCTACAATTGATTTTAGACTTAAAGGCAAAGAATAGACGTGCATAAACTACTTTCTCAAACACTTTCCCAAATGCTGGCAAAACAGATATGGGGTGGTAATCAGATATAACACCACGGTCCCCTGATTTAAAAATGGGAAGAACAACAGCCCGCATCCACAATGAAGGAAAGACACCCATTATTAATGAAGCATTAAATAAAATAGTTAAAGGAAGGGACAGAGAGTGTGAACATTCCTTGATTAAAATTGATGGAATACCATCAGGGCCTTCTCAACCTCAATTCTGTCAAACTACATCTGACTAAAAGGAAGGGCATCCATTTCTACACAATCTACATTCTGCTGGATTGGAGCAGGATCATCAAAAACAGAAGAAAAGAAATCAGCGAACAATGAGCATACTCAGACACCGTCGCTGACAACAGTTCCATTCCATGACATCGTAGAAGGATCATCGCTTCTTAGACTTAGTAAAAGCCCAAAACGCCTTTGGGTCAGATTAGATATTGCTTTCAGTTCTTCTAACATACTCCATGTAATTGTGATGGATTAGAAACTTTACACAACTCCTTAGAATTGAAAAAGTAAGGTACTCAAGTCGCTTGCCAAAACGCTTCCATTTACAGTGCGCCCTGATTTTCTCTCGAATTACTCTAATGGTATTATATGAAAACCAAGTGGGAAAACCCTTGATAACTTTGCCTTTTCAAAGGAACTGGAATGAATATGTTCGTGAGGTTGCAGTAACGCGTTTGATATGAATTTCTTTGAACAATGTTTAGAAGCGAAAGGTTTCTCTCCTCTATGACCACGTTTAAATTTTCAATGATTCTAGCGATGTAACTTCTTTTCCACAAATTTCACACATATAACGTTTTATCGATCGATATATATCAATTCATATCATACAAACGTGCTCAGGCTTTATATATCCCGTTTCATGTGATTTTTATAATGGGGCCGTCTGTAAGCTTTTTCGCATTTATATGAGCTTCCTTAGTTTTTAACGATTCTGCAGAATCTTCGTGTGGCGGAATTAATTTCTTCGAATGCCTTCGAATTTCCTCTTCCACAGAACATATTCTGTATGCAATAAAGTGACTTCTAAGTAGGTCTTACGTCAAAATTGTAGAATGAAGAAAGATGATTCATTCAATTGGCGTATTTTATATGCCGTTAAATCTAAAACAATTTTACATGATGTTAAAAAATTGCATGGGGTTTAAGTGTATTTAGAATGGTTTCTGTGGTCTAATATACCTTCTCTAATACACAAACATCTTTTCTTCACAATGCTACCATCAGTCAAAGATCATTTTATACATAGTTTTATAACAACCGTATATCCCAATAAAAAGAACAATCTGTAAACGTTAAAAGTTAGTTTAAAAACACTGGATTTTATTTTCAATCCTCATTAATAATAGAAAACTTTTCTAAAATAATTAATTATTTCTATTAACATAGAGTATAACAACATGACAATACATCTCTTCATAGCGAACATGATATTTGTTTTTGATAATAACATTATACAGGGTGATTCACATAAGAACCGACACAGAGCAGGGACATGTAGAAGACAATAAATTAAGATGATTTAAAGTAACTTACCTCTATACTAAGTTGTATACCTGAGGAGTTATAGGCCTTCAAAGTTGGCTCTTAAATTTTTAAAAAGTTCAATATCTTCGTAATAAATTAAGCTAGAATAACCAAATTTGGTATACGTTATGAGTGTACCAAAGGTATTAATTGGTATCAAATTGAACTCAATTGAGGCATTTCAAAGGGTTGATTAAGGGTGATGGTACTCTAAATTTTGACAGATCTATTTAACCTTTTGACCGATTTAATACATTACTACTTCATTTCATGTGGAATTTAATTCTAAAACTTTTCTTACTCTTATTATTTTTTAAAAAACTTTGTCGTTTTCATAAAAAACTTAAATAACTAAAGACACTTATTTCGTAATGTTACTTAAAATAAGTGAAAATGCAGTAGTCGGCTATGAAATTGTACGTCAAACTTGACAAATAGGTTATAAAATCATTTGACAACAAGGTTTTATAACCTATTTGTCAAGTTTGACGTACAATTTCATAGCCGACTACTGAATTTTCGATGATTTTAAGTAGCATTAACGAAACACGTGTCTTTAGTTATATGCGTTTTTATGAAAACGACAATGTTTTTTAAAAAATAATAAGAGTAAAAAAAGTTTTAGAATTAAATTCCACACGAAATGAGGTAATACTGTATTAAATCCACCAAAAGGTTAAAAAAATCTGTCAACATTGAGGGGACCATCACCCTTAATCAACCCTTTGAAATGCCTCAATTGGTCTCAATTTGCTACCAATTAATACCTTCGGTACACTCATAACGTATACCGAATTTGGTTTTTCCTTAATGTATTACGAAGATATTCAATGCTTTAAAAATTTAAGACCTAACTTTGAACGCCTATAATTCCTCGGGGGTACTACTTAGTATAGAAATAAGTTGCGTTAAATCATCTTAATTTATTGTCCTCTACATGTCCCTGCTCTGTGTCGGTTCTTATGTGAATCACCCTGTATAGCTGGGGCTGATTTTATTTATAAATTAAACATATATAATGTTGAACTAAAATCACAAAAAAATAACAAATTACTTATGACAAAAATCACATGTTAATATTAATACGTTTTTATTTATTATCATTAAAGAAATACTGAGTTCATAATTAAAATAGTTTTTAAGAAAAACATGTTTGTAGAAAATGTGTAAATCCAATCAAAAACTGTTGCTTTAATCAAAGTTTTGTAAGTGCCCAATTGATAGATAATTAATCACTTTACACGAAAATACTGCTCGTTTAACAAAATTAGCCGTGGCGTTGAAAATATTTTTATAAAGGGCTTTTTATTGCAGATAAAGTTTAATTTTAAAGAAACTTTGACCTCCTATATCTCGTTAAGGATGTATTTGCGACCCCATATATATTAATTCTTTTCATTTTAATTTTTGATGTATTACCTGCTCTAGAAGTCTGTCAGCGGTTTTTTGAATCTTCCTGTATATAGCTGGAGCTGATTTTATTTATAAATCAAACATATATTACAATGTTGAATTTAAACTACAAAAAAAGAACAAATTACTTAGGACAAAAACTACTTGTTAACATTATTCTTAAAAATAAAAATACCCAAAGGATTGATCTTACGTTTTTATTTATTAATTGTCATTAAAGAAATACTGAATTCATAACTAAAATTAAATTAATGCTTTTTTAGATGCAAATTTAAATTAGTTCTTGAAGAAAATCGTTGATCACAAAGATGACAACCATACGGTCGCTCACCTGTATGAATTCTGGTATGAATTGTAAGCGGTGCAAGTTGATTAAATGCTTTATTACAGACTTTACAAACATACGGCCTTTCATTGGTGTGAATGCGTTCGTGCATTTTAAGCAAACAACTTGAAACGAAAGCTTTAGGGCAATATTGACACACAAAAGGTTTGTCTCCTTTGTGTGTGCGTTCATGGATTTGTAAGTAATGCCGAGAACCTAATGCTTTCCCACAAAACTTGCATACATATCTTGTTGAATCTTCGTGAGTACGAAGATGTGATTCTAAACATCTCTTTGAAGACAGCAATTTTGTACATATCGAACAGGAGTATTCCGGTTTTTTGTACCCCACTTCGTGCGTTTTTAAATGATGTTTAAA